GATATCATTCTTAAGTGATGAGTGAATGAGCGATTGACTAAGTGAATGATTGACTGACTTCGTGAGTGACCATAATGGCGTGAATTAGATATTGACTAATGTAATGAGTGACTGAATTCGCGACTAAGTGATTTAATGAGTGATTGAATGAGTACATAAATGACCTAATTAGCGAGTGCGTGAGAACATTAGGGAGTGAGTGAACACAGCGAGCCGTATACCATGTTTCCCGTCTGTGCGTGCATGCACTGCACAGCAGAGGTCCATGTTACATTTGCTCTCCACTCGTCAAGCCGATTTAAGGGCTTCAGGAAAAGAACACAACGGTCGGAATTATTCATCTGATACGGCTGCAGCCAACTACATCACCACCTACACGGGCAAATGAGGTGGTCTGGGAAATGCTCAGTGCTGTGTTTGGTCAGTGACGGGCCACCCCGCCCTACCGCTGAGTGAGTCCGTGATCCCCCCGTGACCTGTTCGTGACTCACCCGTGACCTGTCCGTGACCTGTTTGTCACTCACCCGTGATCCGCTCGTGAACCGCTCGTGCCTCGCCCGTGACCTGCCCGTGACCTGCCCGTGACCTGCCCGTGACTTGCTCGTGACTCGCCCATAACCCAATGTATGCTGGATCGCGATCGGGCCCATTCTTGACCCTCTGGCCCAGTGTACACAGTCTCAAGTGTCTTATTCACGAGGATCCTGCCAACTTTTCGCAGTGCTCTGCTGTGCGATCCCAATTGAGAGATTTGCAGGTTACCTTATAACATTGGGATGTTTGGCCATTACCAGTTACATCGCACGGGTAGTTTTTTTTTTTGCTTTGTGAGTAACCCCATGGAAAACCACACAGCGTACGTGGAGGACCTCCAAACCCACACAGAGAGGAGTCCGAGTTGTAAATCAGACCCAGGGACCTCATTTTGCGAGGCACAAGTATTACCACTGCGCTGCCACCCTGCAGCCCTGTTAAGGAGATTAAAGGGAGCACTCCCCACCCATTCCCTCTCCCCATCTGCTTTAACGGGCACTGAAGGCTGGATTTTGCTGGTCCATGAATGGCCCAAAACCAGCACCAAGGGCCGGATCGTGGCCCCATGCTATGTGCGCCATGAGGCCAAGGAGGCCTAGGATTCCTCCACCTCCCCTCTACAACTGGTTGCGGGGGTATGATAGAAATCTTAAAGTGAAGGCCGTTACAGTCGGTGTGGGTTAGGTGAGACTGAATAAAGTTGAAAGGTGGGTATGTATGCTGAACTTCTTTCGCACCGTACGTAGCCAGCGGTGGTTATCGGAGGTGTGGAGGAAGGGCAACAAACTAAGCACAACAAAATCAGTTTGCAAGAAATACATTTTCAATCTAGATAATTTGAATGTGCGTAGCTCCAGTGGCTTCCTAATATCGTAAGGAAGAGCGTTCCAGACGGCCGCAGAAGCGCATCTGAAAGCCTGCGATGCAGTGAGTGATGGATCCGGGTGGATGTCGGTGGCTGTAACCGCGCGGCGGTGTTTCTCGCTCCTGGTGGTGCCAGTGAACGTCTCCGGGCAAAACAATAAAAACTCTCTCCGTGACCAAACGGGAGCCTGGCGCGGCTGGCGGGAGCGCATGTGAGTGCGATTATGAGGGGGGGGGGATTAGGGGCATCGTAGGGAGCCTTGTGCGGGGGGCGGGGCAGGGGGAGGTTAGGGGGGGGAAGCAAAGACGCCGTGACTCATCATGCGTAGCACGGAGATTGGGTCCTGTGGGGGGTGATAGGGGGGGGGGGGGTACCTGTGTTTCACCACCCCGCCCTATCCCCTGTTGAACTCCCAGCCCTGCTGCTGCGCATTCTATACAAGTGCAACAAGTGCGTGGTGTATTAGGGGGTAAGTGGCATGGAGGTTTGGAAGAGGCAAGCGAATGTTGTTGATTTGATCACGATGTAGAGGTCGCGATGAGAAGGGACGCGTGTGCAGGATAGAAAGGGGGGGGGGGGGGTTACTCAGCCGGGCATTGCAGTGGCACCTAGAGGCCAGCGTCCAAGGGCAAGAGAAGACCCAATGCTGGAGATGATGGCAGTGATGACACTGTACCAGCGGTCCTTGAAGGATGTGTCGACCGTGTAACAAGGAGAAGACGTCAAGTGAGATGGCGTTGATGGGATTGTAAAGAGAACTCATCAGGGATCAGGTGTCACATTTCTAACTGCGGGATTTGACGGAGAAGGTATTCGTCATGATGACCTCTTGACCTTGAATGTGTATGCATGTTCGGTGCATTGACCAATCGCTAATGAGCATTGGAACGCTCTTCATCGACCGCGACGTGCATGAGCGAACTCTCGAGGGTGACTCGGATCCTCCGCTTTCCGAATCAGCGCCGCGTGTTGATCGTTTAAAGGGTTGGACGACGCGATGGAGGTGCGCGAGACGACGGAATTTCGAGGGCCCGTGGTTTATGGACTTTTGTGGAAATTAAAGAACAAAACAACTCACCCCCCACCGGCTGATCGCCACAGCAACCAAACGCAAACAGCTCAGGCGGGATCACGCAGCAGAAATCTGCTGTTCCACGGCGGAATTTAGGAATTCGGGATAACGCCGCTCGCCTAATCTCGTTCCGTAAAACGCGAGCTCAGGCCGTTTCTTCTTCTCCTCCTTCTCCTTGTTCTTGTTCTCGCTGCTCAGCCGGAGAGGGCTCATCGCTTCGTCGTCGGTGGTGCGCGCCTTCCGTTGGCCCCGAGTAAGCGGTGGGAAACTCCTCATTCCTTTGGCGAGGGCCAGTCTGACATTGACTTTTCCGCAACGACGAGCCGAGTTGATAAAACCGACCACGGCGTTTGTTGTTGACCCTCCCGATTGTGAGTCAGGCGCCTTGCCCACAGAGCCGCGCGGCTCGATTCGACTGCTTCCGTTACGGACTCGGTACCGCTTGAGAGAGAGCGAAATGAAAAGCATGAAACGCTGATATCGTTAACGCTGACGCGGCAAAAGTAACAATTCGAGTTATGAGGGGGTGGGAGATGTTTGGACCAATTCGGTGTCTAACCCCTCTCCGTGGAGGTTTCTACACCAGGGACACAACAGTGACCCCCCCCCCCCCTCTTTCTTCACCCAGATTTATCTAATCGTATCCTTTTTTTTAATCAAGTCAGTGTAAACGATAGACATATCGGGCTCAGGGCCAGCATGAGGAACGTACCAATCCGGCAGTCCAGAGATTCCACGAATCGTCACAAGTCAATGATGTTTTACTTGTTTGTAACCATCACATTGTTGTCGTCTGTCTTCTTCATTCCCTCTTGTTCCATGAACCCCATTGTGTGTTGTCACGTGGTCTACATTGTGTGTTGTCACGTGGTCTACATTGTGTGTTGTCACGTGGTCTATATTAATCAAACGAGGCTGTAGCCAATCGCCCGCGAGGTGTTGGAACATCACAAGACACAGCAGACATTATCACAGTTTAATTAAAACTCGAGTGCCATACTCTTTGGTTCTTTCGGTAAAGTCACGTGTGCCATCTTTGCATGCTATGTATAAACGCATTAGTGACAAGCGTAGCAGCCACATACACATACCAAGTGACGCTATAGCCTCACGAAGGCTTCTGCACTGGTATTTATTACCAAGTAGATTTTAAAGTAGACCTTTTTGGACGAAACGTGATGAAAGTCCCCTTCGTGATTTTGAGGATTCAGCGTTCATGCCCGAAGCTCATAGAGCCAGATTCATGTACACTTAGGATTGGGGCAGCTTTGAGAGTGGCACAACTCCATGGAACATTGTTTTCAGATAGCATCCATAATTCGCAATCCTTCCTGAAAAGCACACATTCTCTGCTTGATCCACCAACCCTTGCCTCAGAAAGCATTGGACCACCACACCTGGCCGCTAAGTGCTTGTGTCTTAGCAACAGCATTCCGTTGTTGGGAAGCAGCTGCCGATCTGCTGCTAATCCGGTCCATGTCTTCCAATCACTGCAGCCGAAGTGCTCACGTCGTGACCCACTTGAGAATTAGCCAATACCTGGGACTGAGAGGTCAGATGCCATCTGATCTCTCAGCTTGTCCCACCGCGGATGACCGCGTGGCTTTGGTGCTGGGCAGTGAGACGCGGGGAGTTGCTGGGCGCTACCCTGCCCACAACAGGATGTGAGGAATGGCGGTGGCTGCGTCTGCCCCTGCTGTGAAAAATGCGGCCAAAGCTGATGAGTCAGAAATCCTTTTCAGACTCGTAGACAAAGCTCCCACGTATTTCCTGCAACAGACTTTTTTGGGAAAGTTCTGTTGGCGACCACCTATGAACGCCGCCACGGCACGCGAGGGGGTCGGTGGCCAACAATAAAGCCGGCCACCTTTGTCTCCCCAGTGCTTATATTAACAGAGTGTAACAGGTACTCATTTTAAGGCTGAGTCGACCTATGGAGAGGCCCGTGACTGTTTCAGATATTCGTCACTGATGTCGGCAGTGAGCGGGAATCGAATTTGGGTCGCTGGTTTCGTAGTGCAATGCGCTATCCGCTCTAGCGCTCCCCTCTATAATCTTATCAAGGCCAGCACGGCACACGAAGGGGTGGGTGGCCAGCACCACACCCGGCCGCCTTTGTCTCCCGAGTGGCGATGTTTGCACATCGTACCAGGTACCCATTTGAGGCTGAGTCGACCTTGGAGAGGCCCAGGACCGGTTCGGATAAGCGTCACAAGTATTGGCCGTCACGAACCACTGCGCCACCGCTCCCCAAACACTCGCACACTACAAAGACAATGCTCCCGTGTATAAATTACCATGTCATCGACTGCCTGCTGCTGTTCAAATCAAGGCTCAATAACTTCCTTTCCTTCTGTGACTGCCTGCCCTGCCGTTGCATTTAAATCCACGTGAATGTTGTGCTCTGAGCTGCCTGTGCAGGATGCTGGGTGTGGTGTTGGCCACCCACGGGTGCTCGCTAACGGTCACCTGCCCTAGTAGTCTGCGAAGGCGACACCGTTTGAGGGGGGCGTCTGTGTCTTTTTGCAGGATGCACGAGCGGACATTTCGGGTGCGGGAGAGGCCTCTGCGTGCCCTTGGCGTGGCGCTGCGACGGTCTGGGAGACTGCCCCGACCACTCGGACGAGGCCGGCTGCCGTACGTGAAGTGGGGGGGGGGGGGGTCGGGTGGGGAGAAAGTGGGGGGGGGGGGGGTGGCAGGTGGCTCAGTACTCCGCTCAATTTCTCCTGAAAAGAAACCCCTGGGAATCGGAGATGCTGTCTTGGTCAAAGTTCAGCTTTGTCAAGATTTTTACACGAAACGTTACCGATGGCTCCGTTAATGACAATGGGAAAATTGCTAGAAGGATGCCGTGGGGCTTGGTCTCACCTGGTCCTAAATTAGGGGGCATGTATTCGGCTACGGTCTTGCGTTTGTATGCATCTCGAGAACGTCATTCACACTTCTAGCGCTTGAACGATGGTCGCATATATTTACTTCCCCATTCTGTGATTATAGGATTCGTCACAATTCGGTTAAGTGAAATCGTAAATCATTGATTCTCTGGACGAGTGATTCGACGCGCGCAGCACGAGCGCAGGATTTGATTTTAATCGATTAATTGCCGACCTGACAAATCTTTACGTTGAATCGTTTCGCGGGAAGGGGTGGGCGAGGGAGTGGGGGGCGATTGAACGTTCGTGCCCCTCCCTCCCCGCCGCACTCTCCTGGCCTCAGCTGACAAGGGCAACGTCTCTCCCGTGCCCTGCTGCAAGTGCCGAGGGGAGTGATCAGCCCCGTTGGTTTTCTGACGTCCCCTGTGCCATAGCCAGACCGGCTCGTTCCATGCACTGGCTCTGGTGGATGGCTCTCTGAACCCTCGGAAAACTGTGCTGAGCCATAATTAACCCGGTGATGCCAATCAACCTTGTCTCTGTTCTAGCATCCTCGTGTTTCGATGTGCCCTACTTCTTCTTCTTCTTCCTAGCGTTGTTCCCGCTGTGGCGCAGGGTCCGCTTTTCGGCATTGTCTTCTCCATTTGGCTCGGTCCAGGGCATCTTCAGGGGATGCGTTGACCGTCTTCATGTCTTCCTTTATTCGGTCCATCCATCGCTTCTTCGGACGTCCGCGTGGACGGCGGCCCTCTGGCTCAATACGCACGGCAGTCTTGGCCACTGATGACTCTTCACTTCGCATCACATGGCCGTACCACCGAAGCCTACTTATATGAAGTAAAAATGCACAGCGAATTCAGAGCGGGATTACTGTGAGATTGAGGACGAAGCAGGCAGCCGAGGTGGCGTGCCTAATCTTCGTAGCAGATAGCTTCAAATGTAACAACGTTCTGCGTGCACCTCCCCACTGTCGGCGGTGGGCTGGCACTACGCACACTCGCGAATACCGGAGTTTGGTGGGTCACAAAGAGAGAATGAGTATGCATGGAGCCACTCGCGCAAATATGTGAAACGCGCGAATCTAGAACTCGCGCATAGCGACTGTTTAATGCATGTCCATGTGTCTGCATGCTCGTGTGCCCATGGACACGTGTCCGTGTGTCTGCATGCTCGTGTGCCCATGGACACGTGTCCGTGTGTCTGCATGCTCATGTGCCCATGGACACGTGTCCATGTGTCTGCATGCTCGTGTGCCCATGGACACGTGACCGTGTGTCTGCATGCTCGTGTGCCCTTGGACACGTGTCCGTGTGTCTGCATGCTCGTGTGCCCATGGACACGTGTCCATGTGTCTGCATGCTCGTGTGCCCATGGACACGTGTCCATGTGTCTGCATGCTCGTGTGCCCATGGACACGTGACCGTGTGTCTGCATGCTCGTGTGCCCTTGGACACGTGTCCGTGTGTCTGCATGCTCGTGTGCCCATGGACACGTGTCCGTGTGTCTGCATGCTCGTGTGCCCATGGACACGTGTCCGTGTGTCTGCATGCTCGTGTGCCCATGGACACGTGTCCATGTGTCTGCATGCTCGTGTGCCCATGGACACGTGACCGTGTGTCTGCATGCTCGTGTGCCCTTGGACACGTGTCCGTGTGTCTGCATGCTCGTGTGCCCATGGACACGTGTCCGTGTGTCTGCATGCTCGTGTGCCCATGGACACGTGTCCGTGTGTCTGCATGCTCGTGTGCCCATGGACACGTGTCCATGTGTCTGCATGCTCGTGTGCCCATGGACACGTGTCCATGTGTCTGCATGCTCGTGTGCCCATGGACACGTGACCGTGTGTCTGCATGCTCGTGTGCCCTTGGACACGTGTCCGTGTGTCTGCATGCTCGTGTGCCCATGGACACGTGTCCATGTGTCTGCATGCTCGTGTGCCCATGGACACGTGTCCGTGTGTCTGCATGCTCGTGTGCCCATGGACACGTGTCCATGTGTCTGCTTGCTCGTGTGCCCATGGACACGTGTCCATGTGTCTGCATGCTCGTGTGCCCATGGACACGTGTCCGTGTGTCTGCATGCTCGTGTGCCCATGGACACGTGTCCATGTGTCTGCTTGCTCGTGTGCCCATGGACACGTGTCCATGTGTCTGCATGCTCGTGTGCCCATGGACACGTGTCCGTGTGTCTGCATGCTCGTGTGCCCATGGACACGTGTCCGTGTGTCTGCATGCTCGTGTGCCCATGGACACGTGTCCGTGTGTCTGCATGCTCGTGTGCCCATGGACACGTGTCCGTGTGTCTGCATGCTCGTGTGCCCATGGACACGTGTCCGTGTGTCTGCATGCTCGTGTGCCCATGGACACGTGTCCGTGTGTCCCGTGTGCCCCCTGCGTAGCGCCGCCCACGTGTGGCCCCACGGAGTTTCTGTGCGCCTCGGCCCGGGAGTGCGTGCCGCTCTCCTGGGTGTGCGACGAGGAGGCGGACTGCGAGGACGGCTCCGACGAGCACGCGGGGTGCAGCGGCTCCCCAGGTACTGCCCCCCCCCCGCAACCTCCTCCACCCCCCCCCCCCCTCATCAACGTGCAGGCGGTCCGAATGCACTGGGGTCTACGGGCCAGAGGGGGTGCCCAGGCGGAGAGGGGATCAATTGGACAGGGCCCCCCTCCTTTCACCCCTCCCCGAATGAGCGTTGCAAGAAGACTGGGAGACTGCAATAGGCAAGTGGCGATCAGCCACAGCCAGGACTGGATGTGGGTTACCTAAACCAAGCCCCGATTAGGGGCCGTCCATAAATGACGTCACGCGATTTTGGACGATTTTTGTCCCCCCCCCCCCCCTCGTCACACTGCATCACAAAAAGTCAGACCCCCCCTAAAATATGACGTCACAAAGCACTGCCCCCCCCAAAAAAATTAATCATGCTTCAAATCGCTTTAAACTATTGTCATTGTAGTGCGTATTTAATGTGGCACTGCACTCTGATGTTGTAGAAGAAAACATTTATTTAAAAGTCTATTTAATTAAGTAGAACGTGTTGTCTATATTTATTTAAAGTTGTGCATTTTAATGTGATGTCATATTTCTCAACCCCCCCCCCCCTCGTCACACATCGTCACAAATGTCTGACCCACCCCCCCTAGGTGCGTGACGTCATTTATGGACGGCCCCTTATGATTGTTGCTGTTTAATCTTGGCTCTCTCAAGAAATTCTGCGTCTGAGACTTGGGATTTTACCTTGGAATCAGCACATAATGTGGAAGAGGGATCTGCGAGCGCTCCTATGTTGTCTCAAAACGTTTGTGCGTCGTGCATCTACGGAGGCTCGCCGCGTCTGTAGACTCTTGAAGGGAATGTTTTACGCTGACGTACGAGCCAAAATAATAGTAATGTATCAATCGAATCACGATTGTCATTTATGCTGCCTCGAAACAGCACTTGCTTTGGGGGAAAAAAACTTTTAGAATTTTTAAATATATATTATTATCACGTGTAAATGTATAGCAGCCAACCACTCTAAACGCGTGATGGTGATTTTTAATGTGGAGGGAAAAACCGGAGGACCCAGAGAAAAATCCACACGACCTTGGGGAGAGAGAGAGAGACACGCAAACTACAAATATATAGGCATCGTCAGGGTCTGGATCGAACCCACCAGGCGAGGTAGTTAACATCCTGCCACTGCGGCGCCCCACACGAAATGGGGAGGCCCTCATTCAGCAGTAGATTGACAAGAAGGGCTCTACATGTTCGTGTTTGCAAACAGGAGAGTGATACGTGACACTGGCACGCCGTGGAGGGTTTCCTGCGTGCATACCTCCTCGCTGTCGAGTCAATCTCTGCGTCTCGCACGGCGCCCCCTCCTCACCTCTCTCTCTCTCTCCCCCCGTGGCGTCGTCTCCTCCCAGCAGCACCTAGCGCGTGCGCTAGCGGGGAGTGGACGTGCGCGAGTGGGGAGTGTGTAGCCTCCGCACGCCGCTGTGACCACGAGCCGGACTGCACGGACGCCTCCGATGAGAAGTTGTGCCGTGAGTGACCGCGGCCCATCGGCCCTCCCTCCCTCCCATTTCTTTTCGCTGATCAACAAAACGTCGGTTCCGTGTTTGTTGTGAACTTCAGATTGTTTTTAGTTTTTTAACAGCACGACTTATGTGTTTATTTCCCCCCCCCCCCCCTCCCCATGAACGTCAGCTGTAGAACCTGTGCTCTCTTCCAAATCCTACTCGGTTCAAATTGGAGTACCCCCTCTAAAGAATCCTCGCAGTCTGTACGCACGCCCGCAATCCCGTACTCCCCGCACCCTGCCCCGCTCTCCCACCCTATCTCTTGCGAGGATGACAAGATAATCAAGGGTCTCCACCACGTGTCTCTCTGAGTCTCTGAATGTTCACGGGTCTCTTTACAGCCTCAATTATTCTCTATGAGTCTATGGTTCTCTCTGATCCTCTGCGGGTTTCTATGAATGCTTATACTATTTGCTGCGATTTCCTAAGAATGACTAAGGGGTCTCCATGAGTCTGTATGGACCTCCTTCAATGTCTCCCTCTTGGTCTCTCTGATTGCCTCTGTGTCTAATTGTAAATGTGATTGGATAGTGGTGAAGGAGACGGCCTTGTCGTTCATCTTGCGCGGCAGTGCCTACACGTCGGTCTAGGCGGTCACACACCAATGCCTCGCTTGCGCACGATTGGACTCAAAGCTGCTGAACAGCCGTGCTTAGCTGCACTGGTCACACTCACCTAAAGCAAATAAAGCCGTTACAAAGCGTCCATATAAATTATAATCCCAAGTAAAATTAACTTTTCACTCATAAATAAAAGTGTCAAGGAACAACCGGATGGAAACAAAACACACCGGCTGGCCCGACGCACACAAAGTACACACGCAAACTACACAGACGCCCGCAGAGAGACATTTCACGTAAATGAAAAATAAATACATTTCTGGGAAAATCTTAAACAACAAATCCACGTGCATGGAACCAACACCATAAAGTGAGGCCAGGCAGCAGGTGTAACAGCAGCGGGGGTGGAAACCCTTCCCCAGGTGAGTCGGGTGCAGTGAGATGCCTCGTGGAACTGGGCCCACTCAGCTCAACAAAGGCAAAGGCCACGTGGCCTTACAACGCGGGGCTGGACTGACGCAACCACGTGCAGTTTGATTGGAGAACGGAACGTAAATGACGCACATGATGAACCGAGCTAGAATTGTGAAAAGGAGTCCCTTTATGGCACAAACAAGAATAGAGGATTTAAAGCTTTCGTAACTGCAGGGATTAATCTTATTGGTTCTTTCACGTAGAAGGGAAATAATAAAATTAAAACATAATTAAACAATTCTCACGACGTTTCGGCCACAACGCAAGCAGCCGTCCTCAGGTGAAGAACAGGTCTGTCGGAAAGACAGCGCTGTCTTTCCGACAGACCTGTTCTTCAATTATTTTATTATGTTTTATCTTTATTATTTTATTATTTCCCTTCTACGTGACTTTACCGAAAGAACCAAGAAGAAGAATAGAGGATGTAATGTAGGTGTGTGCTTGCGGGCCCGGTGAGCCAGGCGTTAACCAAGAGGATAGACGAAGGACACGAAACGAGAAGATCTACCGACAGTGAGGACACAGTTACAATCTCCTGCAACATCACACGTGTAAACACAGAACGAGAGATTGCACGTGTGCTATGTATGCACATATGCTGAACTTCTTTCCCACCGTACGTAGCCAACCGTGCTAATCGGAGGTGCGGGGAAAGGACAACAAACATGCAGAGAGGCTTACACGTGTTTCATGAGCGTTCCGAGCTCACAATTCCCTCCTTCAATTCTACAATGCTTCCCGTCCTCTTCTCCCGATATCCAATCCCTTCTCCTATCTGAATTCCTCTCTCCTCCCCTCTCTCTCCCTCACTTTATTCCTCCCCCCTATCTCAATCACCCTCCCTTCTCAATCTCCCCCCCCCTCCCTCCCTCCCTCACTGCAGCACTCAGCGCAGTGGTCCGGACTCTGAGCCCACGGAATTATAATGACATGTAATTTCAAACTGCATTTAGTAAAACCTAGCAGCGTGTCCCATCTTTGGTGCTCCCTTGTGCAATTATTTAAATACAGGCCGGCAATGAAACAGAGGACTCCCGTGCACAATGGACCTTTATCTCGTGGTAGACGTACTCTTACTCCTACTGCAATAGTAAGATCATAATAATAATGCTCTCGATTTATCCCAGATGGCCTCGCTGAACCTCAAGACTTTTTCAAGAGGGTCCTGCCATTGGACGTTTGGCCAATTCCACGAACAAGCATCGGGCTTCATACGGGCAGGAAACTGGATTCACTCAGAAAAAAAAACAAATATAACTCAAAACTCCACACAGATAGATTCTCCCTCCTCGTTGACGCGTCTGGGTCTCTCACGCTCGCCCCATTCGAGCCCCGTTCATGGAGTCAAGTTTCCGTGTATCCGTGTAGTGTAGCCATGTGTTCATGTGTGTCCATATGTTCCTGTGTTGATATGCTGATTTGTCACTGAGTTCATGCGTCTATGTGTCTGTGTCTGTGTGCGTATGTGTGCGTGTCTGTGTTCGTGCGTCCATGTATTGGTGTGCGCGGGTGTTGGTGTGTCTGTGTGTGCATTGTCTGCGTATGTCCGTATGTCGGTGTTTTCCTGTGTGCGTCTGTCTGTGCGTCGCCTTGCCCGTGTGTGCGTGTGTCGGAACGTTTGTGTGCCCGTGCATGTCGGAGTTTTTGTGTGTCGCTGTGCCCGTGTGTCGTTGTGCGAGGGTGTCCGTGTGTGCGTGTATCCGCGTACCCGTGAGCAGGATACCCCGTGTGCCCGGAGCTCGCCTGCGCGAGCGGCGCCTGCTTCAACCGGAGCCAGCGCTGCGACCGCGTGGCCGACTGCAGGGACGGCTCTGACGAGCACGGATGTGGTACGCTGGCACACACCGAGACAAGGAGGATCCCCCACGTAGCCGTTGACAGACTGAGTGGGGCAAGTGCTGTTAGCGAGCACCTAGGAATGCCGGCAGGGCACGTGAGGGTGTGGTGAGAGCCAGCACCGTTCCCGACCGCCTTTGTCTCCCCAGTGCTCAGGTGGGTAGATTTGTAGCACGGTGGGCTTTCGTCCTTCTGCGCCCAGAACACATCCCCGGGTTTACCTCCCATGCTGCAGTTCAATGGGAATGTTTTATCGGCTCTGTTTGTCTGAATTCCTTATGAATACATGAGTAAGAGCCATTGCCCGAAACGCTCACTGGTCAGTAGTCACACCACAACACGGTGTTACTACTGACCGAAGCGTCGAGCTTGATTCTCCTTACTATCCTTCGTGCTTGGACAGCACTGTCAACGCGACGAGCGAGCCGCGTGCGGATATTCACATCGTCCCCCGCGCGGCGATTGCCTCCCAACCCCCGCGCGGCGTGTGCAGGGTTCCGCTGCGGCACGCACGAGTTCGCCTGCGCCGACGGGCGGTGCCTCCCGGGGGCCTTCCGCTGCGACCACCGCCAGGACTGCGGCGACGGCAGCGACGAGGCCGACTGCGGTGAGAGCGCGCGGTGCAGACGCGGGTGTGTCGGACTCCCGGGTCAGTGTGGGCTTCCATGGTGCGTATGTGTGAATGTGTGTTGACCTTGTGGGGAGCGGTAGCACAGCGGTAAGCGCTGCGCTGCGAACCCGGCGATCCGAGTTCGATTCCCGCTCAAGGCCAACACCGGTGACGATTATCTGAACTGGTCCTCGGCCTCCCCTAGATCGACTCAACCTCAAATGAGTACCTAGTGCGAACATCGCCACTGGGAAGACAAAAGCGGCCGCGTGTGGTGTTGGCCACACCACTCCCTCGTGTGCCGTGGTGGCCTTCATAGGTGCTCGCTAGCAGCACTTGCCCTAACAGCCTGTGAAGGCTATAGGGGGGATCTTTGTCTCTGACTTCCTTTCACGCCACATCGCCAACCGTGCTAATCGGATATGCGGGGGAGGAACAACAAACTGACACACAAGAAGAAGTTCCAAAGAAATTAGTTTTCAAACAGACTAGATTTAAAGTGCGTAGCTCCAGTGGCTTTCTAATATGGGGAGGAAGACTGTTGCAGACGGCCGCAAAAGGCGCATCTGAAAGCGCGCGACGCAGTGACCATCTTTGTTCGATGGCGAGCCAAAAGCCGCTTGCGAGGATGACCGGAGTTCGTGTACGTGGGTCTGTGGTTCTCTGTGGAAGTCTGTATAGGTCTCTGTGTCAATCTGCGTGTCTCTAAGTCAGTCTTACAGTCTCTGCGTGAGCTTAGGAGTCTCCAAGCGAGCCTACGGATCGCTATGCGAGTCTATGGGCCTCTATGCTAGAAAACGCCGATGGTGAAACCACTGCGAGACCATTCGACTTTTTCAGTGAATCCACCCGCACGCGTCATCAGCTGTGACTGCAAAAACCCGGAGCAGACTCTGTTGCCGAAAAACCACCACTGCACCGGGCGATGCTCTGGCCTCTAAACGTTCCTCGCACGACGTACGCATCTCACCTCCCCCCACCCCCCACAGCGTACGGGACGTGTGGGCCGGAGCAGGTGGTGTGCCCGAGCGGGCGGTGCGTGCCGCGCTCCTGGCTCTGCGACGGCCAGGACGACTGCGGCGACTCCAGCGACGAGAGCGCCTGTGGTGAGGAGGGCGGCGCCGTCGCTGGGCGAGCCGCGCGCGTGTATGTGTGTGTGTGTGCGTGTGTATGTGTGTGTGCGTAGGGAGCGGTGATGTAGCGGTTAGCGCGCTGCGCTACGAACCTGGCGACCCAGGTTTCGAATGCTGCTCACGGTCAACACCCAGTGACATTTATCTGAACCGGTCCTGGGCCTCCCCTAGGTCGACTCGGCCTCAAATGAGTATCTGGTGCGGTGTGTAAACATCGCCACTAGGGAGACAAAGGTCGTGGTGTTGGCCACCCACCCTCGTGTGCCGTGCCGGCCTTCATAGGTGCTCGCTAACAGCACTTGCCCCAACAGTCTGTTAAGGCTATACGGGGGATCTTTGTCTTTCTTTCATCTTTTTGTCTATGCAGAAGGGCAGCAGCAGCAGCAGCAGGCGAGCTGCCCCCCCGGGGAGTGGGGCTGCCCCAGCTCGCAGGCGTGCATCCCCGTGGAGCGTGTGTGCGACGGGACGCGCGACTGCCCCCCCGCGGGGAGCGGCGACGAGACCAACGTCACCGCGGGGCTGCTCTGCGGTGAGCCCCTCCCCTCGCTGCCCTCGGCTCTCCCTTCCTCTCTCGAGTTCTCCTCAAGGAAGACAAATCCCGAAACGTCCACACCTCGTGGGTCGCGCGTACGTTCGTGGCGCAGGTAAGGGAGCGGCCCGTGGCATTCCGCGGCGGGGGGTGGGGGGGCTCTCCCAACGAGGCGGGGATTTTAACGAAGACGCGAAAGTTCGTCGGACGCTCCGTCACGGCTCTCGAGCGACGGTGTCGCTCCGCTGGAGGATGTAAAATGTGCGCTGGTGGCGTCGTGGTGATGTCACTGGAGCGCTGCAGCCACGGTTTCCACGCTGGGGAGGTAGCGTGGCCCAGCCGTAGCGCAATGGCTGCTTGTTACGGTTCACGTCCGGCAGGCCGCCCTGGTCATTTCTGTGGGTACGTTCACTCTCGTGTAAAACGCATGCCGTACTCTTCGCAGTGGACGTTAAACACCCTCTGACGTCATGCGAAAGGAGAAAGCCATTGTGTGCCGGCGTCACGGTCCAAATTTGGCGGAATAAAACAAATGCTCGCAAATGCTAAATTTAGATTACGCAATAGCAGCGATCATCGTCCCCCCACTGGCAAGCTAACGCAGGCGAGGAGAGGAGTCGCCTTTTCTCCCATGTATACGTATGTTGGAACTTCTTTCGCACCGTACTTAGCTGACCGTACTAATCGGAGGTGCAGGGGGAAGGACAACAAACTGAACACAAAAATCTGTTCTAGGAAATAAGTTTTCAATCTAAAATAAGTTTTCAATCTAAAATGAGCTTTCAATCCCATAGGGACAGCTACCACTAGGGGTGCCCTTTACAATGTGTTGTTCATCGATTATAATCGCATATAAATTACGTGAGATGCCCTGGCGTAAAAGAGGTCAAATCTATATTAATTATTTCATTGACGGGTTTATGCCTGATGTTTGTGATGCTTACTGCTGCACAGAACGAGTGAGCAACACACCATTGCCATGTAACGTTCTCGCCCACCCCGTGCCCTCCCCGTGCCCACCCCGTGCCCACCCCGTGCCCACCCCGTGCCCTCCCCGTGCCCTCCCCGTGCCCACCCCGTGCCCTCCCCGTGCCCTCCCCGTGCCCTCCCCGTGCCCACCCCGTGCCCTCCCGTGCACTCCCCGTGCCCACCCGTGCCCTCCCCGTGCCCACCCCGTGCCCACCCCGTGCCCTCCCCGTGCCCACCCCGTGCCCTCCCCGTGCCATCCCCGTACCCACCCCGTGCCCTCCCCGTGCCCTCCCCGTGCCCACCCCGTGCCCACCCCGTGCCCTCCCCGTACCCACCCCGTGCCCTCCCCGTGCCCTCCCCGTGCCCACCCCGTGCCCACCCCGTGCCCTCCCCGTGCCCACCCCGTGCCCACCCCGTGCCCTCCCCGTGCCCACCCCGTGCCCTCCCCGTGCCCACCCCGTGCCCTCCCCGTGCCCACCCCGTGCCCTCCCCGTGCCCACCCCGTGCCCACCCCGTGCCCTCCCCGTGCCCACCCCGTGCCCTCCCCGTGCCCACCCCGTGCCCTCCCCGTGCCACCCCGTGCCCTCCCCGTGCCCACCCCGTGCCCTCCCCGTGCCCACCCCGTGCCCACCCCGTGCCCTCCCCGTGCCCTCCCAATGCCCACCCCGTGCCCTCCCCGTGCCCACCCCGCGCCCTCCCCGTGCCCACCCCGCGCCCACCCCGTGCCCTCCCCGTGCCCACCCCGTGCCCACCCCGTGCCCTCCCCGTGCCCACCCCGTGCCCTCCCCGTGCCCTCCCCGTGCCCACCCCGTGCCCACCCCGTGCCCACCCCGTGCCCTCCCCGTGCCCACCCCGTGCCCTCCCCGTGCCCACCCCGTGCCCTCCCCGTGCCCGCCCCGTGCCCTCCCCGTGCCCACCCCGTGCCCTCCCCGTGCCCTCCCCGTGCCCTCCCCGTGCCCTCCCCGTGCCCACCCCGTGCCCACCCCGTGCCCTCCCCGTGCCCACCCCGTGCCCTCCCCGTGCCCACCCCGTGCCCTCCCCGTGCCCACCCCGTGCCCACCCCGTGCCCTCCCCGTGCCCTCCCCGTGCCGACCCCGTGCCCTCCCCGTGCCCACCCCGTGCCCACCCCGTGCCCTCCCCGTGCCCACCCCGTGCCCACCCCCGTGCCCTCCCCGTGCCCTCCCCGTGCCCACCCCGTGCCCACCCCGTGCCCTCCCCGTGCCCACCCCGTGCCTTCCCCTCCCCGTGCCCACCCCGTGCCCACCCCGTGCCCACCCCGTGCCCTCCCCGTGCCCACCCCGTGCCCACCCCGTGCCCTCCCCGTGCCCTCCCCGTGCCCACCCCGTGCCCACCCCGTGCCCACCCTGTGCCCACCCCGTGCCCTTCCCGTGCCCTCCCCGTGCCCTTCCCGTGCCCTTCCCGTGCCCTCCCCGTGCCCTTCCCGTGCCCTTCCCGTGCCCACCCCGTGCCCATCCCGTGCCCTTCCCGTGCCCTTCCCGTGCCCTTCCCGTGCCCTTCCCGTGCCCTTCCCGTGCCCTTCCCGTGCCCTTCCCGTGCCCTTCCCGTGCCCACCCCGTGCTCTCCCCGTGCCCTCCCCGTGCCCACCCCGTGCCCTCCCCGTGCCCTCCCCGTGCCCACCCCGTGCCCTCCCCGTGCCCACCCCGTGCCCTCCCCGTGCCCACCCCGTGCCCACCCCGTGCCCTCCTCGTGCGCACCCCGTGCCGACCCCGTGCCCTCCCCGTGCCCTCCCCGTGCCCTCCCCTGTTCCTCAGGCTTCTCCGCGTGTGCGGCGCTCAGCTGCGAGTTCACGTGTCGAGCCTCTCCCGGCGGCGGGACCTGCGCCTGCCCCGGGCACCTCGTGGTGGCCAACGACAGCCGCTCCTGCGTGGGTGAGACCCCTGGGGGGGGGGGGGGGGGGGGGGGAGGGGCTCAAACCATCTACTCGTCGTGTCTCCCCAGAGTTAAGAAATTCTTGAATTCCCAAGCAGGAGAGCTTCCTCCTCATGATCTCCCCTTCCCACGTGTGCCAGCCTTCCACCATCTCAGAAGCCAAGCAGGTTTGAGCCTGGAGAGTGATTGTATTGGGGACCACCTCGCACACAAGTTTTGTGGGCAACAACAGTGGGAAATATTCTCAGAACCTGGCCTGAACTTCCCCTAGGTCGACTCAGCCTTACATAAGTACGTGGCGCAGGGCGCAAACATCAACACGGGGGAGACAAAGCCGACCTGCCGCGGTGCTGCCCGGCACCGCTACTCCCCGCCCTCGGCCCAACCGTGCCGGACCGCTACGACGCGCGGGCGCGTGTCTCTGCCTCGTGCGTGTGCGGCAGACTTGGATGAGTGCAGGGTGTGGGGCGCCTGCGATCAGCTGTGCGAGACGCGGCCGCGCGGGCACCGCTGCGCGTGCGTGGACGGGTACGTGCTGGAGCGCGGCCACCACTGCCGTGTCAACGCCTCCTCCGGCAAGTGACCCCCCCCCCCGCCCCCACCCAACTCGCTCCTCACCCACCGCCGGCACCCCTACCCACCCTCCCGCCCCTCGTCCCCCCCCAAACGTGGGTCCTGACGGGCGGGGGGGGGGCGCGGGATGGGTCGGTCGAGTGGCATCTCTTTGTTGACGCCGGCACGAATCCAGTCGTGCTGTCATTTGGGATGAACGAGTCTGCCGTCAGGAATATTGGGGTCTGGTCATGGTTCTGTCTCCGTGCCGTCTCTGGGTGTCGACGCCGCTGTCGGTATCTTCAATGTCCATCCGGCTTTTGCCGGTTGGCATCCCGCGTACGGATAGTCCGGCGCTGTGGTGCTCATTTCCCACCATGACTGAAGGCAGCCAAACGGTCCCCTGCCGCATGACTTGGTGTTTTAGAGGAGGCACATTAGTGAAACGTGCGAGCGGTCGCACATTTGGCGGAGTTGTTTAAAGCTGCCAGGAGGTAGGACAGACCCAGGCACTGTGAGTTAATTGGATAGCGTGACTGGCTGATGCTCCGCTCGCACCCCCCGCTGCGCTGATTCACTACTTTCAGCCAAATTGCTGGGAGTCGTCCAGTTCTGCGCGACTTTGCCATTGGTTGACTCAGCCTTAAATGAGCACCTGGTGTGTAAACGTTAGCACTGGAGAGACAACAGCGCCCGGGCATGGCACTTGGGACACCGACGTGCCGGCCTTCATAGGCGCTCGCACGCAGCACTTGCCCCAACAGCCTGTTAAGGGCCTTTGTATTTTATTATTGCGTGTCCGTGCGTGCGTGCGTGCCTCAGGCCGCCCGCTGCTCATCTTCTCCGACGGCCAGGGTCTTCTCGTGGGCGACCTGCACGGCCACGAGCTCCGCACGCTCCTTCCGTCGCCCGCCCGCGGCAGCCCCACGGGGGTAGACTTCCACGCGCGCCTCGGCACCGTCTATTGGACGGACGCCGCGCTCAACAAGGTGCCGGCTCGGGGTCGCGCCGCACCGCGACAGCCACGCAGCCCGGGGGGGGGGGGGGGGGCATCCGTCGCTCGTGTCGGGATTGGGCTCGGCCGATGAGATTTGCGTTGTCTTTGTGCTTCAATGCTGCGGGTTTGCTCCCCTCCCCCCCTCCGTATTTTAGTCAATGTTTATTTTCACCCCCCTCACGTCTGAGACCATGGGAGATCCCGTCCCCCCCTCCCCAACACGGACGCGCACGCCCTGTAACGCCAATTGTTGGGATTGTACCACGCGTCAGAAAACGTGTAAAGTACAAATCTTAAAAACGTATCTTTCTTTTCGAGTTGCCCTGCGGACGATCGGCCTGGCCGGCACGAGCGGCCGTTGCTAAAACCCGTGCCGTGCCGCCCGACCGCGCAGGTCTTCTCGGCGCGAGCGGACGGCTCGGGCCTGCAGGAGGTGGTGGGCTCGGCGCTGGAGACGCCGGAGAGCGTGGCGGTGGACTGGGTGAACCACAAGCTCTACGTGCTCGACTCGACGGCGCATCGCATCGACGTGACGGCGCTGGACGGCGCCGGGCGCCTCGTGCTGCTCGCCGACGACCTGGAGGGCGCCCGCGGCCTCGCGCTCGACCCAACGCTCGGGTGGGCGACGGCGCCAACGCACGCACGCGTTGCTTCCACGGGCGTACACGCTCGCCTCGTGGCGGCAGGGTGGCAATGCGGCGGTAATCCTTGTGCCTCGCAGCAAACAAAGACCTGAGCTCGATTTTCGACTCGGGCACCTTTCCCGCGTGGAGTTTTTATGTTCTCCCCTTGTTGTGAGTGATTTTCCATCGGATTCTCCGGTGTTCTCCCATTGCCAACAATACCACACACAATGTAACTTGTTTTGGCCAAGCATCCCAATGCTAATATATTTCTTGCAAATTACCCATTTGGTTTGGCGCACAGCAACAATCCCTGCCGACTGCAAAAAACTTGAGGCTCATTGATTCTTAGGTAAACAAGCACAACAAGAATAAAGACAAAGATCCCCCCTTTAGCCTGAACAGACTGTTGGGGCAAGTGCTGCTTAGAGAGCACCTCTGAAGGCCGACGCGAAGGGGTGGGTGGCCAGCACGACGCCCAGCCGCCTTTGTCTCCCAAGTGGCGATGCTTACACACCACACCAGTTACTCATTTGAGACTGATTCGACCTAGAGGACGCCCAAGATTTGTTCTGATAATCGTCACTGGTGTTAGCCGTGAGCGGGAATCGAACTCGGGCTGTCGGGTTTCATAGCGCAGCGCGCTAACCGCTACACCACCGTGCAAAGTCACAACAACAACAGTCGCCATTCGCCACTAAGTGGCGGCGACGTCACCACGGCGCTTGTGCCAGGCTATGTGCACTTTAAAGCCACGTGAAGTGTCGGACACCCGCTGGCAGGTCACGGTGCAGAGCCAGGTGTCACGGGTCGACTGGCACCGTAAACTCACACGTACACACGTACACACGTACACACATACACATGTACACATGCACCAGCTGGAAGGAGTGTCGGCCAACCACCAGCTGGCGCCTGTGCCACGCAGGTTCATGTTCTTCTCGTCGTGGGACGCGCCGAGCGACGCGCCGCGCCTCGAGCGAGCGCACATGGACGGCTCGGCGCGCGCACCGCTCGTCGTGGGCCGGCTCGGCTGGCTCGCCGGCCTCTCCCTCGACCACGTGCTCAAGCGGCTCTACTGGAGCGATAGCCGCTACGACCGCATCGAGTGCGTCTCCTACAGCGGCCTCGACAGGTGCTGCCCACCTCACCCTGACCGCCGCATCCCTAACCTCCACCCCCCCACCCCCGAGCACGTGATCTCTGGCCTGACCCTGACTCGAACTCTAAGGTGACCCTCGGCATCCCTGAATCTGTCCGTAATCCTGGACGGGTTCTCCTCTTCAACCCATCACGAACGCTGACAGGCGCTCTTCCCCTTTAATAACCCTAATGCCAAGCCTCGTCAAATGCTCCTCCTCGTCACTCTAACCCTCGACATGTGTTTCTAACCCTAATTCCAGCCTGAACAAATGCTTGCCCTATAACCCCAATCCTTTTCGATTTAAAGCTTTCGTGACTGCAGGGATTCATCTTCTTGTTTCTTTCGGTAAAGTCACGTAGAAGGGAAGTAATAAAATAATAAAAATAAAACATAATAAAACAATTCTCACGACGTTTCGGCTACAACGCAAGCAGCCGTCTTCAGGTGAAGAATGGGACACTACCAAACTAGGAGCTTATATATAAGCTGCATTGGGGGTTGAAGAGCGCCTTAACAAAAAGAATGTGCATGTGAAGAGGGATTTAGCATATTCATGGAAAATGCGTAGGCGTTGGGCGGGGGGGTGTCAAAGTCATATTATGCCCATGCATTATGCAGGATCAGCAGCAACCAAGGGGGGTGCAGGGATTAGCAGTAACAAAGGAAAGGAATGTTAATGATATGTAGCTGCAGTTACTCAACAACACGTAGAAAACTAAAGTATAAACTACATAAAAAACTAAAGTATAAACTGCATCGCACCATCAGTATACTTACTATACTCTATAATAAGCTGAGTTACTAACAGCAAGTAATACATTACAATTTTACCTCGTAAAAATTCTATAATATGCTTCCATCTAAACCTTATTCTCTTACATCACACGAGCATATACCGTACTATATACTGCCATAGATAAACCCAACATTAAATTATATACTGTATTGCTGTAAACCAACCTATATCTTATACATTTAATATCACACTATGTATTATTCTACACACCCTAATGTGTATCGAAATGGTTTATTACGTCCTTCCAATGATTGCTGAGCCAGAATCCATCTTCTCGGTTAAAGTTGTCTCTGTGTTTGTATATGTGGATCGCCTCATGAACGAATCTCTCATGATAGCCAGATGGCTTGCAGAGAACCTCTGTCTTGGAGAAGTCAATATCATGTGAGCCCACTGAGTTGTAACAGTGATCTGCCACGGCTGAGGTGTTAGTCCTACCGTGTTTCAGGTCAGCTTTATGTTCACGGATGCGGTCCGAGACATGTCGTTTGGTTTCCCCAATGTAACTGCTACCACAGAGGCAACTTAGTTTGTAGACGCCAGGGTACTGTATGTCTGGAACCACATCTTTTACAGACGGTACCAGATCACGGATTTTATGTACTGTGTTGAATCGGACCTGGATCTTGTGTTTAATCAGGATTTTGGAGATCTTTTTTGTGACCCCAGCAATGTAGGGTAAGGTGATGGTCTTGAAAGGCTCCTCAACAGGATCCTTCTTGATGGTTGGAGTGATGGCTTTGCGGATTGTATAGTCGGAGTAACCATTTGCCTTAAGAGCTTGGCGTACGTGTTTGAGTTCACTGGAAATGTGTTCATGGTCGGAGATGCATTGGGCTCTATGATATAGAGTCTTGATGAGGGAATTCTTCTGAGATGGATGGTGGTGGGAATCCGGTTTTAGATAAGCATCCGTGTGGGTGCCACCCACACGGATGCTTATCTAAAACCGGATTCCCACCACCATCCATCTCAGAAGAATTCCCTCATCAAGACTCTATATCATAGAGCCCAATGCATCTCCGACCATGAACACATTTCCAGTGAACTCAAACACGTACGCCAAGCTCTTAAGGCAAATGGTTACTCCGACTATACAATCCGCAAAGCCATCACTCCAACCATCAAGAAGGATCCTGTTGAGGAGCCTTTCAAGACCATCACCTTACCCTACATTGCTGGGGTCACAAAAAAGATCTCCAAAATCCTGATTAAACACAAGATCCAGGTCCGATTCAACACAGTACATAAAATCCGTGATCTGGTACCGTCTGTAAAAGATGTGGTTCCAGACATACAGTACCCTGGCGTCTACAAACTAAGTTGCCTCTGTGGTAGCAGTTACATTGGGGAAACCAAACGACATGTCTCGGACCGCATCCGTGAACATAAAGCTGACCTGAAACACGGTAGGACTAACACCTCAGCCGTGGCAGATCACTGTTACAACTCAGTGGGCTCACATGATATTGACTTCTCCAAGACAGAGGTTCTCTGCAAGCCATCTGGCTATCATGAGAGATTCGTTCATGAGGCGATCCACATATACAAACACAGAGACAACTTTAACCGAGAAGATGGATTCTGGCTCAGCAATCATTGGAAGGACGTAATAAACCATTTCGATACACATTAGGGTGTGTAGAATAATACATAGTGTGATATTAAATGTATAAGATATAGGTTGGTTTACAGCAATACAGTATATAATTTAATGTTGGGTTTATCTATGGCAGTATATAGTACGGTATATGCTCGTGTGATGTAAGAGAATAAGGTTTAGATGGAAGCATATTATAGAATTTTTACGAGGTAAAATTGTAATGTATTACTTGCTGTTAGTAACTCAGCTTATTATAGAGTATAGTAAGTATACTGATGGTGCGATGCAGTTTATACTTTAGTTTTTTATGTAGTTTATACTTTAGTTTTCTACGTGTTGTTGAGTAACTGCAGCTACATATCATTAACATTCCTTTCCTTTGTTACTGCTAATCCCTGCACCCCCCTTGGTTGCTGCTGATCCTGCATAATGCATGGGCATAATATGACTTTGACACCCCCCCGCCCAACGCCTACGCATTTTCCATGAATATGCTAAATCCCTCTTCACATGCACATTCTTTTTGTTAAGGCGCTCTTCAACCCCCAATGCAGCTTATATATAAGCTCCTAGTTTGGTAGTGTCCCATTCTTCACCTGAAGACGGCTGCTTGCGTTGTAGCCGAAACGTCGTGAGAATTGTTTTATTATGTTTTATTTTTATTATTTTATTACTTCCCTTCTACGTGACTTTACCGAAAGAAACAAGAAGATGAACCCCAATCCTCTTGTGACAACAGGTTAAGATGTGCTCGCACTGGTATAGAGACAGAAAACGGAGTCACATTCGGTGCCCGCTCACGTTGCACGGCGCGCGTTGCTATGCCGCGGCGCGCCGGGCACGGGCCCCCCCACCCCCCCCGGCCAGGCGTCCGGCGAGAGCCTCGCGGCTCAGTCGGCACCGCAGCCTCTCGCTGAGCGTGCGTGCGTTGCGCCGCAGGCGGGTGGTGCTGAGCGGCAGCGCGGTGGTGCCGCACCCCTACGGGGTGTCGCTCTTCGAGGGCCGCGTCTACTTCACCGACTGGACGCGCATGGCCGTGCTGCGCGCGTCGCAGTTCGGCAGCGCTGAGGCCGCCGTCGTCCACCGCTCGGGCTCCAAGCCCCACGCCGTGGCCGTGAGCCACGTGGCGCGCCAGCCGCTCGGTAAGGGACCACGCCGCACACGCTGACGGGCTGGGCTCCCGCACCAGCGGCGAGCGATATCGGTACAGGTCCTGGGACTCCGCTGGGTCGACTCGGGCTTTACTTCCACGCGTAACGTTCTTACCCACCCCCCGTCCCCTACTGGACATCTGTGATAAAGAGCTTTATAGCTCATCAGATTCCTCCAGTATACGTAAATATTCTGATTCTGTCTGTGATGGAATGTTTGTTGATTTGTATTTAAGCGCTTGATTGTTGAACTTGTTTGCATTTTCGTGTAAATAATCTGCCGTAGTTTTTTTCCCCACCCCGTAATGTCCTGCAGCTGTCGCCACTGCTATGGTTGTCCATGTAAGAGAGCTGCTTAGCTCAGTGGGGCCGTGCCAGCTGAAATAATGAAGTCTGAGTCTGAAATGAATACCTGGTGCAGTGTGTAAGCGTAATCTCTACGGCACAAAGACAGCTGGGCGTGGTGCTGGCCACCCACCCCCTGCCATACTGGCATTCATAGATGCTCACTCACAGCACTTGCCTGAACACTCTGTTAAGGCTATACGTGGGATCTTTGTCTTTGCGCGCGCGTGAGCAGTGCCGAACCCGTGCGGGCGGCACGGCGGGGGGTGCGAGCACGTCTGCCTGCTCAGCCACCGCGCCGACACCGACGGCCTCGGCTTCCGCTGCCGCTGCCGCCTCGAGTTCGAGCTGCAGGCCGACGGACGCAGCTGCGCGCGTGAGACAGCCCCCCGGGCGGTCACAGTCGGCCGCGATCGCGCCACCGCAGTGGCGACAGCCGCCATGAGCCGCCCCCCCCCCGCCTCTCGCGGCCGCGCGGTGCAACGATCCGCCCAGCTCTATTAACAATATTCAAATTGTAAATGTTGTGGATTTACTCTCCAACACACCGGTGGGCTCAAGTAGTGACTTATTGGCGCGTTGTTTACGTGAGAAACCTTACCGGCTGTGTCGGGTGGTGGAGGGTTACGACACATTTACACTTACGCGATCTAACCCAAAAACCTTTATTATGAACAATATTGGTCGCGAAAGCCTTCTACGTTTTAAAATGAAGCTACGCTGAGTGAATGGGGTGCCCTTTCAGTCCTCCAGTGTCTGCGTTCCTGGAGGCTCCCTCCGACCTCCCTCTCTCCCCCCTCCCCGGTCCGCCTCCTCACCGCGCCAGTGGTGCAGACGTTTCTGCTGGTGTCGGCGATGGTGTCGGTGCGGGGGATCCCGCTGGCGCCGTCGCGCCAGGAGGACGTGGTGCTGCCCGTCAAGGGGAAGCCCTCCTACTTCGTGGGGGTGGAGTTCGACGCGGCGCGCCGCTCCGTCTTCTTCTCCGACAGCAGCAAGGGCAGCATCTCCCGGCAGAACCTGGACGGCACCGGTGAGCAGAAGATTGTCCGAGCCGGTCCTGGGCCTCCCCGAGGTCGACTCGGCCTCAAATGAGTACCTGGCATGGGTGGTCAATATCGCCAAAGGCAGCCCGGCGTGGTGCTGGCCTACCAATCCTCGTGCATCGTGTCGGTATTCATAGGTGCTTGCGAAACAGCTCTTGTACCGAGAGTCTCTTCAGGCTATGTGGGGGATTTTTGTCTTTGGTGAGGAGCAGCGGCGCAGCGGTCAGCGTGTTGCACTTCGAAGCCTGCCACCCGAGTTCGATAGCCACTCACAGCCAACATCTGCGACGAATATCTGAACCGGTCCTGGGCCTGGACTTGGTCGACTCAAGTCTTAAATTAGTACCCGGTACGGTGTGTAAATATCAACAGTGGGGATACAAAGGTGATCGGGCGAGGTGCTTGCCTTACCGCCCCCTAGTGTGCTGTGTCGGCCTTAATAGGTGCTCACTAACAGCAGTCGCCCCAACAGTCCGTCAAGGCAATAAGGGGTATATTCATCTTATTTTGGTTTGCGTGTGTGAGATGTACGTACGCTCGTGCACACGTTTGCTTTGGCACGCGGACACGCATCCCGTGTATCGTGCCGCGTGCAACTCGCAACCCCTCCCTCCGCCCACGCGGTGACGCCAGGCCGGCAGGTTCTGGTGGGGATCCAGGTGGAGGGCGTGGAGGCGCTGGCGTACGACTGGCTCTCGGGGAACCTGTACTGGACGGACAGCCGGCGCCGGGACGTGTCGGTGGTGCGCGTCGCTGACCGCTCGCGCCGCGCGCTCGTGACCGGCCTGCAGTCGCCGCGCGCCGTCGCCGTGCACCCCCTGGCCGGGTGAGGCCCTTCCTGATGGCGTCGTCGTTTTCTTTTGAATTTCCATTCGTAAAAATCTTTTCGCCAGTTTTATCCTCACGGTGTTCACGGTATGTGTGTAGAGTCCGTTGAACTTATACACTTTGGTTCTTTCGGTAAAGTCACGTAGGTAGAAAAAATATATAAGGACTTGTTTCAGCAGCCTGTTTCTCCATCCCACCTGAGGACGATTGCTTGTGTGGCGATAGAAAAGTCGTGATCTATTACTTTTTCTACCTACGTGACTTTATATTGTTAGGCTTTTTCGGTAAAGTCATGTAGGTAAAACATCTAAATTAATAAAAGTAAAATAAAAATAAAATAAAAATCACGACGTTTCGGAGGCAACACAAGCTTCCGTCTTCAGGTGGAACCGTCACAGCACGCTTGCTGTAATCAAGTAAATGAGAGATTCCAAGGGATACTACCCCGTATATATACTGGTTTAGGGGAGGGGGATGGGCCAGGACCGGCTCACTTTTATTATTATGGTAAGGTGTGGCTTGAGACTACGGCTAGTCTACTTAACAAAGGACTGAGCCTTTATTATGGTAAGGTGTGGATTGACACTACGGCTAGTCTACATAACAAAGGACTGAGCCTTTATTATGGTAAGGTGACAGTAACTCAAGAATAGTTGTCTGCCAAATAAGATGGTCCAAATATGTGTAGTTAAATCTTTTTTGCATGGTTAATCTCCATCTTTCCAATGATTACTCAGTTTGTACCCATCATCACGGTTGAAATTATGTCTGTGTTTGTATATTTGTATGGCTTCGTGTACAAACCTTTGATGGTAGCCAGGAGGTTTGCAGAGTACCTTGGTCTCGGAAAAGACAATTTCATGAGAGCCCACAGAGTTGTAGCAATGATCGGCAACGGCCGAAGAATCAGTTCTGCCGTGTTTCAGATCTGACTTGTGCTCGCGGACATGATCAGCAACATGACGTTTCGTTTCTCCAATGTAGCAATCACCACAACTGCAACTCAATTTGTAGACTCCGGGATACTGTAAGTCAGGAACGACATCCTTCACAGATGGAATCAGATCACGCATTTTATGCACTGTACTGAATCGGACTTGGATCTTATGTTTAGAATTTTGGAGATCTTTTTGGTCACGCCTGCTATGTATGGCAACGTGATAGTTTTTATCGGAGTTTCATGTGGCTGTTTCTGTATGGTGGGAGAAACAGCTTGGCGGATGGTGCGGTCAGAGTATCCGTTCATCCTGAGGGCCCGATGTACATGTCTTAATTCACTGGTCAGGTGGTGTTGGTCAGAAATGCCATGAGCTCTGTGGTATATCGTTTTGATGAGAGAATTCTTTTGAGATGGGTGGTGGTTGGAATCCGGTTTCAAGTAGGAATCTGTGTGGGTGGCTTTCCTGTAGACAGAATGTCCCAAGGATCCGTCAGGTCTGACATTGCAGTCACGAAAGCTTAAAATCTAGAATTACGTGACTTTACCGAAAGAACCAAAGAGTATGGATTCCTGCAGTCATGAAAGCTTCACATCAAGAATGATTCGCTGAACTTCTTTCGCACCACCGTACGTAGCCAGCCGTGCTTATCGGAGGTGCGGGGTAAGGACAAGAAACTAAACACACAAAGCAGTTCTAAAGTTTTGAGTTTTTTCAATCGAGATTTAAAAGTGCACAGCTCTTTTGACTTCCTAATATCGGAAGGAACAACGACTGTCTTTGTTCGATGGCTCGGCAAAAGCCATTGTCTCAATTTTCTCGCAAGGTGATGATAATGACGACGGTGGCTCACTGCGATGTGATCATCGTAGCCAGGCAGCGGTGCCTCGTGGTGGTGGCTGTGCACGTGTTCTGGAATCCAGCACTGTGGAGGCAGCAGGGAGGGTTGGCGGATCACCGCACAGATGTTGTGAAAGACTCCCTTCCCGTGGGTGTCGAGGAGGAGCCGTACCCTGCCTCACAGGAAAATGCGGCACAGCAAAAATGTGAACTGCAGCTGTTCCATCTGTATGGAATAGAGCGTTGCCCCCTCGCATGCATGGGTTTTCTCTGAGCGCGCCAGCCATGCGGTGAACTGGCGCCGGTTTCCTCCCACATGTAGACACATCTTCATATATATGGGGTTGTAGAGCTTGGGCAATTTTTTGCGCCAGTTCACCGCATGGCTGGCTTCCTGCTTACCTGCGGTCCTTCATGGCACCTCCCAGTCGCTCCCTGTGTTCGAGAGTGAGCGGAGTACCGCGGCCGTTTGCCCGTTGACATTACGATCGTGACAACTGTAATGGTGGTGGTGACGGCGACGATGTCGTCATCAGATACCTCTTCTGGAGTGAGTGGAACCGCCCGGCGAGGATCGTGAGGGCCTGGTGCGACGGATCCCACGTGGAGCCGATAGTGAACACCACGCTGGGCTGGCCCAACGGCCTCGCCATCGACTGGAGGTGCGGCAACGCGCGCAGCCACAGGGGAGGCGCCAGCGCCGTCACCGCGGCGCTCGCGCCTCCCCACGTCTCTCCACGTCTCTCCCATGTCTCCCCACGTCTCTCCACGTCTCCCCATGTCTCCCCACGTCTCCCCACGTCTCTCCATGTCTCCCCACGCCTCCCCACGTCTCTCCACGTCTCCCCATGTCTCCCCACGTCTCCCCTCACGTCTCTCCACGTCTCCCCACGTCTCGCCACGTCTCCCCACGTCTCGCCACGTCTCCCTACGTCTCCCCACGTCTCGCCACGTCTCCCCACGTCTCTCCCACGTCTCCCCACGTCTCGCCACGTCTCCCCACGTCTCCCAGTCTCCCACGTCTCTCCACGTCTCCCCTCGCGTCTCTCCACGTCTCCCCTCACGTCTCTCCACGTCTCCCCACGTCTCTCCACGTCTCCCCACGTCTCTCCCACGTCTCCCCACGTCTCCCCACGTCTCGCCACGTCTCCCCACGTCTCGCCACGTCTCCCCACGTCTCTCCCACGTCTCCCCACGTCTCGCCACGTCTCCCCACGTCTCTCCCACGTCTCCCCACGTCTCCCCACGTCTCGCCACGTCTCCCCACGTCTCGCCACGTCTCCCCACGTCTCGCCACGTCTCCCCACGTCTCGCCACGTCTCCCCACGTCTCCCCAAGTCTCGCCACGTCTCCCCACGTCTCTCCCACGTCTCGCCACGTCTCCCCACGTCTTGCCACGTCTCCCCACGTCTCTCGCACGGTTCCCCACGTCTCTCCCACGTCTCCCCACGTCTCGCCACGTCTCCCCACGTCTCTCCCACGTCTCGCCACGTCTCTCCCACGTCTCCCCACGTCTCGCCACGTCTCCCCACGTCTCTCGCACGGTTCCCCACGTCTCTCCCACGTCTCCCCAAGTCTCGCCACGTCTCCCCACGTCTCTCCCACGTCTCGCCACGTCTCCCCACGTCTTGCCACGTCTCCCCACGTCTCTCGCACGGTTCCCCACGTCTCTCCCACGTCTCCCCACGTCTCGCCACGTCTCCCCACGTCTCGCCACGTCTCCCCATGTCTCCCCACGTCTCCTCACGTCTCCCCACATCTCCGCTGGTGGAACTTGCGGACGCAAGTGGGAGGCTGGCTGATTACCGGGTGCAGTTAACAGATGGCTACCGACTGAAGTTGTTGTGTGCTGTAAATTACTGCCCGCTCTCAGAAAGAGTTGGAGCTGCTACGTGACCATATTTCTTCATATTTCTTCGGTTGTCTTATCATTACACTGGCAACCGGTCTTCAAACGAGGAGAGTTTAAGATCCTTCTACTAGTTTTCAAAGCCTTGCATGGGCGGGCACCACCATATGTTCACGAGCTAATTCACCCACACACCCCCTCAAGGTCGTTGAGATCTCGAGCCCGGCTGCATTCCTGGGATGAGCGGGCATTTTCTGTCTGCGCCTCAGTTGTGGAATTCCCTATCGTTGGAAATTCGTTTAACTGACAATGTGGATACTTTTAAGTCGAGTCTGAAAACACATTTTCTTAATTCCGTTTATTCTATTTAGCTTCTTCTTTCTTGGCATTTCCTTAACCTTAATCTTACAAGGCGCCGACATTAGTGGACGGCGCCTTACAAATAAATATAAGTTGTTATTATTATTAAACGCACAGCTTGCCACAAAGAGGCAAGGCCTTAACATCAGCCCCCCAACCCCCTCCACAAAAAGTAAGTAATCTCCTGAGCACCACATGTCATCGAACACTCCGCTAACCTCAACTCTTAATGAGAAATAGCGTGGCTGCGGAGAGAGTGGAGGAGACACATGCACCTGGCCACCTCCAGTTTGGCAGTGGAGATCTCTCTTGAAATAATTCGAGGGGTGTTATATTTCCATTGGCTATGTACAACGCTGCGTGGCGGCTGCCTGGCCTGTGGTCCATGTGACGCTCTGAGTCTTCTCACCACTACCAGCAGCAGCACATTGGTTAATATGAGCACTGCCATTACCACCACCGCCACCATCACCACCATCACCAGTATCGTCACCAACCACCAACGCCATCACCACGACCACACCGCCATTCTTGCCGCCACCGCTGCTTGGGGGTCGTCGTTGTTTTCAGCCGTGGGCAGCAGCAAGCAGGGGCTGGAGCTCTCCGTGGCTGAGCCCTGTGGCTGAGTTCACCGCCCAAGGGGCCGTCCATAAATGACGTCACGCACCTGGGGGGGGGGGGGGTTCAGACATTTGTGACGATGTGTGACGAGGGGGGGGGGGGGTGAGAAATGTGACGTCACATCAAAATGCGCAACTTTAAATAAATATAGAATTGTACTGGTAGGAACGAAGTGGACCAGCCTACAATAGATTGTATCGTCCGTCCGTCCATCCGTGTAGCAACATCGCCCCCTACTGCAAACACTTGGCATGACCCTACAAAAACCTTTAGACTCAGTGACGCTTTCCTGGCTAAACAAGTGTAACATTCCCTTATAATTCCCTCAGATAGCTTTTAATTAAAACATTTAAATTAATGAGGCTTTCCTGGCTAAACAAGTGTAACATTCCCTTATAATTCCCTGAGATAGCTTTTAATTAAAACTTTTAAATTAAAATTTAACTCACAGCGCCCTAAAGCCTACAGCTAGGCCTAAAGCCTCGAACTACGCCTCAAACTCTCCCTTCGTATCGTACCCCCGCGTGTGTGCAAGGGAGTTAATGTTTAACAATGTTACATTCCCTGATGCTTTTAAATAGAAACATTTAAATTTAAAGCTTTTACATAAATAATAAAAACATTTAAATTTAAAATTAACTCACGGCGGCCTAAAGCTTACAGCTAGGCCTAAAGCCTAGAACTAGGCCTCAAACTCTCCCTTCGTATCGTACCCCCGCGTGTGTGAAAGGGAGTTAATGTTTAACAATGTTACATTCCCTGATGTTTTTAAATAGAAACATTTACATTTAAAGCTTTTACATAAATAATTAAAACATTTCAATTAAAAATTAACTCACAGCGGCCTAACGCCTACAGCTAGGCCTAAAGCCTAGAACTAGGCCTCACACTCTCCCTTCGTATCGTCCGATTCGGTGTAGCAACATCGCCCCCTACTGCAAACACTTGGCAGGACCCTACAAAACCTTTAGACTCAGTGGGGCTTTCCTGGCTAAACAAGTGTAATAATACATTATGTTTATATTCTTTGGTTATTCGTTCCTACCAGCCCACCCCGCAGGGTCCTGTTTATACCAACACTCCTACAACATCAAAGTGCAGAGCCACATTAAATACGCACTACTTTGACAATAGTTTAATGCGATTTGAAGCATGTTTTATTTTCAAAATGGAAATATGGTTTTGTGGGGGGGGGGGGGTGGCAGAGCTTTGTGACGTAATGACGTAATATTTGAGGGGTGGTCTAACTTTTTGTGACGCCGTGTGACGAGGGGGGGGGTCAAAAATCGTCCAAAATCGCGTGACGTCATTTATGGACGGCCCCCAATCCCGTCGTGTCCGGCTGGCGCAGCTCCGACCGCCTCTACTGGGTGGACGCGTACTTCGACCGCATCGAGCACAGCGACCTGCAGGGCGGCGCCCGCACGGCGCTGGGCCGCGTCTCGCGCATGGTGCACCCGTTCAGCCTCGCCCTGCACGGCGGTAGCGCTCACCGCCAGCACCAACACCACTACTCACCACCACCACTACTCACCACCACCACTACTCACCACCACTACTCACCACCATCAACACTACTCACCACCATCAACACTACTCACCACTACTCACCACCGCCAACACCACCGCCACTACTCACCACCACTACTCACCACCACTACTCACCACCATCAACACTACTCACCACCACCACTACTCACCACCACCACTACTCACCACCACTACTCACCACCACCACTACTCACCACCATCAACACTACTCACCACCGCCAACACCACCGCCAACACCACCACCACTACTCACCACCACTACTCACCACCACTACTCACCACCATCAACACTACTCACCACCACCACTACTCACCACCACCAACACCACCACCACTACTCACCACCACTACTCACCACCATCAACACTACTCACCACTACTCACCACCGCCATCAACACTACTCACCACCACTACTCACCACCGCCAACACCACCACCACTATTCACCACCACCACTACTCACCACCACCAACACTCACCGCCACCACCGCTATTACTCACCACCACTACTACTACTCACCGCCACCACCACTACTCACCACCACTACTCACCACCACCACCACTACTCACCACCACTACTACTCACCACCGCCACCACCACCACTACTCACCACCACTACTCACCACCACTACCACTACTCACCACCACCACTACTCACCACCACCACTACTCACCACCAACAACACTCACCGCCACCACCACTACTCACCACCACCACTATTCACCACCAACAACACTCACCACCACCAACAACACTCACCGCCACCACCACTACTCACCACCACCACTACTCACCACCACTACTCACCACCACCACTACTCACCACCACCACCACTACTCACCACCACTACCCACCACCATCAACACTACTCACCACCACCACCACTACTCACCACCGCCAACACCACCACCACTATTCACCACCACTACTCACCACCACCAACACTCACCGCCACCACCGCTATTACTCACCACCACCACTACTCACCACCACTACTACTCACCACCACTACTACTCACCACCACCACTACTCACCACCACTACTACTCACCACCACCACCACTCCTCACAACCACCACTAACCACCGCCACCACCAATACTCACCACCACCACTACTCACCGCCACCACCACTACTCACCACCACCACTATTCATCGCCACCACTACTACTCACCAATTAAAAAGACAAAGATACCCCATATAGTCCTTTAACGGACTGTTGGGGTAAGTGCTGTTAGTGAGCACCTATGAAGGCCGGCAGGGTGCACCGGCGGGTGGTGTAGCCAGCACCACACCCGGCCACCTTTATCTCCCGAGTGGCGATGTTTACACACCGCACCAAGTACTTATTTAAGGTCGAGTCGACCTAGGGGAGGCCCAGGACCAGTTCAGATATTCGTCACCGATGTTGGCCGTGAGCAGGAATCGAACCCGGGTCCTTGGCTTCATTGCGCAGCACGCCAACCAATACACGACGGCTCCCCACACACGCGCACGCACACACACGCACATACGCACACACGCGCACACGCAAACACACGCATACACACACACGCACGCACACAAACACAAGCACACACGCACACACACACGCACCTGATGGTCTGCCGGAGGAATGCTCCCAAAAGGAAGTTGAAAATGCAATATTATTACGAACAAAGGTTCAGCTGATCGTGTAACTTAAATTTGCGCCAATACGAGGGCGCATGTGTACTCGTTTGAGGCCGAGTCGACCTAGGGGAGGCTCTGTTCAAATATTCACCACTGGTTTTGGTCTCGAGTGGGAATTGAACTCGGGTGGCCAGGTTCACAGCGCAACGGCACCGAGCACTGCACCGCCGCTCCCCACAATTGCCACCACCGGCATCGCATCCGCCGCAACGCAGGTGGGTACTTCTTAAAGACTCTGCTGAAACACCATTGGAACCTCATTTGCCAGTAGAAAAATATGATAATTGTTTTTTTACTCTTTTATCTGGCAACAAAACTGACACCTTTTTTACAAGGAGTCATGTTTGCATTGACTCTGATGGTGCATTGTCTTTGAGTTGTGCGCCTTTTGGCGTCATCTGGTCCAACACCATGTGAGACTAGGCTCTAAAGAAAGCTGTCTCGGGTGTGGACCAATCAATTTCAAGGACAGTGCATACAATATCAGAGTTATGTTTTTTGTTTGCTTTCCGACTGCAGGTATTGTGGTCTATGCAAACATGACTCCTTGTAGAAAAGGTGTCAGTTTTGTTGCCAGATAGAAGGGTAAAAAAACAATTATCACTCTGCTGAAAGTCGACAACGAGGGATCGAGAGACGACGAAACGTCCCCCCCCCCGCCGCGTGCCGCCCGCCAGACTTCATCTACTTCACGGACTGGAGGCTGGGCATGCTGCTGCGTGTGCGTAAGAGCGACGGGGGCGGCAGCACCGTGATGCGGCGCGGCGTGGCCAGCATCATGCACGTCAAGGTGTACGACGCCGGCACGCAGGCAGGCAAGGCCATGGGCACGGCGCTCGCGAGCACGCTCACGCGCCGTCACTCGCAGTCGCACACCCGACCCAGCTCCGAGCCAACTCCGGCTCAGCTCGGATGGCGGGGGGGGGCAAGAGCTGTTGTGGTCTGGGGGGACCACCACAGCGGCGATTCTAAAAACGAAAACTATAAAACTGGTTTTAATCTTGATTTGAAACTTTCGTGACTGCAGGAATCCATACTCTTTGGTTCTTTCGGTAAAGTCACGTAGGTAGAAAATGAAATAATTTATGACGTTTCAGGCTGCCTCAGCAGCAGACCATGCTTTCCCACCTGATGACGGACGCTTGTGTTGCGCCCGAAACGTCGTAAATGATTTTATTTTATACCTACGTGACTTTCCCGATTTCTTAGTTTTAGTTTTACCAGGTAAGGCCCACTGAGCTGCTACGTAGCTCTTATTTCCATAACCGACCTGGCTATCACGAAGTGGCTTATCACGTGGAAATTCATAGCGGCCAAATACCCTAAGCGCGTGGCGTTGATTTTAAATGCGGAGGTAGAAAAACACGGTGGTCCCGGAGAAAAATCCCCGCGACGGGGGTGGAGAGAACATGCAAACTCCAATAATGATTCGTTTGATTCACCGCTTTAGAGAGTGAACTCGGGTGGTGCCACGGAGGCATTTGGTGGTGCGGGGCCCACCCAGCAACCCCCCTAATTGCGACCCTGCCTACAAACACCACAGACACGCGCTCGCACACATGACCATGCACGGCCTTTCGCTATGTGCACACACACTCGCGCACGCATGCTGGCGCCTCACTGCATGAACTCGCGTGCGCGCCCTAACAGACGCACACACCTTTGTCTCCCTCGTCGTGATGTTTACACACCGCACCAGGTACTCATTTGAGGCTGAGTCGACCTAGGGGAGGCCCAGAACAGGTTCAGATAATCGTCACTGTTGTTGGCTGTGAGCGGGAATCGAATTCGGGTCGTCGGGTTCGTAGCCCAGCGCACAGCCCGCCACACTGCCGCTGTTACATGCGGACACGCTCAGCACACACGCTGATGCACAACTGTGTGCTTGTGCACGCACGGACACACACATGCTTGCTCGTGCATGCACATACTCTCAGGTACACTCTCTCAAGCACATCCTCGTACACGTGCACCGGTTCAGATATCGCTTGACACTGATATCAGCCGGGGCACTGGGTTCATACTCACACAAGAGTCCCACGTATTTAAAAGTAATTATGACTTTTTTTTAAAGGAGCTACGGTTACCCAATTACACTTTGCGAGAGATGATGGTTTGTTTATGACCATAAGGGGGCTCTTACCCGTACCGGTGTGATAATGGACATTTAATCGATGCGAAACCGTTGCGCTGGAAAACTGTAATCTGAGCCCTTTGTGTAGCAAACGATAATTTGAGAATCGCATTAAATTTTCCCAAGCTCCGTGCCAGCGATGGCTCGGCGCCACGCGCTCCTGCAGGCCCTCTCCCAGGTGCGCGTGCGGGGTGCTGCCACGCGCCTGTCTCTCCGATTGCACGCACGCTTGCCCGCCGTGTAAACTTCAGCATCAGGGGAGACAAAGGCGGCCGGGGGGGCGTGACACCAGCCACCCACCCTCCTTCGCACGTCCGCGCGTCTCCCCGTGCAGGCAGCAGCGCGTGCAGCAGCGCCACGCACCCCAACGGCGACTGCACCCACTTCTGCTTCCCGGTGCCCGAGCGGCGGCGCGTGTGCGGGTGCCCGTACGGCGCCCGCCTGGGGGCCGACCGTCGCAGCTGCGCGCCCGCGCCATCCGAAGAGCCGCCGCCCTCGCCGTGCCCGCCCCTCACCGTGCCGTGCGCCAGCGGCCGCTGCGTGGCACGGGCGTTCGTGTGCGACGGCGTCGACGACTGCCACGACGGCACGGACGAGGCCAACTGCACGCACGCCGGTGCGACGGCGGACCGGGCGCTCGCCACCCCCTCCTCGGCCTCCCCTCCCCCCCTTCCCTCCTCCCCACCACCCTCCACCCCACGCACAGCAGAATTAGTTTTAGCCGGGTCTGTCCGGGTTGTCGATGACTCCACCCGGCACACCTCATCCGCTATCCCACTCACTTTTGTCACGTGCTTGTTGCGGTCTCTCAGAGTCGCCTGGGAAATATTGAGTCAGAAATTCCCATTTGGCTGACGATTGCATTCTTCACGATGAAAACATAGCCGTACGCTTCCCTGCACGGTGACCAGAATATGGGGCGGTATGGCAGCAGCTTCCTCATCGTGTGTGCTTTCTCCGGGTAATCTGGGCAACCTCCAAAGTTGCCAACAACTCATTTTGAATAGAACTGGCCCAATAGCCACACACATGAGGACAAGACAAGACCGGAGATTCAAACTTGATTTGAAGCTTTCGTGACTGCAGGAATTACTCTTTGGTTATTTTTTTATGTAATTTATTTTCTTTCTACGTGACTTTACCGAAAGAACCAAAGAGTCATTCCTGAGATTCAGTGAAGCTGTCCTCAGTAATGAACATTGTGATTCTTCTGATTGTGATGGTGCATATGCATGGAATATTAACATTTAAGAGTAGTATCCCATATTGACACGTAAATTAAGCCTTAGCTGTGGCTGTACGAGAGTGGCAATGCCGACTGGCTAACAGTGTCAGTGAGCGTGGCTGCATATGTTGAGAGGTGGGCGCCACAGTGGAGAGATGTTAACTACCTCGCCTGGTATACAGGAGGTCATGGGTTCGACCCCGACGCTGATGTTTGTATATTTGGAGTTTCTCCCCATGGTCGTATGGATTTTTCTGCAGGTCCTCCGGTGTTTCCCTGGCTGCTGTAAATTCGCACGTGATGAGCCACTTTGTTGAGCCATCAATTATGACCAGGTCACTTAAAAAAAAAAAGTGGGCCTCACTTGGTAAAATAAAAATGGTTAATAGTTAAATCTTCCTTCTGCCCTCCTCCTTGCGTGTTCCGGACGGTCCTCGTTTCCGGACGCCGGGGGCGGCACTCGCGCTCAGATGGGACGTGCTCTCCCCTGGCCACGCGCTGCGCCAGCGGGAGCTGCCTCCCCGCGGACTGGCGCTGCGACGGGCGGGACGACTGCGGGGACGGGAGCGATGAGCTGGACTGCCCCTCGCCGCCGGGGACGGCCTCGTGCCCGGACGGGCACTTCGCGTGCCTCAACGGGCAGTGCGTGCCCGCCGCCTGGGTTTGCGACTCCGACAACGACTGCGGCGACGCCTCCGACGAGCGCAACTGCAGTGAGTGACGGCGTGGCGGCGGCTCACAGCTCTCTTGAATTTTTGGGATTTTTTTGACACGGCTTAAAAATATATATATTTTCGCCAACTTCATCCCGATCGTGCTATCGGCGTCACGGCGGCACTCGATGGAGAATTCACGGGGAACTCTCACGGAGCGGGGCGACCCCTTCGCGTTAGAGAACGGCCCGCCGCGAACTCGTGGATTCACGAAGCGCACGAACCGTGAGCGCTCAGCTTCGACGTCACCGACGTCGGAGCTGCCCCCGCCGTGCGCTCACTCCCCGTGCCCTCCCCTCCCTGAACGTCGCGCAGCCTACGCCGCGACGTGCGCCCCCGGCGCGCTCCGCTGCCCCGAGGGACACTGCATCTCGCCGTGGCTCGTGTGCGACGGACATCGCCACTGCTCCGACGGCTCCGACGAGATCGGCTGCAGTGAGTGGCGCTCGCTGCCCCGGTGTTGGTCCCTCCCTCGCTCCCACGATGGGGCAGAGGGCCCCTCGGCAGTGACACTGGTACCCCTGTGTGTGAGACAGAGCGGGACGTGTGTGCAGTGTGACCCGGTTTGGTTTTTGTGCATTTGTTTACGCCCACGCGGTATGTAAGTACGGTGTAAAGTTACTGCTGCTGTAGTTACTTTTTAAAATAGACATTTCATGTACTTTACGTATTTATTTGTCGTGATTTGCTTACCTTTCCTATACATCGCACTCCTCGTATTTTTATATTGTTTGTTTTGGTAAATTCTGACCCACCCCTTACTGGACATCTGTGGAAAAAGAGCTTTTGTAGCTCATCAGAATTTTCCAGGGTAAACAAGGATTCTGATACTGCGAATGCGATCAATGCGAGCGGCTGCCCTGCTGCTCCGGCCGTGCTGCGTATCCCAAAGTGAACGACGTCCGCTTCACGCGGTATCGACATTGACGGGCCGCCCGCCCGCCCCTCGCTGCCGTCCAACACGCCGCCGGCGCTTGCCGTCCCCACCCAGGCTACAACTGCAGCTTCCCCCAGTTCGGCTGCGCGAGCGGGGACCAGTGCGTCAGGCTGCGCAATCGGTGCGACGGCGTCGCCGACTGCCGCGACCACTCCGACGAGCGCGACTGCCGTACGTGTCCTCCACGCAGCGACGCTCCGGCCGTGTTCATCATCGCCACTTCTCTCGCCAATCACGTTCACGCGCGACGATGTTCACACGCAATAACTTCAACGTGCAATAACGTTCACGCGCAACAACGTTCACGCGCAATAACTTTTACGTGCAACAACGGTCACTTTCCACAACATTCACGTGCAACAATGGTCACTCGCGACATAATTCACACGTAATAACGTTCACGCGCAGTAACGTTCACCCTGTTGCGGTGTACAGGATAACGCCTCCATGCACGAATTCCTTCCACCCACACTGTTGTCTACGCAAGAATGTTTATACGCAATCACGTCCACGAAATAATGTTGTCTACGCACAAGAATGTCGACAGCCGCGGTGTCTGTTGGCCGAGGCCACTGAGCCGGTGACCTGTATGAGAGGATGAATCGTGGATGAAGGAGCTCTCCGCTTCGTGGACTGCGTTTGCTTTCGCTCGCTAACAGTGAGCTTCTCCCGCTCGCGGCCACTACGCGCACACACACCAACGCTGCACGCACGCGCCCAAACACGTGACACGCTCGCACATCGCATGCACACCAACGCTGTACGCACGCGCCCAAACACGTGACACGCTCGCACATCGCACGCACACCAACGCACGCGCGCAACACGGACAACCTCACGCACGCGGCAGCGACGCGTGAGCCGGGCCGGTGCCTCCGCGCCGAGTTCCAGTGCCGGGCGGACGGCTTCTGCCTCCCGGGCGAGTGGGAGTGCGACGGGCACGCCGACTGCGACGACGACTCGGACGAGCACGTCGGCTGCCCCCCGCCCCCCGCCTGCCCCTCGGCATCCTCGGGCGGCGACCCCGCCGGCGACGGGGCCCCCGCGCGGGCCTCGTTCCGCTGCGACGACGGGCGGTGCGTGTCGGCCGCGTGGCGCTGCGACGGCGACCGCGACTGCCGCGACGGGAGCGACGAGCGCGGCTGCCCCGCGCCGGCGTTCGCCTGCCCCGCCGAGCGCCAGTGGGCCTGCCCCGGGCAGCGGGTGTGCGTGGCGCACGAGCGGCTGTGCGACGGCAAGAAGGACTGCCCCGACGGGGCCGACGAGTCCCCGCTGTGCAGTGAGTGTTCCGGCGCGCGGCCGTGACGGCGGCGGTGAGGGCAGCGGCAGTAACAACAGCAGTGAGAGCAGCGGCAGTGAGAGCGGCAACAGTAACTGCAGCAGTAAGAGCAGAAGCAGCAGCAGTGCAAATGTGAGCCACAGCAGCACCGCTCGCAGCAGCCTGCAGCCAGAGCTCTCCGGCATCTTTCCGAGTCCACTGCCATCCTACGATGCTCAGCAACGCCGGATGAAGCTAGTGCGGTGCCTGTAGCATATGTTATACAAGGGCCCTAAATAAAACTATATGAATATTAAAACACATTCTTTTTTTTTTTACTTGAATAGTAAAGTAATTGTATTTTTTCATTTGCTATACAGCCAGCTAATACGACAAATCGCTAACATTAAACACCCAGTCGTTCATAAAAGTTGAAGGCAGTATAGTATTATAATAACAGAGCAAGTGCAGAATCACTGAACCGCAATTGATAGCTTGAACGCATTTAGCGCGGGGCCCTTGAAAGTGCGGGTCCCGTAGCATTTGTAGCTACTTTTGCTACGAGGATAATCCGGCACTGATGCCCTGCGTCGCCAACGTGAGTGAGGTTATTGAGCGAAATGGAAAGTGATTGTGCGTGAAGATGGGCTGATGTGCAGGGCTTCATTGCAGCCGGGTTTGTCCTGGACAGTGAAGAGCCGGCACATCACATCCAGTATACAGTGGCGGCTGGTGATATTTATTTTTGGGGGGGCGCATTTTTTTTATTTTATTGAGGGGGGCAAATAAATATAAAGCAGTACCAAAAACCATTTTGACTACTTGAATATAAATTTTGATGATCTTTATTTACATTTCAGACCAAAAGAAGTACCAAAAAGCATGTTTCCTACTTGAACATAAATGTTTCTCTTTTATATACATTTCAGACCAAAGTACCAAAAAGCATGTTTCCTACTTGAACATAAAAACGTTAGTTTCATGCTATTATCAATATGGCTGCGGCTACTTTCATGACGTTTGCATTTGTCAGAGAGATGTTTGAGGTCTCTTACCCCCGTCGTTGTCCACAAAACTTCAGTGCCGACACTTTGAAATAAAAGACAGGGAAAACAAAAAAGAGAATTGCTAACATCACATCCAGCCAGCCACCTCCGTTTCTCATAACAAGCGCGGGTGAAGCTTCGTGTGTAGCTTCGTCCTCTGTCACTGGCCTGCTGCTGGATTTGTAAATCAGGTTGGTCCGGTCCGAGATCCTTTATCTTTTTTATTTCTTCCAGCGAAAGCCTTGTGAAAGGGTTTTTTTGTAAATAAATTACAGAATTTGGATGAACTGCTGCCATTGTTTACACAAAAAATTTGATCAGCCTAGCAAGTGTCAAAGTGGTGTCGCCTGCGCACTCGCAGTAGTGGCACAGAGCGTAAATTTGAATGACAGGTGACGAGAACCAATCAGATTGGATAAAATAACATGTATCCAATTCTGATTGGCCAGGGACGCAACGACTTGCGCCCCGAGGAGAATCTTTAAGAAACCAATTAGAGACCAGCTTCAGGTCACATGCTGTCCGAAAATTTAAAGTCTCACATAGACATCCATTTGTCCGGCGCCCCGCATGAAACACATTGAAAAACATAGAAAATAGTTGACCGATTAAAGCCAGTTTTTATTAAATGCTGATGCTTTTTTTACTACCAGCCGGCACATCGTATGAAAAAAATATTTTATTTATGTATTTTTATATAAATTTTGTATATGTATATTTCTTGAATATTGATGGGGGCGGCTGCCCCTGCGCCCTCTATTGGCGAGCCGCCACTGCCAGTATATCGCGTGCATTCTCCGCTCTACCGATGATCTGGGAAATATTGTGTGAGAAGTATATCCCCCGCCAATTCAAGTATTAACCCCTCGTGGCTGCCGGAGTTAGTGAATAGGCGCGACCCCCCCGCCCGCGTGCGTGCGCGCTCGCAGACCGCGACGACTGCGCCGTGAGCTCCGGCGGCTGCTCGGACGTCTGCGTGCAGGGCCCGTTCGGCGCGCAGTGCACCTGCGCGCCGGGCCTGCGCCTGCTCGACGACGGCAAGACGTGCGTGGACGAGGACGAGTGCGCGACGCCCGGCGCCTGCAGCCAGCGCTGCATCAACCGGCGCAGGTCGTTCCGCTGCCACTGCGAGCCGGGCTACGTCCTGCAGCCCGACGGCCGCTCCTGCAAGGCCACGGGTGAGCACGGGACACTGCCCGAGGTGCGGTGGCCGCGATGCCTCGGTGTCGCGGCGCTACGATGGCGAGGAGATGTTAACTACCTCACCTGGTATACAGGAGGTCGTGGGTTCGATCCCAAACCTGATGCCTGCTGTATATTTGGAGTTTGCGTGTTCTCCACGTGGTCGCATGCATTTTTCTCGGGGTCCTCCGATTTTTCTCTCCACGTGTGTTTAGAGTATGTGGCTGCTATAGTCGACCGTGATAAGTCACTTTGTTGGGCCATCGCTTGTGGCGAGTTCGCTTCTGTAAAAGAGCTGAGTAGCTCAGTGGGCCTTAACTGGTAAAATGCGCGCTCAGTGCCCGTGCCATCTGCTGCCCTGCTCGCCCCGGCTGTGTGAGCGAGAGCCGTGCCCGGTGTTGTTCGTCATCCGGAGACAACGGTGGAGTTTCAACCCGGCCTCGACGCGTGTCGTCCGTTCTCTCGTGCTCTCGGTTTTTGACATTAGCGCCTGGACATCATCCCCTCGGACAACAGCGGATTTATTCATATAAGCAGCGAGGTGCTTTGTAAACGTAATTTGTTATCACTATTGAGCATACTTTTCGATTTAAAGCTTTCGTGACCTGCATTTCCCATAAATATGCTAAATTTCTCTTGATATGCAAATTATTTTGTCAAGGCGCCCTCTCCCCCCCTTCCAACCCAACTTAAATATATGCTCCAAGCATGGTGCTGTTTCATTCAGACGCTGTCGCCTCGACAGATCTGGTTTTCACCTGAGGACGGCTGCTTGCGTTGTGGCCGAAACGTGAGAATTATTTTATTATGTTTTATTTTTATTATTTTATTCCTTCCCTTCTACGTGACTTTACCGAAAGAACCAAGAAGATTGACCTTACTCTTTCGGTAAAGTCACGTAGACAGAAAACTAATATTTCTGCAGTCACGAAAGCTTTAAGTCAAGATTACTATTGAGCATTTACGCACTGGTCGGGGGGGGGGGCGCCATGTTTCGCGTCCCACCCTCCCAGCCAACAACTGTGCAGACACATGGTTAATTGAGCAGCGACCCCCACGTGTCACCGAAACCCCCTTAATCCACACGAGTCGGGAGACACCTTTCATTTGCCCTTTGCCGCACACGCCGGTCAAACCGACGCGTCTCCTTCTCTCAACCGAATGAGCCAAATTGAAGTGACAGGGAGTCCAATCATTGGTGACTGTGAGGAGAACTCGCTGCGCCTGACGAGGGAAAGCCCAGGGTCTGAGTGGTGTCAGCTGAGTATCTCTGCCCAGCCACCTCTATCACCACACAGGCTGTACTACACCAATTGGAATCTTCATCATCATCAAAAATAATCGAAGTTGCAGCGACTTCGCCATTCTGCTCGGTCGCTTCGCTCGTTCATCACCCCATGGACGAGCGTCGATCGGCGACGGCGGCGGTGACGGTGGCGGTCGTGGTGGTGTCCTTCACCCGTGCCGGCAGGTCCCGGGCCGGCGCTGCTGCTGGTGTCCACGCGGCATGCGGTGCTGGAGTTGGAGCTGGGCTCGGCGGCGCCGACGCTGCAGACGCTGGTGGACGGCGCGGCCGGCCTGGTCGGCCTGGACGTCCACTGGGCCTTGGGGCGTCTCTTCTGGGCCGACTCGGTCGCCGGGCAGCTGTGGAGCTCCTCGCTGTCGAGACACAACCGCACGCTGGTGCCGCCCCCACTCACACTCCTCGCATGCGGTGACGCAGCGGTGGTGTTGGTGACGGTGGTGACGGTGGTGGTGATGGTAGTGGTGTTGGTAGTGGTGTTGATGGTGGTAGTGACTGACGGTGATGTTGATGGTAGTGATGGTAGTGGCGTTAACGGTGGTGGTGGCGTTAACAGTGGTGGTGGTGGTGGCGTTAACGGTGGTGGTGGTGGCGTTAACGGTGGTGGTGGTGGCGTTAACGGTGGTGGTGGTGTTAACGGTGATGGTGGTGGCGTTAACGGTGGTGGTGGTGGCGTTAACAGTGGTGGTGGTGTTAACAGTGGTGGTGGTGGCATTAACGGTGGTGGTGGTGGCATTAACGGTGGTGGTGGTGGTGGTGGCGTTAACAGTGGTGGTGGTGGCATTAACAGTGGTGGTGGTGGCATTAACAGTGGTGGTGGTGGCATTAACGGTGGTGGTGGTGGTGGCATTAACGGTGGTGGTGGTGGTGGTGGCGTTAACAGTGGTGGTGGTGGCGTTAACGGTGGTGGTGGTGGCGTTAACAGTGGTGGTGGTGGCGTTAACAGTGGTGGTGGCGTTAACAGTGGTGGTGGTGGTGGTGGCGTTAACGGTGGTGGTGGTGGTGGTGGTGGCGTTAACAGTGGTGGTGGTGGCGTTAACAGTGGTGGTGGTGGCGTTAACAGTGGTGGTGGCGTTAACAGTGGTGGTGGTGGTGGTGGCGTTAACGGTGGTGGTGGTGGTGGCCGCAGGTGCTGGGGGGCGGAGTGGTGGGCGTGGAGGGCGTGGCCGTGGACTGGGTGGCAGGTAACCTGTACTGGGCGGACAGCGTGCTGGAGTCGCTGCAGGTGGCGCGGCTCGACGGCACCCACCGAGCGACGCTGCTCAGCGACAACGTCACGAGCCCGCGGGGCCTCGTGCTCGACCCGCGGAACCAGTGAGATCCGTCGCCCGCCCTCCGCGCACCGCCCGCGAGGCCGCTCCTCCTGTCCCCGACGGTCTCTGAGGCCGCACGGGGGAACCGTTGCCATCTTCGTTGTTCCCTCCTTTCCGCAGGTCCCGCCTCGTGTTCTGGTCGGACTGGGGCCGTCGGCCGAGCATCGAGCGCGCCAGCATGGACGGCCGCTTCCGCCGCGTGCTCGTGTCGCACAAGCTCTACTGGCCCAACGGGCTGGCGCTCGACTACGCCACGGACACACTCTACTTCGCCGACGCCTACCTCGACTCGCTCGACTCGTGCGACTTCAACGGCGAGCACCGCCGGCAGATCCTCGCCGGGGACCACGTGAGTCGCTCCGCGCCGCCCGCGAGACCGCGCCGCCCGTGGCGTCGTCCTGAGGGTGATTGGCACCGCTTGCTACGTGAGTTGCCATGGAAATGGCTTCACCTTGTCACACGAAGCTGGTAGCACGTTAGGAATATGACCCGGAAAATAACAAAAAGCACCAGTTTGGAAATAACACAAAGCGCTTGTTTAAGAATCGGTATGGCGCAGGACTAAATTGAATTTGGTGAACATCGCAAATAGCTGTGAGTGATGACACCCCAAGACTCGTATTGCTTGTGACTGTATATTGATGAAAATACCAGGCAGTGACGAAATGAATCATAACGATGGGGATGATGATGATGACATTTGGTAAATGGCGACGTTCTGCAGCTGTTGCAGCACCCGCATGCTCTGGCGGTGTTCGAGGACTGGGTGTACTGGACGGAGCGGCACACGGGTCGCGTGGTGCGCGCTAACCGCTGGCACGGCACCAACACCAGCGTCGTCCTGGAGGGGCTGGAGCAGCCGCTGGCGGCCGTGGTAGTGCACCCAGTCCGGCAGCCCCCGGGTGAGCCCTCGCCCACCCGCCCCCGTTGCTGCCACGCACATCACCCAGAAAACAACTAAGACAAAGATCCCCCGTATAATCTATATTTGAAGTTTTCGTGACTGCAGGGATCCATACTCTTTGGGTCTTTCGGTAAAGTGACGTAGATATAAAACAAAATAAATTAAATCACTGATTTAATGAAATTAAATCACTGATTAATTTATTTTATATCTACGTGACTGATTTAATTAAATCACTGATTTAATTAAATTAAATCACTGATTTAATTTATTTTGTTTTATATCTACGTGACTTTACCAAAAGAACCAAAGAGTATCCCCCGTATAGCCTTCTAACATGCTGTTGGGGCAAGTGCTGTCAGCGAACACCTGTCAAGGCTGACGTGGCACACGAGGCATGGGTGGCCAGCACCACGCCCCGGACGCCTTTGTCTTCCTCAGTGCTGATGTTTACACACAGCACCCGGTACAAGGCTAAGTCTACCTAGGGGAGACCCAGAACAGGTTCAAAGCACAGTGTGTTAAATACTGCACCGCCGCCACACACACAAATGTGTACGCGCATCATTAACCACCGTCTACTGAGGCTGCGTGTGCAGCGTTGTGGGCAATGTTGTTGGCCTGGAATATCTGGCCACTGGGCATTTCCCCTGTAAAGTCGCTCCCGGAGGTGGACCACCACACACATGGGGCAAAACCTCAGCATCCGTGGGGCTGGGAAAGGATCAACAAATCCCAGAACTGGCTTGACAAACAGATGTCTGATTGCCCATTGGCTAGGTCCGGCCGTGGTTTTGGGGAATGTTGTTATTGTGCTGACCGGCTCGCTGACCGGCGTACGTACGTGCGTGCGTGTGTGTACGCAGCATGGAACCCGTGCGCCAGCAACCCGTGCAGCCACCTGTGCCTCCTCTCCTCCATGCGGCCGTACTTCTTCTCGTGCGCCTGCCCCTCGGGGTGGTCCCTCGCCACGGACGCTCACGCCTGCGCCAAGGGTAGCAGCGCTAGCTTGAACGCCGCACTGTGACGCCGCGACACACACACCACGCGGCGATCCTGCGATGCGACGCGGCACCCTGGCCACGATGTTAGAACGCACTGCTCTGCCACGGTGGGATCAAAATTGCGATTTGTAACACGCACAGTATTTCACAGACGTGAATGACCGAAACTCTGGGGCACAGAGCCAAGCTCGGTGTCACTTTAAAAAGCCAGGAGGGAGAGTTGGGGGCCTTTAAGAAGAGATGGGCTATTTAAGTGTCTCTTTAAAGTCGATGTAGGCTGTGAATGCACAGCAGCGGCGACGACAATGGTCGTGTTCCAGACGGTGGGGGCTGGCACGGAGAAACTTAAACGAAACTATTTTTTTTTCACCAGATAAGGCCCACCGAGCTACATGTGGCTCTTGTTCAGAAGCGACCTGGCGATCACAAATGACAGCGCAACGTAGTGGCTTATCACGTGTAACTTCATAGCAGTCAAATACTCTCAATGCCTGTTTCTAAATGTGGAGGGAAAAACTGTGGGACCCGGAGAAAAATCCACACGACCACGGGGAGAACACGCAGGCGTCAGGGTTGGCATTGAACTCCAGGACAGGCAAGACTCGGCAGTGTCGTTCCTCCTTCTTGGGATAGACAGGAGGAGGCTATGAGTCGCGCCACTACAGCGGGGAGAGTTCCACCGCGAGCTGTGGTGCAGAGCAACGGGAGCGAGAGAGACACGGCGGAAGACCGATGCTCCGACGTGGCTCGACGGTGCTGTGCGACGACGCAGCGCAAATCCGCGAGGGCCGCTCGAGCTGCACGTTGGCCGTCCCCGTGTGTGCTCTAGATGAGCAGCCCTTCCTCATGGTGGTGCGAGAGCGCGTGATCTTCGGGGTGCCGCTCGACCCCTCCGTGAAGACCAATGACGCCATGGTGCCCATCTCGGGCCTGCACGGCGCCCTGGACGTGGACTTTGATGAGAGAGAAGGCTTCCTCTACTGGGCGGAGAGCGCGGTGAGTTGTGCACACCGCTGATGCTGTGTCTGCTCGGTTCGTGGGTCAGAGCAGGAGACCGTGGCGCGCATCGTCTCCGGCTGTGAAGTCCGTCAGGGCGTGCCGGGCGGACTGGTTGTCGCCCGGCACGTGCTGGGGGAGGAGGAGGCTGTCTCGTGGTGCTGTGGCTACGTGGAGCTGACGTCCACCCAGACAGCATATAACATCGACATACGACATCTGTATTTATTAACCTTTTTATTTCCCCCGTGTATCTGGTGCTCTCACTGTGTTAAAGCGTTTGCTAAATAAATCGGTCCGAGATTCCCTCCACTCGGCCAGGTAAGATTCCTTAACAGTGGCCATCACATTCACGAGTAGGTAGGGAAACGGCCGAATCACTACTGCTGTGCGTGTCTGCGTGCCTGCGTGTCTGCGTGTCTGTGTGTCTGCGTGTCTGCGTGTCTGCGTGTCTGTGTGTCTGCTAGCCTTCAACGCTTCAAAGTGCATCTTTGTGGAGAATGGCGGCTGTTATTGTTCGTCTGCGAATGTGTGTTTCAGTGAAGAGTGACGTTGCAGTGGTTATCGCACTGCGCTATAAACCGGGCAACCCGAGTTCGATTTCCAAACACGGCTAAAATCGGTGACAAAAATCTGAACCGGCCCTGGGTCTCTCCTCTCCTAGGTCAACACGGCCTCGTGCCGTGTGTAAACATCAGCACTGGGGAGCCAAGGGCAGCCAGGGGTGGTGCTGCCAACCCAATCTCTCATGCGCCATGCCGGCCTTCGCTCTCAGCGCTTGCCCTAACATCCTGTGCAGGCTATACGGGGGTCATCTTACGTCTTCATCTTATTTACCCGCAGGGTTCGATTCAGCGCGTGCGCACGGATGGCACGGAGCGCGCCGAGTTCGCTCCGGCCGCAGCGCTGGGCGTTCCTGCCGCCCTCGCCCTGGACCGGATCTCACGCAACCTGTACTTCACCAACACGCAGGGCCTCTCCATAGAGGTGCACCCCTCCCTCCCGCCGGGCCCCGCAGCACTGCCATGACTCGTAGAGATGTGGACACTAACTGAGCCACGTAAGGGCTCTAAGAAGCACAACCCCTAAACCACGTCCACCGCGCGAACCGTGCCAGCAGATGTGGTCCCTTGATGCGCAAATGGAACATGAACGACTCTCCGGTGTGCGACTGTGGTCACGAGGAACAGAACAATGGGGCGTGTCACGAGCTCAATGTTTGATCACAAACACGGAGGAGGAGGCATCATCAGAGCGATGATTCACCACTCGACTACTCCCAACAATGTCCATGTTTATTTAGTCTATTCCTTCCCCCGCACCTCAGATTAGCAGAGTTGGCTACGTACGTTGCGAAAGAAGTTCAACATACACGCATCCAATGTATGGTTGTTGCTCCAAGGGCCATTTGGATATTTATAACATCATTCGTGGGCCATACAAAATTATCAATTAAAAAAATATCCCGTTATATTTGGTCAAACATTTAATTAACTCACCCCTAATGTGATGGCTGGAACTGTTTCTCTTTGGCGATGCGTGGTGATGTTAGCTGGTGTTGATGATGTTGCTACTCGCAACTGCTTTTCCAGGTTTGCTCCTAGATTTATTGAATTTCGAGTCCCGCCTGCGGTTGTCTTGGCAGGGCCAGAGACCAAATGATTCCGCGGGCCTCATACGGCCCGCGGGCCTCATACGGCCCGCGGGCCTCATACAGCCCGCGGGCCTCGTACGGCCTGCGGGCTGAACGTTCCCCACCTCGGCTCTAGATCAACATCGGCCGTACGGATAATATTTTGGCTCCCTCGGTAGGCCATTCTCTGAACCACGGGGTGATGCACCGTTCTGCCAGAGGTTCCATGTGGATTCTGCATCTCATGACATCACGTTGGCAGCACATTGGGAAAGAAAAACGTATTGATTAGGACCGTAAAATGACTTAACTGAGCACGAGTGAGTGTGGCCTGCATGGATGTGACGTTAAGTTTGACGTGCCAAAGAAACCTCCAATAACTGTCGCGCTGCGTTTTCCATGCCAATGTTTGTGACGGAAGCCGTGCGGGGTCTCCCTTCAGGTGGTGCGGCTGGACGGGGGCCAGCGCTACCGGCGAACGCTCATCACCAGCACCGGCGACGCCGCGGGCACCGGCCGCCCCGTCGGCATCGCCGTGGACCCGGCGCGGGGGTTCGTACGGCGCTCGGTCCCCCGTCTGCTCGCGCAGGAGATGCCGGTGCCGGTGCAGTGAATTGCCCGGCGCAGGCGCGCGGGCGCGTTGTGTTTGTGTGTGCGCGTTACGCGCGTCGTTGCGCGTCTGTGCACAAGTACGAATACTTCACGTGTGTGCGTTCCTGCGCGTGTAAATTGTTGCATGTGTATGCGGGGAGCGGTGGCGTAGTGGTTGGCGCATTGCGCTACGAATCAGACGACACGCGTTCTATGCCCGCTCATAACTCATAGCATTGGTGGGATATCTGAATCGGTCCTGGGTCTCCTCTAGGTCGACTCAGCCTTAAATTAATACCTGGTACGGTAGTAGGTTTTTACCCTTTTAAACTGGTACAAAACTGACACCTTTATTCAAGGCATCATGTTTGCAATAACCACAACACAAGTAGTCAAAAAAGCAAACAAAAAGAAGCAACTCTGATAATGAAAAATAATATGCACTGTCCTTGAAGTTGATTGGTCCACACCCGAGACCCGAGACGGCTTTCTTTAGAGCCTAGTCCCCATTGGTGTTGGACCAGATGACACCAGAAGGCGTACAACTCAAACACAGTGCAATATCAGAGTATTGAGAGCTCGGGATAAGCATTTACACTATGAGATCTCTTTTACCAGTGGCAAAATATAGTAGTAGGTTTTTACCCTTTTAAACTGGTACAAAACTGACACCTTTATTCAAGGCACCTGGTACGGTGTTTAAACATCAGCACCGAGGAGACAAAGGCGGCCGGGTGAGGTGTTGTCCACACACTCGTGTGCTGTGCCAGCCTTCATAGTTGCTCGCTAACAGTCTGTAAAAGGCTATATGGGGGATCTTTGTACTTACATGTGTTGTTGCGTGTGTTGTTGCGTGTGTGCTGGCTGCCCTGCGCAGCATGCTCTACTGGGCAGACCAGGGCACGGACAGCGGGGCCGCCCCCAAGATTGCAAGCGCGCACATGGACGGCTCGCACGCCCGCACGCTCTTCTCCTCCGAGCTGAGCCGCGTGGAGCAGCTGGCGCTCGATGTGGGGGCGCAGACGCTGTACTGGACCGTGGTGGGGCGCGGCGTGGTGAGCCGCAACCCCTCCCAGGGCACGCACAGCCCCGGCTCGCTGCCCCGACCCTCGGCCCCGACTCTCGGCAGGCATTACAATCCAAGGCAATGTGGATTCACGCAGCGTCTGAATGCGACCGCGTCTCAGGACGATGTGCAGAAGCAGTGGGCGGCCTTGTAGGCGGGGGGCAGTACCAGCCAAACAAAAAACGAATTGCGCTCGTCGCAGACACCGCTGTCGCCCCGCGAGGACGCGTGGCGGCACGTTCGTGCCGGCCTGTTTCACCGGCGCTCCCCCCCCCACCCCCTACCGCCACCGCCCCCAGATAGAGAGCGGCAGCGTGTCCGGCACGGGCCGCGTCGTGCGCGTGTCGGGGCTGTCGCGTCCGCGCGGCCTCGCCGTGCACGCCGGGCTCCTCTACTACGCCGACTCCGACTTCGAGGCGGTGGAGCGCGTGGACGGGATCGCGGGACGCAGGGTCGCAGGCCGTTGTCGTGAGAGCCAACCTGGCTGGGCTGCGTGGCCTGAGGGTTCACCACCGCGACGGTACGTGTCGAGCGCCCCGCGGCGAACCTCCCCTGGGAACGATTCTGGCTGCCGCCGGTCGCCGCGTGGCAGCCAACGGCGAGGCTGAACGATCCTCTTCCTCCCCCTCGCATCGCTCGCTCACCCAGCGCTCTCTCGGCGGGGCCTGGTGTGCTCGGGTTCCTTATCGGATCTCCTTCTCCCAGGCACCTTTTTCCGTATGAATGGGTGAGCACGACCGTTGTCACCCGCGCAGACTCGGCGGGCGGCACCAACGGCTGCAGCGGCGGCGGCGCCTCCCCGAACGGCGGCTGCGAGCAGCTGTGCCTGCCCGTGCCGGGCGGCGCGCGGGCGTGCGCGTGCACGCACGGCTTCCGGCTGGCGGCGGGCGGGCGCTCCTGCCTCGCACACGACTCCTTCGCGGTCGTGGCCCAGCGCTCGGGCATCCGGGGCTTCGACCTCGACGGGACGACCCACGGGGAGGCCGTGGTGCCCGTCGGCGGAGCAGGTGAGCGGGAGACGCGGCCGGCGGGGCGGGGGACGTCCGACGTTGTTTTCGCGCGCGCGCCGGAGCCGCCCCGCAAGCCGCGAGCGACGCGCGCGCGGCCTGTGCCCAGGGCGCGACGTGGTGGCGGTGGCGGTGGACGTGCGGAGAGGACGCGTCTACTGGGCGGACGGACCCGCCGGGGGCCACGGCGGCGTCCGGAGCATCGAGAGGGACGGCTCGGCGCTGGAGGACGTCGTCGCCACGGGCGTCGGCGCCCAAGGGATCCGCGGCATCGCCCTGGACTGGCTGTCTGGTGAGTCGGTCCAGCCTCGGACACTCTACCTGCACTGTTTACAGAACGGCTATCCTGTTCACAGGAAGTATGTTTCGTCTGCACGAACTGTGATTCGGTGACTGGAGTGAACCACTCTCAATAAGGCTCAAAATTCTATACAGCAGTGGCAAACGCAAAAGTGGTGAGCTTTGGAAAGAGATCAAAGTGAAATTTGTGGATTTGTGACGATAAATTTACATTTAATCTTTGAGTCGTGTCACCAAGGCGCTGACTGAGCACCGATCCGACGAACATCGCGCGACGCCACCGACCCCGCACCCTCATCGCCCCTCGGCCTCCGCTCTCCCCGTCTCCACAGGCAACCTCTACTTCAGCAACGCGTTCCATGCCGAGACGCTGCTGGAGGTGTTGCGCGTGGGCACGCCGTTCCGCGCCGTGCTGCTGCGCGCGCGCGGGCAGGAGCCGGCGGAGCTGGCCGTGGACCCCCGGGCACGCCGCCTCTACTGGCTGTCGGGCGGTCCCGGCGCGCGCCTCCTGGAGCGCTCGCTGCTGGACGGCGCCGAGCGGCGCTCGCTGCTCGCCGACGGGCTGGTGGCGCCGCGCGGCCTGGCGGTAGACGCCGCCAGCGGCCTCATCTACTGGGCCGACCCGGGCGCCGACGAGATCGGGCGCGTGGGGTCCGACGGGCAGGGCCGTGCCACCGTGCGGAGGGGTAGCCGCTACCCCGCGCCCTGGGCCGTCGCCGTCGTGGGGGACCGGCTGCTGTGGCTGGACCGCAACCTGCGCAAGGTGCTGCGGGTGAGAACCGGCGGCGCTCGCGATCGCGACGGGCCGAGCCAAAGGGTCGCTCGTTTGTCCGAGCTTAACCGTAACAATCCTGAATCGATTGAAGTGCCTCGGCGCTGAACGGAAATCCTCGTGTTGCCCCCCCACCCCTCCCGGCAGACGAGCAAAGAACCGTCGGAGGGAGACGTGCAGGCGGAGGTGATCCGCGATGAGCTGAGCGAGCTGAGCGGCCTCGCCGTGTTCCACGCGCTGGTGCAGCCCGACCACCCCAACCCCTGCCGCTCGCTCGAGCAAGGCAACAGCAGCAGCAGCGCCGGCAACATCAGCGGCGTTGCCGGCACGTACGGACCCGACCCCGGGGTCTGCTCCCAGCTCTGCTTCGCGATGCCGGGCGGCGCATGGGAGCGGCGTTGCGCGTGCTGCCAGCGGGCAGCTGGCGGCGGACGGCGTGACGTGCGCGACGTCGCTGGACGGGGAGCTGCTGCTGCTGGCGCTGGAGGAGGGCGGCGTGCACTCGCTCGGCCTGGACCCGGACCCGGACGGGCGGCGCCCGCCGCCGTTCGGCCCCGTGGCGGCCGGGCTGGCCACCGTGGGGCTGGACGCCGACGCCGCCGCCGGGAGGGTGTACTTCACGCACAGCCTCGGCCACGGCCACGTGGGGCTGGCGCGATTCGACCTGTCCGGCGCGGACGGGACGGCCCCCGACATCACCAACATCACCTCCAGTGCGTGGGTGCGGGCGTGGGCGCGGTGCCGGTCGCACCGCCGGCCCGTGCAGGCCTACGTAGGTGCTCGCTTACAGCACTTGTCCCGAAAGCCTATGTAGGCTATACAGGTATCTTTGTAATTGTGGGCATAGTTGATTGGATTTCAGGCACATTTCTCAGATATCTCTTTAAACTAAACTATTTAAATTTCACCAGGTAAGGCCCACTGAGATGCACAGCTCTTTTTAAGAAGCAACCTGGCCACAAATGGTTGCTCAACGAAGTGGCTTATCACGTGGAAATTTATAGCAATCAAATACTCTAAATGCATGATTTTAAATGTGGAGAGAAAAACCGGAAGACCCGGAAAAAAATCCACACTACACCGGGGAGAACATGCAAATTCCAAATATCACAGGCGTCAGGGTCGGTATCGAACCCACAACCTGCTGTATACCAGGCGAGGTAGTTAACATCTCGCCACCGCGGCGCCCTTTCCCCCCAAGCCATTCGCAATGCCTTTGTTAAAAAGGCGACACAAATGTGATGATTGCGTGTCCACAGCACCGTTCGCGGTCGGCAGCGTCAGCCTCGCGTGCGACCTTTAACGCCGGGGCGCTCTCGCTGACCCCCCATGCCCTCGCCCCTCCACCCCCATCCCGCCGGGGCCACCAGTGGAGAGCTCGCGCGAGGACCTGGCGTTCGACTGGGTGAGCCGGCGCCTCTTCTACAGCGACTTCAAGGGGCAGCTCATCGCCTCCATGAGCCTGGAAGGCACCGAGCACACGGTGATCGCCCGGGTGTCGCACCCCCTCGCCATCGCGCTGCACCCGTGCCGCGGGTGCGTCTCCTCTGCCGGCTCCGGGGGAAAAGTCTCGCGTCCCTAAGCATCGCCCCCCCCTCAAGATGCTCACTCGGAAGCTGATCTTTAGTCTTAATCGTCACCTATCGTCGTCGTCATCTGCTCCAAATGCGATTGCTGATTTTAAACTTCTGACTCATCTCAGCCAACTCAATTGTAACGCAAATTTAAATTGGTCGCATTGTATTGGCTGGGTGAACTCATCGCCATCGTAGGCGGCAGCGCTGAATGTGACTATATGGCCACGCTACGTGATTCTGATTGTTATTAATTTGGAATACAATTATAATGAATGTGCAATTTTAAATTAGCTTTTCATTTTTTTCGCTTTTCAGATTTGTATTCTTGATGATTCAATTGAACCGCTCGGATGTTGAAATCAAACGTCAGATTTTATGACCCAGGACGTTCTTGCGATTTCCATCTCCTGGTGAAATACGCTTCGATCCTCCACGCTCGATACCCCCACCAACATAAGCGGCAGGCTGATGATTTATAAACCCTTGTGCCGCTTAACCGATTTTCAAACAAAAAAAAGGGCCGGAAATGTTTCGCCCCCATAAAATGTTGCGAGTAGCTTCAAAAAAATCAGGAACGGTTAAATAATCCAATAATCATCAGCCGCCCGCTTACATCGGTACGGCTGGCGAGTGTGCCTCTGCCGCAACTCGTGTCCGCACGTGCCGCGTGAACGTTCGTGTACACGCGTGCGTGCGTCTGCGTGCGTGCGTGCGCTTGGGCGCGTGTGCAGCTACGTGTACTGGACGACGTGGAGCCCTCACCCCGTCATCGAGCGCGCAACCCTGGCCGGCAACTTCCGCACGAGCATCGTCAACACCAGCCTCGCGTGGCCCATCAGCCTCACCATCGACCTGCCGGACGGCATGCTCTACTGGGCCGACGCCTACCTGTACGCACGAGCCACTCCCACTGCACTGCGGGACACCTCACTGCACTCACGCTGCCCGTTGATTGTGTGCACACTACAAACACACGAAACACTTACAAAGACCAAGATTCCCCGTGTGCCCTTAACAGACTATTGGGGATAGTGCTGTTAGCGAGTAGCACCTATGAAGGCTGGGCATGGCACACGAGGGAGTGGGTGGCCAGCACCACGCTGCACCAGGTACTCATTTAAGGCTGAGTCGACCCAAGGGCTGGTTTAGATAATTGTCACTGGTGTTGGCTGTGACCGGGTATCGATCTCGGGTCGGTGGGATCATGGCGCAGGGCGCTTACTGCGACACTCCTGTTCCCCACACATGATGCACACGCACACACAACCACACAGTTGCCGTGTACACACACACCGTGCGAGCGCCCTGTACACACACTGCATGGACTGCATCCTGCTAACCTTGGTCACATGGCCAGTGATAGCAGCCAGTCATCGGCGGCTCTTTAGCCAACGCCGGCTCCGCGTGCCACTAACCTCCAGGCAGAGGATCGAGCGCGCCTCACTGTCTGGCTCGCACCGAGAGCTGGTGCTGGGCTCGCTGGCGTTCCCGTGCGCGCTGAGCGTCCACGGGCAGCACATCTACTGGACGGACTGGGAGGATCGCGCCGTGTTCCGCGCCAGCAAGCACGACGGCTCCGGCCGCCTCGCGCTACTGCGCGACCTGCCCCACCGGCCGTCGGCCCTCAAGGTGATGGCGCGGTCGCGCCAGCCGGCGTGCGACAACCCCTGCCAGCGCTTCAACGGGGGCTGCAGCCACGTGTGCGCGCCAGGTGCGTGGGCGCCGTCGCCAGGACGTGGGGAGCGGGGGAGGTGGGTGGGGTGCTACGATGGCGGTGGTGCACAAGCACACAATCTTTCATCGGTAAATGTGTTTACTGGCACGAACCGTTATATTCTTAGGTTTTTTCGGTAAAGTCACGTAGGTAAAAAATTTAAATTAATAAAAGTTTTTTTATTTTATTTTACTTGTATTAATTTTAATTTTTTACCTACGTGACTTTACCGAAAAAACCTAAGAATATGAATCCTTGCAGTCATGAAAGCTTAAAATCTAGAACGAACCGTTATGTTGGACAGCAGCTCACTGAGTCCATCCTTAAGCCTTCTCGCTCAGTGACAAATATTTCAACTGGTTTCCAATGAGAAGGAAAGGAGCAGGGGGACGTCGTGTGAGTGAGGGTTGGTACTGTTGTATATATAAATTTCGCAGTGCCGTGAAGCCTTCTGGATTAATCAACGAAGCGAGAGTGAATTGAACTACGCCCTATTCGTACCGAGTGTGCAGGGCCCAGCGGGCCGGAGTGCCAGTGTCCCATGGAGGGCAGCTGGGTCCTGGCGAACAAGGACCGAGACTGCGTGCCCAGCGAGGCGGCGCCGTGCCCGCACTTCTTGTGCGGGAGCGGGCGCTGCGTGGCGGAGAGGAGCACGTGCGACGGGCGTGATGACTGCGGGGACGGCAGCGACGAGACGGAGAGGCTCTGTGGTGCGGCGCCAGCACGGCACTCTCGCTCGTTCGCTCGCTCGTTCGCTCGTCGTCGTCATCTTCATCACGACCCTGATCGTTGCTTTTATCATGGCGCGGTCATTATCGTCATCCTGATCGTCATCGTTGTTATTGTGTAGTCTGAGATTTCACTGAGCAGCGGTGGTACACGCCATCTCGTCGGGGAGTAAAGCCTTGTCACCCTTGTCTGACGATGTACCGCGTGCGCCCCGTACCGCGTCGCCATCGGCGGCACGCGATCCACACGCCCGCTCACCCTCCTCCGCGCTCCTCTCCCCCCGCCACCCGGCGCCGCCAGCGCTGCGCACGTGCGCGGCCACCGACTTCGTGTGCGACAGCGGGCGCTGCCTGTCGTACGCGCACCGCTGCGACTTCCGCGACGACTGCGGTGACGGCAGCGACGAGCGGGGCTGCGCCCACTCGGCGTGCGACCCCACCGCCGAGATCACGTGCGCCAACGGGCGCTGCGTCGCGCTCGAGTTCGTGTGCGATGGCGCCGACGACTGCCGGGACAACGCGACCACAGACGAGCGCGACTGCCGTGAGTTCCCACGCTGCCATCTCACGCCTCTCCGTCTCTTCTCGGGCGGTCTCCGTGGGCAGGGTCATGGACGCCCCACCTCTGAATCCCCGGCTATTCGTGCTGTCCACTCCACGCCCCTGTTCAAATCTAAGTTCAAGAATCCTCGGCCTACGATTGGCTGCCTCTTCCTCTGGGGCCCCTCTTGGCTGGACTACGGCAGGGCATTGGGAATAGAAGAGATGCCGAAATAAATGCACTCAACGTCCAATCAATTCCGAAGCATTTTATCTCCCGACAAATGCTTATCCTTACATGCGATACCTAAATGTGAATGTGCTTTAAGTGACTCAACCGAATGCAATTTCTATTTGTGCAAGGTTCAATTGTTAATGCATCTCAAAACGTTTCAGCCACGCCTGAGAATATGACGTGGAGAAAGAGGCGCGCTTTGTAAGATTGAGCTGCGCCGGGCGGATCGTGAGCTGCGGCGTCTCTCGTGTCTCGCCGGCGCCCGTCTAGCCGTGACCAGCTGCCTGCCGGGCTACGTGCGGTGCCAGACGAGCAGCCGGTGCGTGCGGCGCGCGTACCTCTGCGACGGCGACGACGACTGCGAGGACCGCAGCGACGAGAACCCCGCGTTCTGCCGTGAGTCCGCGGGTCCCCGCGTCCACACGCTCGCGCCGTGTACGCATGCGCCAACCCGCTCGACTTGTGTGTACGACGATGACAGTGATGATGATTATTACGACGACTGACAGTGGCGATGATGATGATGATGATGATGATGAAAATAATAACACTGGTTACAATTGGTGCAAATGATGATGGTGATGATGACATTTATGACGACAATGATGATGATGATGATTTTTCCTTGTCCGCGTGACGTGCGCTGCTCGCCGCGTCGTGGGACAGTGGGGGTGTCGTGCCCCCCGGAGGATTTCCGCTGCAAGGTGGGCCGCTGCGTGCCGCTGTCCTGGGTGTGCGACGGCACGGCCGACTGCGCCGACTCCTCGGACGAGCCGCACTCCTGCAGTAAGCGCGCTCGCTTCTCCGCAGCGCGGGGCCGTCAACGCCCGTGGGTGACGGTGCCCATGGTCGCGGACAGGTGGTAGTTGCTGGCATGGCGGAGCGCATTAATTTTGTGTTCTGGGTAATTATGACCGGGGATCCATCTCAGCCGGATCCGTCTGGGTCGGTGACCCAGAACATATTTCCACATCCCTTTTGCTGTGGTTGTGGCTACGACCAGTCACCCTGTTAGAGATTAAGTCTTTCTCACAATGACGATGGTGACAGTTACGGCGATGATTTTTGTTGGCCTGTGCGATGGTAGAGATAGTGTCACAGTGTCACCGCTCTCGGCGGTTGTGCTCGTTCTGACAGAAGTGATTGTGTTGCTGCTACTGCTGCTGTTGCTTGTGCTGGTTAGTGCTATGTGTTGTGATGGTGCTGCCGGCGCACCTGCTGATGCTGTTGGCGCTGGTTGCGATTGCGATGGTGACGCTAGTAGTGCCGATGGAGATTATGTTTGCCGGTAGCGATGGTTCTCCCGGAGCTGCCGGCCGTGGCGCTGGCGCTTCTGCCGGTGCTGCCGGTGGCAGTGACGCCGCGAGTACTTTCTGCCGTCGATGAAGATGCCGTTGACGTCACTGGCGGTGCCACGCACGCCGTGTGCGCTAGGTGCGCTGGAGCGAACGTGCCACGCGGACCAGTTTGCGTGCGCCAGCGGGCGCTGCGTCCCGGCCGACTGGCGCTGCGACGGAGATGACGACTGTGGAGACGGCAGTGACGAGGAGCATGGCTGCGGTGAGCACGCTCGCAGCACGTGAGGTTCCCTACCCTTCATCCAGCAGTGGACCGATCATGCGCGGCTGACGACGACGATGACTTTTTTTTCCAATCTAAACGAAGACGGCACGGTTTGGAGCGTAGCCTTGGGAGTGTGCGGATGGTTTGTAGGATGCGTCGATGACCACGCGAGCGCGTGGCTGCGTGTGGTTGCACGGAGGTACGTGCGTTTAAGCTCTTCAGGTGTGTGCGATGTGTGTTGTCGAGCCGTGGGCGTGCGCGGTCGTGACCGTGGCGCGTGCGGTCGTGTACTCGGTGTGCGTCGGGGGCCCCTTGTTGTCGGCCCCTGCTCGTGTGCGGCGCAGAGAGCCACACGTGCAGCCCCGAGGAGTTCTCGTGCGGCGACGGCGGCGCTGGCGGCGGTGGCGGCACGCGCTGCGTTCCGCTGGCGTGGCTGTGCGACGGTGACGCCGACTGCCCCAACGGGCGGGACGAGACTCAGAGCTGCCCCCCACGCTCCTGCTCCTCCCACCAGTTCCACTGCGACAGCGGCCTGTGCATTCCCGAGCGATACCGGTACGTGCGGGCGCGGCGACGCGGTGGGCCGGCGCTTCCAACAATTTCCCAAGCTCTGCAGTCCTCGGTATATGAAGATGTTTTCTGCCGGAGCGCCAGATTGACAGGGAGCTGAAAACGATGGCATCGACAACGTAAATAAATGCGGTTGTCCTCACTGCGTCCGCGACGTCCGATCCGCCGTGCCGTCTCCGCCCGTGCCCGTCCCCGCGTAGGTGCGACCGCCGGAACGACTGCGGCGACGGCTCGGACGAGTTCGGCTGCTCGTACCCCCCGTGCAGCGCCGGCGGCGAGTTCACGTGCGAGAACGGTCGCTGCGTGCCGCGCGGCTGGGCCTGCGACGGCGACGACGACTGCGGCGACGGCTCGGACGAGGAGGCGTTGCCGTGCGGGACGCCGGCGCCGGGCCCCGATGCGCCGCCCCGGTGCCCCCCCGGCTACGCCCCTTGCAGCGCCGGGGCCGAGGGCGGCGCCGGCGCCGCCGCGCCCGGGTGCGTCGAGGAGCGGCGAGTGTGCGACGGCGTCGAGGACTGCGCCGGCGGAGGGGACGAGAGGGGGTGCGGTGCGTCCATGCTCGCGCACGTCGTCGTTTTGTTGCTCGTTGCACACGGTGGCCCCGATTGTTCGCAATACAGGGTCTCGCCATAGGAACGTAAGCTAAAAACGGAAGTGTTATTTTTCTAACTAGGTCATTCCCACTGATCTATGTAGCTCTTTTTCAGAAGCAACCCATAAAAATACTCGCATGTTGATTGTAAATGTGGAGGGACCCGGAGAAAAATCCACGCAGGCACGGGGAGAGAGACACACCAACTCCACATCTGTGCCATCCCCTCCGCTATACGCTCATTGCACGAATCAGCCCAGTTGCAGGTGCTAGGTGGATTCATGGTGGCCCGACGTTGGGTCAACGTTGCATGTTCACTGGATCATAGGACCGTCGTGAGACATGGCCGCGGATTGGGCAGGGATTTATCCAGCAGTGGATTGATCATGGCTGATGATGATAATGATTACGACTCAGTTCACATAGTGGCCTCGCAGTGGAAAGTTATGGTCTTGCCATGGGAATGTGGAATTGTGTTCATGTTCACAGCCTTGACTTCCCCCAGACACAACTGTCAATAACAGGGCGCTTGCCGCAGACACGTGCCTTGCTGTGTAGAGACTGAGCCTGGCCTCGTAAATGTGGAACTTGAGTGTGTTCGGACGTTGTCACGCACCCATACATTCCTTGGATAGACTGGGCCCTGTCATAGGTGAGGTGTGGAAAGTGTCGTCTGGCGAGGTGTGGCGTAGTGTGGCATGGTGTGACACGGTATGGCGTGACACGACATGACATCGTGTGGTATGGCGCGGCATGGTGTGGCACGGCGTAGCATTGCACAGTTCGGCGAGGGTGTTTAATGGTGCGGTCGTGACATGGGTCACTTCAATGGTGGTGGCGTGGCGGGGCGTGGCGGAGCGTGGCGGAGCGTGGCATGCCGTGCCGCGTGCACCCGCAGGCGTGAACGAGTGCGACGACGTGCTGGTGAGCCGCTGCGCCCAGGAGTGCGTGGAGCTGGTGCGGGGCTGGGCGTGCGCGTGCTCCCCGGGGTTCCGTCTCCTGCCAGACGGCCGCGCCTGCACCGACGTGGACGAGTGTCACGAGCAGCCGGGCACCTGCAGCCAGCGCTGCCAGAACACGCCCGGCTCCTTCCGCTGCAAGTGCGAGGTCCGGCACCGTGGCAGGGCGCGCGCCGCCGCCGAGCGCTTTGTGCCAGCCTAGGTGCACTTCGAGGCTGTCGCGTGAATTGTCGACGGCTCGCTAGCAAGGTGGTCACGGGACAGACCCAGGTGTCGTGGGTTGATTGACTGAGCTGACCGGCAGACGCACCCCTGTATTCATGTTGAACTTATTTTGCACCATACGTAGCCAACAGTGTTAAGGAAGGACAACAAACTAAACACAAAAAGCAGTTCTAAAGAAATTAGTCATCAATCTAGATTTAAAAGTGCATAGCTCCGGTGGCTTCCTAATATCGGAAGGAAGAGCGTTCTAGACGGCCTCAGAAGTGCATCTGGAAGCGCCCAATGCAATGACCATCTTTCTTTGGGTCTTTTGGTAAAGTCACATAGATAGGTTCAAAGAAAATAACAAAAGTAGTTTTTTTTGTAGTTTTTTGCTATTTTCGTTATTTTCTTTGAACCTATCTACGTGACCAAAAGACCCAAAGAATTTGAATTAATGCAGTCACGAAAGCTTTAAGTTTTGTGACCATCTTTGTTCGATGGTTAGCCAAAAGCCGCTCCTGCGAGGATAACCAGAGTTTGCGTGATGGTTTATGCTCCATGACGAGATCAGCAAGGTATTGTGGTTCATTCGTGGCAAGCACTTTGTGTGCCATCAGTGCGATCTTATAACCTATTCGTTCGGCAATGTATTCAGGGGCCTGTGCTCCCCACTGTGCCGGCTCGTGTGAGATGTAACCGTGTGACGCTCCGCACGTTCACTCATTGCCGCGCGTGCCCGCTCGTGTCTCCGCGCAGCCCGGCTACGCGCGCGGGACCGGACGGGTACTCGTGCCGCCAGCTGAGCCGCGTGGAGCCGCTGCTGCTGCTCGCCAACCGCTACTACGTGCGCCAGCTGTCCATGGAGGAGCGGCCGTCACTGGGGCCGCCGCTGCTAAGCGGCCTGGGCCGCGTGGTCGCCCTCGACTTCGACCGCGTGGAGCAGCGGATCTACTGGAGCGACCTGGAGCGCGACGTGCTGGAGCGGGCTTTCCTCAACGGCACGGGGCGCCAGGCGGTGGTGTCGCACCTGCTGGGCGACGCCGAGGGGCTGGCGGTCGACTGGGTTGCCAGGTGTGCCAGGGGAACGTCGCTAGCACCGTCGTTATTCTTGAGCGGTTGTGGCTGTAAATTTCCGCCCGGAGTGACTGGCCTCCAACTCGGGTTTTGCTGCATGCCGCGCCGTCAGAGTATTGCTTGACGTTGTTGGTTAGCGCGATGCCGGCCTTCGGTGATGCGTTGCGGCGCCTCCGTACGGTGTGGGCCGCGTGGCCGCTGCAGGAAGCTGTACTGGGTGGACGCGGAGAGCAACTGCATCAGCGTGGCGGAGCTGGACGGGCGATTCCGCACCAGGCTCATCGCGGGCTGCGTGGACGCCACGCACTGCCTGGAGAGCCCCCGCGCACTCACCTTGCACCCCCGCTTTGGGTAGGGCACACCGCGCCATGCCACATCGCTCCACACCAAGCCGCACAGCGCCGAATTACGCCACACCGCGCAGTGCCACATCTCGTCACGCCACGCCGCACAGTGCCACATTGCGCCATACTACGTATGTATGTTGCACTTCCTTCGCACCGTACGTAGCCAACCGTGCTAATTGGAGGTGCTACACTGTGACACATCACTCGATACTACACCATCACAGGACACATTACACCAGCTCGGTGCAAGGGTGGTCAGCATCATGAACACGGTTGTATCCTCGAACGTCTCGTGCTGCAAACCTTTTGTCGTGTGATCGCGTGACCGGGCTCGCTCTGCGCCGGCACAGCCTTCTCTTCTGGACGGACTGGGGTCACCGGGCCTACGTGGGGCGTGCGGGAATGGACGGGGCGCGGCCCCAGGCCCTCGTGAGTAGCAAGCTCGAGTGGCCCAACGCGCTCACCCTGGACTACACCACGGACCGGCTGTACTGGGCCGACGCTCACCTCGGCTGCATCGAGTGAGTCCCGTCCGTCGTCGCCCGTAGCAGTCGCGGTGACTCCCCGCGAGAGCCGTTGACCGCACGCTCGCAGCGCAACACCGGCGATGGGCTTGATGGCCGTCATGTGATTACGTTTGGGTCACGGGGCAAGCGGGGATCTTGATTCTGGAGAGAGGGGATCTCGTGAGCTCCAGGCGCTGGAGCTCACGATGGTCCATTGACTTCCTCCCCTCTCCCACTCCACCCTCATGCCAGCGGTGGGCTTAGCGCGGTTAGCGTGGGCCCTGATGCACAGAATTTAATTGGGCTCCCCTTGTCCAACATCCCACCTCTCCGTAGCCTGACACCTGGGACTCTCTGGCCTGCGGGCTCCGGTGCAGTTACACCGCCCGCGCGCTCGATAGCCACGCTTCATCTGCTACCCCCCCCCCCACCGCGTCCCTCGCCAGGTCCGTGGATCTGGACGGCAGCAACCGGCGCGTGGTGCTGAGTGGCGCGCTGCCGCACGTGTTCGCGCTCAGCTTGTTCGAGGACTGGCTCTACTGGACGGACTGGAACACGCGCAGCGTGGAGCGCGCACACAAGCACACGGGCGCAGGGCGCGTGCGCCTCGCCAACACCACGCACCGGCCCTTCGACGTTCGCGTGCTCCACCCGTACCGCCAGCCGAGCGGTACGCAGCACCGGCAATCGCCGCACCCCCCTTGAGCGCGGCTGACTCGGCTCTGCTGCTCAAGCCCAGGCTCGAGGCCTCTCGTTTCTTCCCTGACCAAGTGATCTGAGCCGACCAAAACGTCCCTCAGACTTCGCTTGCAAATCAGCCTTTCCTGGTCTCTTGAGTTAACGTGTCCCGGTTTGGCCGGGCCAGTCCCGGTTTCGTAAAACTATCTCGGTGTGCGGAAGCATTGGCGAATATCAGGATTTTGTTCCCGGTTCAGGCTTGGCTCACAATGCTGTCAATGAGCGGGGCTAATGGTTACTCATGTTGTTCTACCGCGTGTGTGTGTGTGATATCCTCCCGTGTCCCCCTGTGTCCACGCGGTTCCTGACAGTGCCCAATCCGTGTGGAAACAACAATGGCGGCTGCTCCCACCTGTGCCTCCTGGCGGAGGGCGGGGGCAGCGCCGCGTGCCACTGCCCTGAAGACTTCGCGCTCGGTCACGGCGACTCCGCCCGGCGCTGCGAGCCCAACTGCTCCAGCACGCAGTACCGCTGCCTGGACAACGAGAAGTGAGTCCCGTGTGTCGGTATCCCCTGGAGTCGCCCCATGCCACTAGGCCGATGCCAACGACTGCGCTTTAGCAGTACGTGGTTTTTTTCACTTTAGGAACAATGTAAACGCCTCTCCGCTTGAGCGTCGATTCCCCGTAATGGCTATGGGTCACAAAGGGCCAGAGGAGCGATGGGACGAGCGCCAGATTGCCGCGTGGTTCTGCCCGTTGGCGCGGTGCCGCAGGTGCGTGCCCATCTGGTGGAAGTGCGACGGGCAGAGGGACTGCCGGGACGGCTCGGACGAGCCGGGCACGTGCCCCCCGCGCTCCTGCCCCCTGGGCCAGTTCCAGTGCGGCGAGGGCAGCTGCACCGGCCCGGCGGCGCTGTGCGACGGGCAGCGGGACTGCCCCGACGGTTCGGACGAGCAAGCGTCCCTCTGCGGTGAGCGTCCACACGGCGGCGTGTTTTTCGGTCGGTCGGCGCCGGCGAGACGACGGAGTGACCCTCTCGTTCGCGTGCCGCGCGCGCGGCTCCGCAGACGGCCACCGCTGCGACGCCAGCCAGTGGCAGTGCGCCAATGGGCGGTGCCTGCCGACCGCCTGGCGCTGCGACGGCGCGGACGACTGCGGGGACGGCTCGGACGAGGAGCCGGAGGCGTGCGCGCAGCGAGCCTGCCCCTCGCTCGCCCACTTCCGCTGCCGCAACGGCCGCTGCGTGCCGCGCGCCTGGGTGTGCGACGCCGTGGACGACTGCGGGGACAAGTCGGACGAGCCCTACGACACGTGCAGTCAGTGTCGCGCTCGCGCCGCTCGCACCGCCTCGCTCGTGTGCACTCACTTAGAGCCACGGCGCAATAGCAGCAGGAGGCAATGGCAATGGTGATACTGTACGCTGATTCTTATCAAGGACGAAATCAGTGTTATAGAGTTGTGACATTTTCCTATCTGAATTTATATGGCTACAACCCACCTCGCACCGACACATGATCCGTTTTTACCGCTCCATCTCCACATAGGGTGGCCTGTGAGGCGTGCTTCCTCACTTGGATGCGGCTCCATCTCTCGTCTCGGCCATCGGCCATTGTCCCTTCCAGTGACTCGTGCTGCCCTTGGGCCACTTCACTAAACAACTTCAATCATGTCGTTCACCGATGCATGTCCTCTAATCCGTGTGTTCCTCCTTCAGTGCCTCGGCACAATACCAAGCATTCACCTCTCCCCTCAATTCTTCTTTGCGTGCTTTTTGGATGGGCGTTCGACTGCGTGCGCGTCTCCGTTGGCCGCTGTGCGTGTCTCTTTAACTGTCACGTGTCTCTACAACTGTCACGTGTCTCTACAACTGCCACGTGTCTCTACAACTGTCACGTGTCTCTACAACTGTCACGTGTCTCTACAACTGTCACGTGTCTCTACAACTGTCACGTGTCTCTACAACCGTCACGTGTCTCTACACCTGCCACGTGTCTCTACAACCGCCACGTGTCTCTATAACCACCACTTGTCTCTACAACCGCCACGTGTCTCTATAACTGCCACGTGTCTCTATAACTGCCACGTGTCTCTACAACCGTCACGTGTCTCTATAACCACCACTTGTCTCTACATCCGCCACGTGTCTCTATAACTGCCACGTGTCTCTACAACCGTCACGTGTCTCTATAACCACCACGTGTCTCTACAACCGTCACTTGTCTCTATAACCACCACTTGTCTCTACAACCGCCACGTGTCTCTATAACTGCCACGTGTCTCTACAACTGTCACGTGTCTCTACAACTGTCACGTGTCTCTACGACTGTCACGTGTCTCTACAACTGTCACGTGTCTCTACAACTGCCACGTGTCTCTACACCTCTCACGTGTCTCTACAACTGTCACGTGTCTCTATAACCGCCACGTGTCCCTATAATTGCCATGTGTCTCTGGAACTGCCAAGTGTCTCTGGAACTGTCATGCTCGTCTCCGGTGACCTCCAGCGCGCCCTCTGCGACTGCTGTGCCCGTGTTCCCGCTCGCAGTGGGACCCGACCACCGCTGCGACAATGCCACGGAGTTCTCGTGCCACACGAACTACCGCTGCGTCCCGCGCTGGGCCACGTGCAACGGCATCAACGACTGCCTGGACAACAGCGACGAGCAGGAGTGCGGTGAGCGGCGCCGGGGAGCGTGGAGCGAGCGATCGCTGATTAAGGCGGCCACTGATGATGCGATCACCGGCCGGTGACATAGTCACTAGCACAATCACTGAATCGTTCACTCCATCATCATCATCGTTGTTGTGTATTATTTATAGCACGCCTCCTGTGTCGGTGACTTGACCGCTGACTTTTTTGCTACCAACAGTCACCAAAACAATATCATGCGTGGTTCCCTGCCGATGCATCCGCCGGTACGACTAGCGACACAATGGTGTCTCCGTTTCAGAGAATTTCTCGTGCGACCCCGTCGGCGACTTCCGCTGCGACAACCACATCTGCATCCCGCTGCGGTGGCGCTGCGACGGCACCAACAACTGCGTGGACGGCTCCGACGAGCGCGACTGCGGTACGCTCGCTCGCATAAACTCACTCGTCGTTTAATCCGAATCAGAATCTTTATTTAGAGTGGAGGAGGAATCCGATGAGATGTGAAGCTCTTTTATCTCTCAAGTGGTAACATTTTCGAGGAGCCAGAACAAGCGATTGCAGACCAAACACAATGTTAGGACACAATACGCTAAAGACGGCGCACACAACAAATGATGAAGAGCGAACCCGTGCTTGAGACTACTCCCTTGCACCCATGAGCTCTCCCCTAAGACGGCATCATTGAGCTGGTGGGGTTCGAGTCACCGCATTGCCAGGTGATCTGCTGCACCCCCACGCGGTGCCACACGCACGCCGGGCTCGTCGAACCTCGTCTCTCAAAAAGTTTCCGGCGCCTCTCTTCTCCTCCCCCACCTCACGTCTTCTCCACACCTCCCCATGTCACCCCTCTCCCCACCGCCGCCGTCCTTGCCCGCGCCAGCTCCGCGCCCGTGCTCGGAGAGCGAGTTCCGCTGCGACAGCGCGCGCTGCGTCCCGGGGACCTGGACGTGCGACCACGACGACGACTGCGGCGACGGCTCGGACGAGAGGGGCTGCGGTACGAGCCGCGACGCGCGCTCGGTTAGCGCCGGCGAGCCACGGCTAGGGAGCTCGCCCCCGCTCACCTCCACCCACCTCCACCCACCGCCGCCCTCTCGCCCCCCCACTCTCCTCTCCACCCTCTTGCCTCCACCGTTCTGTCCGTGCAGAGCTACACACGTGCCGCCCGGGACACTTCCAGTGCGCGAGCGGCCACTGCGTGGCCGAGCGGCGGACGTGCGATGGCCGCGCCGACTGCCGGGATTACAGCGACGAGGCCAACTGTCGTGAGAACGCGGCACGCCGGGGACACGCGCAGACACCACCTCCACTCACCTCCACTCACCTGCATGCGCAGACACCACCTCCACTCACCTCCACTCACCTCCACTCACTTCCACTCACCATCACTCACCTCCACTCACCTCCACTCACCTCCACTCACCATCACTCACCATCACTCACCTCCACTCACCTTCACTCACCTCCACTCACTTCCACTCCCATTTCCTCACATCCACTCACCTCCACTCACCATCACTCACCTTCACTCACATCCACTCACCTTCACTCACCTCCACTCACCTCCACTCACCATCACTCACCTCCACTCACCTTCACTCACCATCACTCACCTCCACTCACCTTCACTCACATTTACTCACCTCCACTCACCTGCACTCACCTTCACTCACCTCCACTCACCTTCACTCACCATCACTCACTTCCACTCACCTTCACTCACATTTACTCACCTCCACTCACCTCCACTCACGTTCACTCACCTCCACTCACCTCCACTCACTTCCACTCACATTTACTCACATCCACTCACCTCCACTCACCTTCACTCACCTTCACTCACCTCCACTCACCTCCACTCACTTCCACTCACATTTACTCACATCCACTCACCTCCACTCACCTCCACTCACCTCCACTCACCATCACTCACCTCCACTCACCTTCACTCACCTTCACTCACCTGCACTCACCTCCACTCAACTTCACTCACCTCCACTCACGTTCACTCACCTCCACTTACCATCACTCACCTGCACTCACCTCCACTCACCTTCACTCACCTCCACTCACCTCCACTCACCATCACTCACCTCCACTCACCTCCACTCACCTCCACTCACCTTCACTCACCTCCACTCACCTCCACTCACCTTAACTCACCTCCACTCACCATCACTTACCTCCACTCACCTCCACTCACCTTCACTCACCTCCACTCACCTTCACTCACCTTCACTCACCTGCACTCACCTCCACTCACCTTCACTCACCTCCACTCACCATCACTCACCTGCACTCACCTCCACTCACCATCACTCACCTCCACTCACCTCCACTCACCTTCACTCACCTCCACTCACCATTACTCACCTCCACTCACCTCCACTCACCTTCACTCACCTTCACTCACCATCACTCACCTCCACTCGCTTCCACTCACATCCACTCACCTTCACTCACCTCCACTCACCTCCACTCACTTCCACTCACATTTACTCACATCCACTCACCTCCACTCACCTTCACTCACCTCCACTCACCTGCACTCACCTCCACTCAGCTGCACTCACCTCCACTCACCTTCACTCACCTCCACTCACCTCCACTCACCTTCACTCACCTTCACTCACCTGCACTCACGTTCACTCACCTTCACTCACCTTCACTCACCTGCACTCACGTTCACTCACCTCCACTCACCATCACTCACCTCCACTCACCTTCACTCACCTCCACTCACGTTCACTCACCTTCACTCACCTGCACTCACCTCCACTCACCTTCACTCACCTCCACTCACCATGACTCACCTGCACTCACCTCCACTCACCATCACTCACCTCCACTCACCTCCATTCACGTTCACTCACCTTCACTCACCTGCACTCACCTCCACTCACCTTCACTCACCTCCACTCACCATCACTCACCTGCACTCACCTTCACTCACCATCACTCACCTGCACTCACCTCCACTCACCTCCACTCACCTTCACTCACCTCCACTCACTTCCACTCACTTCCACTCACATTTACTCACATCCACTCACCTCCACTCACCATCACTCACCTGCACTCACCTCCACTCACCTACACTCACCTCCACTCACCTCCACTCACCTCCACTCACCTACACTCACCTCCACTCACCTCCACTCACCTACACTCACCTCCACTCACCTCCACTCACCTCCACTCACCTACACTCACCTCCACTCACCTCCACTCACCTCCACTCACCTTCACTCACCTACACTCACCTCCACTCACCTCCACTCACCTGCACTCACCTCCACTCACCTCCACTCACCTGCACTCACCTCCACTCACCTCCACTCACTTTCACTCACCTCCACTCACCATCACTCACCTCCACTCACCTTCACTCACCTTCACTCACCTCCACTCACCTCCACTCACTTCCACTCACATTTACTCACATCCACTCACCTCCACTCACCTCCACTCACCATCACTCACCTGCACTCACCTCCACTCACCTCCACTCACCTTCACTCACCTCCACTCACCTGCACTCACCTCCACTCACCTTCACTCACCTCCACTCACCTTCACTCACCTCCACTCACCTTCACTCACCTGCACTCACCTCCACTCACCTTCACTCACCATCACTCACCTCCACTCACCTCCACTCACCTCCACTCACCATCACTCACCTCCACTCACCATCACTCACCTCCACTCACCTCCACTCACCTTCACTCACCTCCACTCACCTTCACTCACCTTCACTCACCTCCACTCACCTTCACTCACCTCCACTCACCATCACTCACCTGCACTCACCTCCACTCACCATCACTCACCTCCACTCACCTTCACTCATCTCCACTCACCTCCACTTACCTCCACTCACCTCCACTCACCTTCACTCACCTCCACTCACCTTCACTCACCTTCACTCACCTTCACTCACCTCCACTCACCTGCACTCACCTGCACTCACCTCCACTCACCATCACTCACCTCCACTCATCTCCACTCACCTCCTCTTACCTCCACTCACCTTCACTCACCTCCACTCACCTTCACTCACCTTCACTCACCTCCACTCACCTTCACTCACCTCCACTCACCTGCACTCACCTCCACTCACCATCACTCACCTCCACTCACCTCCACTCACCATCACTCACCTGCACTCACCTTCACTCACCTCCACTCACCTTCACTCACCTCCACTCACCATCACTCACCTGCACTCACCTTCACTCACCTCCACTCACCATCACTCACCTCCACTCACCTCCACTCACCTTCACTCACCTTCACTCACCTCCACTCACCATCACTCACCTCCACTCACCTCCACTCACCTTCACTCACCTTCACTCACCTCCACTCACCATCACTCACCTCCACTCACCATCACTCACCTGCACTCACCTTCACTCACCTGCACTCACCTTCACTCACCTCCACTCACCATCACTCACCTCCACTCACCTTCACTCACCTGCACTCACCTCCACTCACCATCACTCACCTTCACTCACCTTCACTCACCTCCACTCACCATCACTCACCTGCACTCACCTCCACTCACCATCACTCACCATCACTCACCTTCACTCACCTCCACTCACCTGCACTCACCTCCACTCACCATCACTCACCTCCACTCACCATCACTCACCTCCACTCACTTCCACTCACTTCCACTCACATTTACTCACCTCCACTCACCTCCACTCACCTCCACTCACCATTACTCACCTCCACTCACCTCCACTCACCTTCACTCACCTTCACCCACCTCCACTCGCTTCCACTCACATTTACACACATCCACTCACCTCTACTCACCTCCACTCACCTCCACTCACCATTACTCACCTCCACTCACCTGCACTCACCTCCACTCACATTTACTCACCTCCACTCACCTCCACTCACGTTCACTCACCTCCACTCACCTCCACTCACTTCCACTCACATTTACTCACATCCACTCACCTCCACTCACCTTCACTCACCTTCACTCACCTCCACTCACCTCCACTCACTTCCACTCACATTTACTCACATCCACTCACCTCCACTCACCTCCACTCACCTCCACTCACCATCACTCACCTCCACTCACCTTCACTCACCTTCACTCACCTGCACTCACCTCCACTCAACTTCACTCACCTCCACTCACGTTCACTCACCTCCACTTACCATCACTCACCTGCACTCACCTCCACTCACCTTCACTCACCTCCACTCACCTCCACTCACCATCACTCACCTCCACTCACCTCCACTCACCTCCACTCACCTTCACTCACCTCCACTCACCTCCACTCACCTTAACTCACCTCCACTCACCATCACTTACCTCCACTCACCTCCACTCACCTTCACTCACCTCCACTCACCTTCACTCACCTTCACTCACCTGCACTCACCTCCACTCACCTTCACTCACCTCCACTCACCATCACTCACCTGCACTCACCTCCACTCACCATCACTCACCTCCACTCACCTCCACTCACCTTCACTCACCTCCACTCACCATTACTCACCTCCACTCACCTCCACTCACCTTCACTCACCTTCACTCACCATCACTCACCTCCACTCGCTTCCACTCACATCCACTCACCTTCACTCACCTCCACTCACCTCCACTCACTTCCACTCACATTTACTCACATCCACTCACCTCCACTCACCTTCACTCACCTCCACTCACCTGCACTCACCTCCACTCAGCTGCACTCACCTCCACTCACCTTCACTCACCTCCACTCACCTCCACTCACCTTCACTCACCTTCACTCACCTGCACTCACGTTCACTCACCTTCACTCACCTTCACTCACCTGCACTCACGTTCACTCACCTCCACTCACCATCACTCACCTCCACTCACCTTCACTCACCTCCACTCACGTTCACTCACCTTCACTCACCTGCACTCACCTCCACTCACCTTCACTCACCTCCACTCACCATGACTCACCTGCACTCACCTCCACTCACCATCACTCACCTCCACTCACCTCCATTCACGTTCACTCACCTTCACTCACCTGCACTCACCTCCACTCACCTTCACTCACCTCCACTCACCATCACTCACCTGCACTCACCTTCACTCACCATCACTCACCTGCACTCACCTCCACTCACCTCCACTCACCTTCACTCACCTCCACTCACTTCCACTCACTTCCACTCACATTTACTCACATCCACTCACCTCCACTCACCATCACTCACCTGCACTCACCTCCACTCACCTACACTCACCTCCACTCACCTCCACTCACCTCCACTCACCTACACTCACCTCCACTCACCTCCACTCACCTACACTCACCTCCACTCACCTCCACTCACCTCCACTCACCTACACTCACCTCCACTCACCTCCACTCACCTCACTCACCTCCACTCACCTACACTCACCTACACTCACCTCCACTCACCTCCACTCACCTACACTCACCTCCACTCACCTCCACTCACCTGCACTCACCTCCACTCACCTCCACTCACTTTCACTCACCTCCACTCACCATCACTCACCTCCACTCACCTTCACTCACCTTCACTCACCTCCACTCACCTCCACTCACTTCCACTCACATTACTCACATCCACTCACCTCCACTCACCTCCACTCACCATCACTCACCTGCACTCACCTCCACTCACCTCCACTCACCTTCACTCACCTCCACTCACCTGCACTCACCTCCACTCACCTTCACTCACCTCCACTCACCTTCACTCACCTCCACTCACCTTCACTCACCTGCACTCACCTCCACTCACCTTCACTCACCATCACTCACCTCCACTCACCTCCACTCACCTCCACTCACCTTCACTCACCTCCACTCACCATCACTCACCTCCACTCACCTCCACTCACCTTCACTCACCTCCACTCACCTTCACTCACCTCACTCACCTTCACTCACCTCCACTCACCTTCACTCACCTCCACTCACCTCCACTCCACTCACCTCCACTCACCTTCACTCACCTCCACTCACCTTCACTCACCTCCACTCACCTCCACTTACCTCCACTCACCTCCACTCACCTTCACTCACCTCCACTCACCTTCACTCACCTTCACTCACCTTCACTCACCTCCACTCACCTGCACTCACCTGCACTCACCTCCACTCACCATCACTCACCTCCACTCATCTCCACTCACCTCCTCTTACCTCCACTCACCTTCACTCACCTCCACTCACCTTCACTCACCTTCACTCACCTCCACTCACCTTCACTCACCTCCACTCACCTGCACTCACCTCCACTCACCATCACTCACCTCCACTCACCTCCACTCACCATCACTCACCTGCACTCACCTTCACTCACCTCCACTCACCTTCACTCACCTCCACTCACCATCACTCACCTGCACTCACCTTCACTCACCTCCACTCACCATCACTCACCTCCACTCACCTCCACTCACCTTCACTCACCTTCACTCACCTCCACTCACCATCACTCACCTCCACTCACCTCCACTCACCTTCACTCACCTTCACTCACCTCCACTCACCATCACTCACCTCCACTCACCATCACTCACCTGCACTCACCTTCACTCACCTGCACTCACCTTCACTCACCTCCACTCACCATCACTCACCTCCACTCACCTTCACTCACCTGCACTCACCTCCACTCACCATCACTCACCTTCACTCACCTTCACTCACCTCCACTCACCATCACTCACCTGCACTCACCTCCACTCACCATCACTCACCATCACTCACCTTCACTCACCTCCACTCACCTGCACTCACCTCCACTCACCATCACTCACCTCCACTCACTTCCACTCACTTCCACTCACATTTACTCACCTCCACTCACCTCCACTCACCTCCACTCACCATTACTCACCTCCACTCACCTCCACTCACCTTCACTCACCTTCACCCACCTCCACTCGCTTCCACTCACATTTACACACATCCACTCACCTCTACTCACCTCCACTCACCTCCACTCACCATTACTCACCTCCACTCACCTGCACTCACCTCCACTCACCTTCACTCACCATCACTCACCTCCACTCACCTTCACTTACCTTCACTCACCTCCACTCACCTCCACTCACTTCCACTCACCTCCACTCACCTCCACTCACCTTCACTCACCTCCACTCACCATCACTCACCTGCACTCACCTCCACTCACCTTCACTCACCTGCACTCACCTCCACTCACCTTCACTCACCATCACTCACCTCCACTCACCATCACTTACCTTCACTCACCTCCACTCACCTCCACTCACCTTCACTCACCTCCACTCACCATCACTCACCTCCACTCACCTCCACTCACCTTCACTCACCTTCACTCACCTGCACTCACCTCCACTCACCTCCACTCACCATCACTCACATCCACTCACCATTACTCACCTCCACTCACCTTCACTCACCTGCACTCACCTTCACTCACCTCCACTCACCTTCACTCACCTGCACTCACCTTCACTCACCTCCACTCACCTTCACTCACCTCCACTCACCTTCACTCACCTCCACTCACCTTCACTCACCTCCACTCACCTCCACTCACCTCCACTCACCATCACTCACCTCCACTCGCTTCCACTCACATTTACACACATCCACTCACCTCCACTCACCTCCACTCACCTTCACTCACCTTCACTCACCTCCACTCACCATCACTCACCTCCACTCACCTTCACTCACCTTCACTCACCTCCACTCACCTCCACTCACCTTCACTCACCTCCACTCACCATTACTCACCTCCACTCACCTTCACTCACCTGCACTCACCTTCACTCACCTCCACTCACCTTCACTCACCTGCACTCACCTCCACTCACCTTCACTCACCTCCACTCACCTCCACTCACCATCACTCACCTCCACTCACCTTCACTCACCTCCACTCACCTTCACTCACCTTCACTCACCTGCACTCACCTCCACTCACCTTCACTCACCTCCACTCACCTTCACTCACCTTCACTCACCTTCACTCACCTCCACTCACCTTCACTCACCTCCACTCACCTTCACTCACCTCCACTCACCTTCACTCACCTTCACTCACCTCCACTCACCTTCACTCACCTTCACTCACCTTCACTCACCTTCACTCACCTGCACTCACCTCCACTCACCTCCACTCACCTCCACTCACCTTCACTCACCTTCACTCACCTCCACTCACCATTACTCACCTCCACTCACCTCCACTCACCTTCACTCACCTCCACTCACCTTCACTCACCTCCTCTCACCTTCACTCACCTTCACTCACCTGCACTCACCTCCACTCACCATTACTCACCTCCACTCACCTCCACTCACCTTCACTCACCTCCACTCACCTCCACTCACCTTCACTCACCTCCACTCACCTCCACTCACCTTCACTCACCTCCACTCACCTCCACTCACCTCCACTCACCTTCACTCACCTCCTCTCACCTTCACTCACCTTCACTCACCTTCACTCACCTCCACTCACCATTACTCACCTCCACTCACCTCCACTCACCTTCACTCACCTCCACTCACCTCCACTCACCTTCACTCACCTCCACTCACCTCCACTCACCTTCACTCACCTCCACTCATCTTCACTCACCTTCACTCACCTCCACTCACCTTCACTCACCTCCACTCACCTTCACTCACCTTCACTCACCTCCACTCACCATCACTCACCTCCACTCACCATTACTCACCTCCACTCACCTCCACTCACCTTCACTCACCTCCACTCACCTCCACTCACCTTCACTCACCTCCACTCACCTTCACTCACCTTCACTCACCTCCACTCACCTTCACTCACCTCCACTCACCTTCACTCACCTTCACTCACCTCCACTCACCATCACTCACCTCCACTCACCATTACTCACCTCCACTCACCTCCACTCACCTTCACTCACCTTCACTCACCTGCACTCACCTTCACTCACCTGCACTCACCTCCACTCACCTACACTCGCTTCCACTCACATTCACTCACATTTACTCACCTCCACTCACCTCCACTCACCTTCACTCACCTCCACTCACCTCCACTCACCTGCACACACATCCACTCACCTTCACACACATCCACTCACCTGCACACACATCCACTCACCTTCACACACATCCACTCACCTTCACTCACCTTCACCATTAAAGTTACCCGGGTTTACTACCCTAGCGGGAGGGGATAACGATGAGGATCGGTGAGTTAGCCAGGGAACGGGGAGAAAGGGGAAGAAGGGAAGGGAGGTGGTGGGGGGGGGGGGGAATAGAACTAAACGCAATTAAAATAACAAACGCGATGTTTGGGTTTTGGTTCAGTGTCCGAGGTGCAGTCCCCGCACCACGGCAAAACGGGGACCGCGTCGCCTCGGTTATCCCAATTCTAATCCCCTTTTAGCTCACGGCCGAGGCGTTCTATCCCTGCCAAGGCAAAACGTGATCTGTGTCAGAGCCCCCAAACGCGGGGGTGATGGGGGTTCATGCTCCTTCCAAATCGCCATGATGGTCTTTCTTGCCATGATGTATTTCGACACCACCGCCCCCGCCATCCCCCGGTTTGGAGAATAACCCAACCGTTACCAAAATCTGAACGAATGAAGCCGAATAAAACCCTTGCCACAAATACAACCCTGAGTGGACCACACAAAAGGTATGCGACGGGTGTGCGAGCGGACACAAAATGTGGTCTAAGATGGGGGGCCTAAGAGACTCGGCCGTTCTGGGGAAGATGGGACGAGGAGCCTTGATGCTTGCTGCTGAAGGCCGCTGCTCGCAGGGGCACCTTACACTACGCTGTATCGATGTATTCTGCACAGTATTTGTTCCGTACAGAATTTGTCAAGTACAGTATTCTCACGGAGGTTTCGGCGTCGCCCACAGCCCCGCGCTACCCGAACGGCACCTGGTGCCCGGCGCAGGTGTTCGAGTGCCGGAACCACGTGTGCGTGGCACGCGCCTGGCGCTGCGACGGCGACGACGACTGCGGCGACGGCAGCGACGAGGAGCTCAGCCTGTGCCGTGCGTGCGCCTAGCGCCGAGACCAGAGCACTCATCACGCCCTCACCGCACATCGCAATCACCACGCGCACTCGCCGCACACTCGCGTTCACCCAAACACCTCGTCGCTTCTGACACCTCGTCCCCATCGTCGTGCGGGAGCAGTGGCCGTGACGTGCGAGCGCCCGGAGCGCTTCCGCTGCGCCAACAGCCGCTGCGTGTACGCGCACGAGCTCTGCAACGGCGTGGACGACTGCGGGGACGGCAGCGATGAGGGCCCGCTGGCGTGTGAGCACCGCACCGCCGCCGCCGCCACCACCACGTCCCTCCCGGCAGCGTTCCACCACACCCCCCCTCCCCCATCGCACCTCGGACGACGCTCGCTCGTCGTCTTAATCCGCCGAGAGTTACACGCAGCAGATGTTGGTGCCGGTGCTCGTGACGGTGTGGCTCACGGTGCTGACGCTTGACGGTGGTTGAGCCAATGATGCCGCGGGTGCCGGTGCCTGGCGTACGCGTCTGTGCTGAAGTTGGTGGGGCGAGGTGTCTTGATGGCGCTGGTTCCGGTGGTGCTGCTTGTGCTCGTGGGATTTGGCCGGGTGGCTCGGCGGTAGAGCGAGCGGCACGGATTCAGAAGGTCGCGGGTTCAAATCCCGGTCGGGGGTTGACTCGGCTCATCATCCCGTCGATGTCGATAAAATGCACCTTTGCGTGTTGAAATTCTTTCACGCAGTACGTAGCCAACCGTGTTAATCGGATGTGGGAAAGTCCTAAGGGAATGGACTCTGCCGTATAAATGTCTAATTTCGAGCACCGGCTTATTCGGGATGGACTCGTGCGAGCGATGACTCACGAGCGCTTGGTGCTGCTGCTGCTCCCGCCAGGTGCGGCGCCCACGTGGAGGCCGTGCGGCACCGGCGAGTACAAGTGCGCGAGCGGCCGGTGCCTCCCCTGGAGCGCCGCCTGCGACGACCAAGACGACTGCGGCGACAGCAGCGACGAGATTGGCTGCCGTGCGTGCTCTCGGCGCATGGGTTCAATCCTCGGGTCGCCGCGCAGGGCAGTGTCTTAGCTGTCGGGGTGTGCGCGGGTGATGCAACTGCACCGGGGCGCCCGCAGGCCGGAGAAGAGGAATGTGCGATGGGCTACGAGAGAGCTGGGGGAGAAATTGGTCACGGGGATCTGTTTCATACCTTACGCCAGGGCCCATGCCAGCCACGCCATGCCACCGACTCGCAGACGGTCCTCATCCATTCTTGCGTTCAACCACCGCATTGCTGAGCGCAGCAGCGCTTCGCTTTACCCTTATTTCCTCGCACTGCTTCACTTTGGGACACCCTTCCGCTGTCTCTTTCCCCCCCCCCCCCCCCCCCCAAGTTCTCGCCCAAAATTCCAGAAACGCGTTCGTCGTTCTCTGCCGCGTTTGAACGTTCCTGCTCGCTGTCACCGACCGCTTCGCATGACGGGCCTCGGGGTCCCAGGATCCACGACTGTCATTCTACAAAAGGCTGTTCTAGATTTTCATTTTCCCAGCTCTGTGTTATTTTCACTCGGCTCTCCCCGTGCCCTGCACTCGAGTGACGCGCCTCCGGGCCCGTGCGTTGTGATGCTCGTCCGTAGACCGCGGCGTGGGGCGGCACTGCGCGGAGAGGATCTGCGCTCAGCTCTGCACCAACTTGACCGGCGGGGGCTTCATCTGCTCTTGCCGGCCCGGCTACACCACCAGCGCCAGCAACAAGAACGACTGCGAGGGTGAGCCCCACGTGCAACAACAACATCAGCAGCAGCAGCCGTTACCACGGCGCTTGTGCCAGGATAGGTGCACTTGGAGGCCGTGTCAAAAAGACAAAGATCCCCCGTATAACATTAACAGACTGTTGGGGCGAGTGCTGTTATCGAACACCTATAAAGGCCGGCATGGTACACGAGCAGTGGGTGGCCAGCACCATACCCGGCCACTTTTGTCTCCCCTGTGGCGATGTTTACACACCACACCAAGTGCTCATTTGAGTCGACGTAGGGGAGGCACAGGGCTGGTTCATCACTGGTGTTGGCCGTGGGTGGGAATCAAACTCGGGTTGCCGGATTCGTAGTGCATCGCACTAACTGCTACACTACCGCTGCCCACTCACGCCCACTCACTCAGCCACACACTCACACACACACTCAAAGACTAAGATCCCCCGTATAGTCTTAACCTAGGTGAGGCCCAAGACCGGTTCAGATAATTGTCACTGGTATTGACCGTGAGTGGGAGTCGAACCCGGGTAGCCGAGTTCATAGCGCAATGTGCTAACCGTCACCCTACCGCTCCCCACAAGGCCGGGTCAACACACACATTCTCATACATTCACACACATACACCAACATACGAAGACAAGATCCCCTGTATAGCTTTATTCAAATAATCAATCATTCATTTGTACGGAAAGTCCCATTTAGTCAGTTGCCCAGTGAGTGTGCGAGGGAGATCCGTGGTGCATCAGCAGAGAATGAGAGCAACGGAACAAACAAGCACTTGATTACTGGTTCTGAAATCACTCATCAACAATTACAGGCTTGGGTGACAATTTTACTCAGGTAGCTGAGTTTATAGCGCAGCGCACTAGCTGCTACACTACCGCTCGCCGCACGTGTACGCAATCGCAGACGCGCACGCGTGCACACAGTCGGCAGTGCGGCCCTCGTCAGGCCAGGTCATGTGCCGCCTCGTGTCCCTCGTGCCCACGTGCTCGTGTGCTCGCGTCAGATGTGGACGAGTGCAACGCGTTCGGGAGCTGCGCCCAGCTCTGCAGGAACTCCAAGGGCTCGTTCGAGTGCTCCTGCACGGACGGGTACCGGTTGGTGGGGCACGGCACGCAGGCGCGCTGCGCCGCCCACGGTGAGCGGACGGACGCGCACGCACGGGCGCACGCACGCGCTCACACACGCACACGGTCCCGCCGGCTCGTGCGGTGTCGGCGCTAACAGGCGGTCGTGGCGCGCAGGCGAGGCCCCGCTGCTCCTCCTGCCGGACGGCGCCGGGATCCGATCGTACAACCTCTCGTCGGGGACCTTCCGCGACCTGGTGTCGCGGCGAGACGGCGTGCAGGCGCTGGACTACGACTGGGACCTCAACGGCACCGGCGCCAGTGGGTCCCGCGCTACCCACTACGGCACCGGCTTCACGCTCGCAGCTTGCGGGTCGTGGGGGATAGTTGATCGTACTTCACCACACCGGTCATTGCTGGTTGGTAAAGGCCAGCAGCATAGACGTGGAAACATAGAAGTGCAGTATAGCATTTTGTTGGACCACCCGCTGCTGCCCACCACGCTGTCATTTCAGAAGTAATCTAAAGGGAATCAGACAATTTATCGGCAGCACAAATGCATTAAGGGGCATGTTTGATATGAGAGCAGAGGTGTGCAGGAGGGAGGCAGGGCTGGGATGTTCCCCTCTTGATAACTTCTACTAGTTTTTAAAGGCTTGCATGGTCTGGATGGAACCACCATATATTCACGAGTTAATTCATCCGTACACCCACTCAGGGTGGTTAAGATCTACAGACTCCGCACTTCTGTGCGTACCTCGATCCCGGGTGCTTCCTTTGAGTAAAGGGTCACTCGTTGTGTCTGTGCCACGGTTGTGGAATTCTCTACCGTTGGACATTCGTTCATCCGATAATGTGGATACTTTTAAGTCTCGTCTGAGAACCACGTCATGTCAAGGCAGTTTCATCTATGCAGCTTCTACGTCTCTCTTGGACTTTCCTTATCCTTATTCTTACAAGGCGCCTTACAACTAAATGTAAATAATTATTATTAACGTCCGTATCGTGGGGGAAAATCCATGCAGCATTTGGAGAACTCCGTTTCACGCTCAAAATGGCGTGCGGTCTGCGCCGGGTCTGGCAGGCATGCTGTACTGGACGGAGCTCGGCGCCGGCAACGGGGCCCCGGGCTCCATCAAGCGCGCGTTCGTACCCGCGGGGGCCACGGGCGGCGCGCTGAGCCCCGCCGTGGCGACGGAGCTGGAGACCGGCGCCATCGTCCAGCCCGGAGGCATCGCCGTCGACTGGGTTGGCAGGTCGGGGCCGGAGCGCGATCGCCGCGTGACGTGCATGTCGCTCTCTCTCTGAACAACTCGTCCTGTCCGTCGGTGACCCTTGCCGAGAGCCAGGGGATGGCTCGCTCGTCATTCATCACCGCAGCTTTTATTGGCAGTGGAATGAATCACAGGAGCACTGTAGACACGAATAATAGTGACGAATATCTGACACTGGGCCTCCCCTAAGTCGACTTAGCCATAAATGAGTACCTGGTGCTCTGTGTAAACATTAGTACTGGGGAGACAAAGGTGGCTGGGCATAGTGTTGGCCACTCTTTCCCTCATGTGTAGTGCCGTGCTCACTAACAACACTTGCCCCAATGATTATGTCAAGGCTATACGGGGAACCTTTGTGTGGGTGTGTCATTTAGGCTCCTGTACTGGACGGACGAGGGCGCCGGACGCGTGGAGGTGGCGCTGCTGGACGGGCGATACCGCACTCAGATCGTCTCCACGAACCTACAGCAGCCATCGGCCATCGCCCTCAACCCTGTGCTTGGGTAGCCCATTCAACCCATCAACTCATCACACCACCGCCCCACTGACTCATCACACCATCGCCCCATAACCTTGGTCACCCCATCATGCTATGAAACCATTGCTCCGTCACACCATCACCCCATCACACCATCATTCCAACACCCCAATAACCCTGATCGCCCCATCGCCCCATTACCCCTGTCGCACTTCCCGAGGACCACGCTGTACACATGCAACACCAAGTGGAGTAGTTGTGCGAATGTATTCGGATAACAAAACCACCGTGCATCTGTGCTGCCGGTATCGGGTGATTGGGAAGTGGGTAAATACGTGTGCTGAAAACTACGCGATACAACACGCAATTTGAATTAACAAAGCATCTAATTGTGATCGTGTCTCAAATCGCTGTACGAGAGCGGAGCACGCATTAGAAGATGGGGCAATGAAGAGAGAGGGTAGCGAAGGGCAAACTGCTGCCGTATGAGAGGTGATGAGGGAGACGATAGAGAAGTTGTTAGCGCACGACCCTGCGCCCTGGGCCCTGTGGCTCCGGGTCCTCACGTGTGCCGCCCCGCCCGTGGCCAGGCTCATATTCTGGGCCGACCGCGGGGAGCGGCCACGCCTGGAGTCGGCGTGGATGGACGGGCGCCAGCGGCGCGTGCTGGTGTCCGACGCGCTGGGCTGGCCCACGGGGCTCGCCGTGGACGTGCATGCCGGCGGGCGGCTCTACTGGAGCGACGCCAAGGAGGACGCCGTCTTCTCCGTGCGCCACGACGGATCCGACCGCCGCACCGTCGCCTCCAGGGGTCCGTGCCCGCCCCTCTCATGTCGCCCGTGTGCTCCCGCAGCCTACTCGGTCTACGCTCGCGGCTGCTGAAACCTGCCCTTCGTTGATTACGTCCACCAGCTTTTCTTGAGCTGGAGAACCTCGTGGGTGGAGGGCGGCCGAGGCGTTGGTCACAGGCTCGCGGTTGCATCAGATCGAATTCTACTGATGAGGATTGGGGATAGGATGGAGATTCGCTTGGGGGCTTTTGTCAGCGGGGACCCCTAGAAAGGGTGCTCACTATGGGGCTTTGCCGGGAGGCACTTAGGGGTTGGCATGGGAGGGTGGATGCTGTCACGCGCTTTCTCTGCGCATGTTCCCACACCTGACTTTTGCCTCAGACGCAGCGGTTGTTAGTTTCACACGTGTGACTGGCTACGTGTGTCCGCGTCCTTGGATGTCACGAGAGACGCATTGACAATGCTTGTCCTGGACACCTGGGGACTTAAATGTAGTCACGAAGCCCGAGAACCATGGTTGAGGATTCGCGATGCGGGAAGGGAGGGATGGGTTCGGTTAAACATCACGCGACGCTCTCGGGCTCAGCGAGTCCGCGAGTGCCGCCTTATTGCGACAGTGTGCGAGCTCTCGAGGAAGTGCACGAGGCGACGCGCCGCGGGATCGCGCGCGTGCGCCTTCGGTCCGCGTTCGTGACCGGCGCGTGGCGTCGGCGTTGGCGCAGGGCTGGGCGGCCCCATGAGCCTGGACGTGTTCGAGGGCGAGCTGTACTGGACGACTCGCGAGAGCAGCCAGGTGTGGAGGCAGAGCAAGTTTGGCCGCGGCGTTCACACCAGGGTCCTCACCGCCTCCCCGTGGCTCACGCAGGCGCGCGTTTACCAGCAGCACCGCTACCCGGCCCACGGTAAGGCTGTCCTCCCGTGCCCGTGCAGAGTTCGTTGACGGTTGCGAAAGGCGGCCCTGGAGGTGGCCGGGTGGGTCAGAGGTCGGAGCACCGCTCTGGCAACTGCTGAGGTCCTCAGCCGACACGGGTTTATCGTGTCGGCCCGGTCACCAATGACTACAATAAAAAAAAACATCGCATAAAAAAAATTACATGAATAAAATAACGGTTTGACTGCTGCATGACTAACATGTATAATTTGGCAACGTGCGTGAGCAAGGGCTGCCCCCTACTGTGTGGATCAGAGGTCACTTGAAAGGATCTCAGGGTTAGCTCTGTGGTGTCCGTTTGTGCGGGCCGTTCTTTCACCATGAGGGTTGCGAGAGCACAGCGTGGAGGCTTTGTCTCGTGACACGATGCCGCGGCACAATCAGGATAAACTTGAATAAAAAAATTACTTCTGTCCGTTGTTGTTGCAGTGAAGAATCCGTGCGCCAACAGCAGTTGCAGCCACCTGTGCCTCCTGCGCCCCCAGGGCCACAGCTGCGCGTGCCCCCAGGGCTCCCACTTCCTCCCCGGGAGCTCGACCCAGTGCGATGCAGGTTCTCTTCATTCCGCTGCTGAAACACGCATGCCTCGATACTTTGAGGTTGCGCTCGGAACAATAGCTGCAAAGTGCGTTGAGAAAAAACTCATGCTCGGAATGGCACTGAGAGACAGCAAGCAAAACACATGGATTAAGAGAAAATGTGCACTTTCTGTTCGAGATTTTGACTTTAAAAAGTAAAGGGGCTTGAGCGGAGCATGTCACTGGAAAGGACGATGACCAGTCGGTGAGAATCATCACGGAGTGTCAGCCAACGGACGGAACACACCCGAGAGTATGTCCACTGTGGAGATGGAGTGATGAATCAGCGTTTGTGCAGGTGATGGGTGGATTTTTGCATTCGCAGGAACAAGAGCATTGGCGATGGCTTGGGGGAGGCCTTCATCCAACAGTGAATTGATCCGTGCTTGATTAGCATAATTATGATACTAGAGATCCTGTTTTGTGTTGGTGGCCACGCAGTTTTTTCTAATTCAGAGTTTTGATTCACGTCTCCGGCCACAGCCGAGGTGCCGCCGGTGATCCTGGAGCTGCCGTGCCGCTGCGTGAACGGCGGGACGTGCGACGCCCGTTCCGAAGTCGCCGCCTGCACGTGAGTGACCGTCCGCGCTGCCCCCCGTGCCGCGCGCCACTCGGCTCTGTCTCCGCCCTTCTCTGCGTTAAAATTTTCTTCCACCAGCCATGCCCACCCCCGTGACTCTGCCACCCAACTATCCTCCCCATTTCCAGATGCCCCGGAGGCTACGTCGGCCGCTACTGCGAGATGGCCAAGGTCCAAGGCGCGCCGTCCAGCGGTGAGCTCCCCCCGTCGCTCGCGAGGACGCCATGCCACCTCGGCTTGCGCGCGCCGCACGATGCGTCTCTCTTGCTCGCCGTCAGTGGCGTAGCCGTCGGGTGTGTGGGCGGCGTGACTGTACCGGGGGGCCCCATGGGTAGGAGTGGAGCACCGCGGCGAGCGGCGAAGAGGAGAGATAATTGAACAGGGGTCCCAGTTTCATTGCTTGCACCAGGGCCCGTGCCAACCTCGCTACGCTCCTTATTGGCACGCATCTATAGATGCGCCCATCGTGTGTGTTTTTTTAGGCTTATTAAATGACATCTGTAATCTTGGGCTAATGTTTTTGCTGGGGAACAGCTTATTGTTGATTGGTTCACGGGTGATGTTGTGCGTGGGGTTAGGCTTTAGGCGTAGATTGAATAGTATGGCTGTGGATAGGCTGAGATTTAGGGAAAGGGTTAGGGTCAGGTGTAGTGGGTGCGTTTTGGTGGTTACAGCCGTAGGTTTCGTCTCCGGTGTTTGAGAGCTCGTGTTGGTGGTGCTGACGCAGCGACGCTGGCGGCCGCGCTGGCCGTGGTCATCACCGCGCTGCTCGCCGCGCTGCTGCTGGGCGTCTGCGTGAACCGCCGCCGCAACGGCCTCTCCTTCCCCTGCCTCGCCTTCCGGCCGCGACTGCCTCAGCTGCCCAAGTGAGTCAACGAAGACCGCGGGCGCCGGTACCGCCGGTGCCGCCGGCACCACGCTGCCAGCGCAGAGCGACGCAAGTCGGCGCTGGCTTTTTCGTCAATTGAATTGCTTTCGTTCCGGGTGCTCGCGCGTGGCCAGGTTGGGACGGTTCCTGAGGTTTAAGGACGAGGACGGCGGAGCGCTGTTCCGGCGCGGGGCGGACGTGCGAGTGGAGCTGGGACCGGCGGCGCTGCACGGGGACGCCGCCATCGACGCTGCCATGCAGGCCGTTGCGTCACACGCTCCGCGCTCGCGCCTTATTCTCTCCGCACGCGCCCCACAACGTTGGGGGATTGCAATCGTATTGTTCTTGCATAGTGCCCGCTAAGGGAAAGTAACTTTAAAGAGTTTCACAAGATAATTCACAACTCGTGTCTTGAGTAATATAATATAATCTTCAGTATCACGCATAAAGGGGAGTATTGGTACTGCATCGCGCTGCAAACCCAGCAACCTAAGTGTGATTCTCAGCCACAACAAACGAGTGGTGAGTGATGTCTAAACTGGTCCTGTGCCACCCCCACCAAACCCTTCGTTGACCCCTATTGAAAAAGTATGGTTAAACATCCCCCATGACTGACAAGGCATGGAGAAGCCTTCATCCAATAACAACATTATTATCTGTACATAACGAGTGAGAGGTTACGAGCCACGATTACTTTTCGCACCATCATCGCATGAACACGTGTGCCAGTACAGCATCAGTGGTGCAGGCTGTTCCCATGGTTTGTGTCGCATGCCAGTCCATTCGTACTCTCTTATTTGGCTCCGGACTGCTCGACTCGCGTTAAAAGTAATGCCAAGAATCCCCCCCCCACCATCGCTGACTCTTGAGACTGCTCTACTTTCTCGGGAAAGCAATGTTTTTTTTTCTTCTTAAACAAAAAACCTCGGTCTACTCGACAACACTTCAGATTGCAGGATGATTACTTCTAAATCTCTGGTGCCACTTTGGGTCAGATTACACGCCGATTCATTTTTAAGCTCTTGGAGCTTTTTGGCCTCAGGGAAAAACGGTGGGGGGGGGGGGTTGGTGGTGGGGAAGTGGGGGGCGGCATGCGTAATAGAGCACGAAAGCCGATCCGCCCTGTCTCGATCCACACGCAATTACTGCCCGTGGGGGCCCCCGCGATTGTCGCCCGTGAAACGGACACGTCACTTAAATCGAGGGCCGCACGGCTGCCCACTCTCTGCGTCTCGGTATTCTGGGGAACGCTAAAATTCGACCGTTTCCACCCCACGCAGAACGAAAACTTCATGTCGACGGACAAGCCGGGCATTGTGTTCGAGAACCCACTGTACGGATCCCATCGCCCCCCGCAGGTCTGTGCAAGCGTGACCCACGGCGGGTTCAAGGTGATCACCGCGCGGCGGTGGTGCACGCCTGTAATCCGGCACTGTGGAAAGCGGGGGTTGGCGGATCAGAAAAATGTCACGAAACTCCCTCGCCATGGGTACTGAGGTCGTGGTTTGCCAGGAGGCGGTACAGCAAGTGATTGTGTTTCCCTCTGTACGGGGATAGCGTGTTTCTCCAATCGCACGTGTGGGTTTTCTTCTGGCACTCCGGTTTCCTCCCACATGTATTGACTAAATTGGCTAAAAGCAGCTTTGCGATATGAAGGACTGAAGAGCTGGGGTTATTGTTGGTAGCGCCGGCTCACCACCTGGCTGCCTTCCTACTAGTCTGGTTCCTCGCGCCCATGTAGTTTTCGCCTCGACAGGGAGAAAAAAACGTGCTTTGGTACGAGCCTAAATTGTTAGTTTAAATGAACCCCCAAAAAAACCCCTCGTGATTAATGCAGCACGATGAGGGCTGTGAATTTACACCGTGTTTTATCGCATTGCACCCGCTGTTGATGGCATGGGAGGCTTGTGTGGTGCGACACGGCAGCGAGACGTTGGGGGAAAAGTGAGTCCACCGCCCACTGAACGAACACTTCGGTCTCATTTCGACAGTCGTCCCCCGCCGACCCACCCGGCGCCGCCCGCACCTTCGACAACCCGCTCTACGACGAGGCGGCCGAGCCCAACAGAGCGACGGCGCCACCGGCCGAGGAGCCCGTGATGACCCCTGGCATCGCCCCCGCGGCAAAGGTCGGGAAGGGAGCGGTCACCGAGTCACACCTCTACGTGCGCTGCGTGGAAGGCCACGGTATAAGTAACACACACCCTGACCAACGTTCCCGCGTTGTGCCCGTGCCTTGCAGGTGACGCGCAAATGGAAGAGAACCGGAAAGAGGGAAAAAGGCACAACCCATTTTGAAAATCCAGTTTACAGCCAGGTGAGTGTAGCTGGAGCAGAAAAGGTTATACTCATCGCGGACTGATTCACCGACTCACCCCCCCCACTCTCCCATGTGATTTGAGGAATTATCGCTTCACCACACGAGCCAAATTGTAACAGCGCATTTCTCGCTAGCAATGTCAATTATAATAAACTATCCACGAGCATATGAATTGATAATAATCAATGAGTCGTGAAATGCCAAGTCAACACCGCGATGCTGTCAAGCAGCAGTAGAGCGAATAAGACTAGTGTTTGTGATGTACGTGTATGTCAGTTTGAACATGAAGTTGCTTTGTCAGTGAATGGTGCCACACGATGGGCAAGCTGGCTCCAGGGGCATCCGGGTCTTTATAAACGTACCCAGAGGTCATAGTGCAGCGCCTCGATAGCTTGCCAGACCGCGGCTTAGTGTGCCACTTTAACACCACAGCCAAGTTAATGCATCACGTCCCAATTTTCCAGCAAATTTGGCAATTTCATTGGAGAGGATTTCACAAAACCCTGCATTATTTATTCTAACGCCAAATACACACTGATAGTTGAGCCTTGTCGGTGGCCTTACAGCTGTCATCACACCCCTCCGTGACCCCTGCCTTCCCCACGTAGCAGGGAACGGACCCTCAAAAGGTGGATCAGGCAGCCGTGGAGAATCCCCTGCCCCTCCCGTTCAACTGAGCCGTGCGGCGCTCGCTGCACCAGTCGGCGGACACAGCTGGAAGTGACCATCAGCTCCGGATGATGAGGACACCGCTTGCAGCAGTCGTCACATCAACCAATGGGCAAAAAGCAATTTGTGGGAACAATGCACAGCGGTTCTAGCCGATGGTACATTACAATTGTATTTAAGTGTGGTGGCCAATGGGGATCGATTAACACTGCAATGTGAATTGTATTTAATGCTATGGGAAACAATAAGAGCTTCTACTGTTGATTTTGTGTAGAACGGGAAACGTTGCAAGGCGCCAAGATAATGAACAGAGCGCAGCATTCTCGTACTGATCATAAAACAAACTATGACTTTATCCTTGCACTGAACTCTTCCCAGATGAATGTATTTACTTTTATCACCTTTTAATATTTGTACATTTTCATGCTGAATTGCAGCCAAATGTGTAGATTTCTTAAGACGTTTCCTGAAATAAACGTGGCCTTGTGTCGTCTCCAGTGATGTAAAATTTAAAACATGGATCAGACATGACTGAATTGTCTTCATTCCGTTTATTTTTGATCACCGTTAGTGCAACCATGATTTCTGGATTTGTAAGCGCAGCTTCATTACCCCCCACCACAATCTTCACAGTCCTTTCACATGCAATCTGTATGTGTGTCTCAGTGCTATTTATTTTTGAGGCTTGCATCAAGTGAAACACAAAAAACCCATTTGATTCATTCAAAATAACAGAAACTGACCTAAAACAATGCACCTTCAATGTAGTTTAAAAATACGTGAGGAATTCTGAGAGGTAGGCTATTGGAGCAAGTTCTATCCCAGGACCAGATGTGGGCTCTGCCAGAGCCCTTCTTCACACGTGATCAGGGCCCTCCAGGTGAGAAGTGCATTAGGTTCCAGACCACGGCTTCCTTCCCAATCTCATGCCACATGCCATGCTGCTAGGCCACTGAATGAGAAACGTGGGGAAAACCCTACTTGTAAAAAATGGAAACTTTAATATTTAGTGTTGACTATCAAGTCTCTGATTATCATGTCACAGGGAAAGGCTGTGTTCTGGCAAGGTGTACTTAACACGGCCCTTCTACGCTTCTGGCGGCCGCTGGGCAGCCACATAGTCACGCACAAGAACCTCGGCCTCGGCTCGCCGGCTCATCTTGTTGGCTTTGCCCTGGAACTTGGGGCCCTTGCCGGCCCCCTTCCCTTCCAGCACTTCCGCCACCCTGCACACCGAAGCGCACACACTGTTATGTCACCCTGCACAATTTTAGTTAAAATAAAATTATTTTGAAGCTATCTTGAGTATCACAACGGATTAAGTTTATTTTCACATTTCTAGAAATCATCCATATGTTTCAATATTAGCTTGTTCGACATGAAGGATAACATAAATGAACGAAGCTCTGTGTAAGCACCTGAACATAGCCATTGGCCATTGCTTTGACATAGTTTAGCATAACTATCACTGTTCGCCTTCTATGTTCTACTACCCAGGAAGGCAGTAGAGGATTGCGTCTTACTTTGGGCCCAGTTCCTGCACGGCTTGCTGTGGCCCGGCCACCAAGAACAGTCCAGCTGCCTTCTCGTCCCCCACGCTCAGGAACACCAGCACACCCTGCAGATGGAACAAGAGGGCCAGCGATACAACTTTCTCGGTTTACAGCAATACTGAGAAGGCTCACAAATGAACCCTGTGGGGGTAAATATATTTAGAATATAAAACGGTTCTCAAATTCAGAACAATTTGAATCTCTTACCTCGCTTGAAAGTTCGTTTGCAATTATATTCATGAACTCATTGTCTCCTTCTTTCCTGCATTACAAAATTCATCAAGCTCATGTTTTATTTTAAACATACCTTTTCCAGGTAAAAAAGGCACGTGATTGCGTGTGCAGTAAACGGTGCATTTAAAATGTAAAACCAAAAGACTGACCTGTGCATAGAGAACATCCCACTGCGACTGGCCTCCTCGCGACAGCTCTTGGCAGTGAGCACGGCCAGGTCACGCAGCAGAATGGTGTTACTCTGTATCCCACGGGAAATGAATACGAGGGGGTTACCAGAAGCAACAATGGACTGACCATCTCAGTGCAGTACTTACAAGAACGATGCTTGGGATGTTCATGTTTGACATCAGGCCGGAACAAACTCGTGAGGTTTGGAAGACCGTGCACAATGCCACATGTGCTTGTACCTCTGGATAATGATTACGTAAATGTAAGTTGGGGTTTCTAAAGTTTCTAAATGTACCCATATTGAAAGATGTGAAATTGTAAAGAGGACCAGCCTCCAACTGACTGGTAGGCCTCACCTTCTGCAACAGTTTCGCTTGTTTCTGGAGACGGTCCACAGCCTCCACCTGTTCCTCGGGCCCCACCCTCCAGGGCAAAACAGAGAAACACAAGGTTTAAAAGAACTCTGCGGTGAATTATACATTTGGTTATAAACCTACAGGTTAATAACCAGATTAATGGCACCAAACAGTGCATTTGCGGCGTAGCTTAAGCAATGCTCACTTGACGAGGGCGTTCAGAGCCCTCTCGTTCGCGTAACTGCGTTCACAATACTGCAGCACGCGGTTTCCCGCCAGGAACAAAATGTTGGTCTTGTTCTTTTTTCCCTTCTCGGCGCCGAAGATCTTGATTGCCTGTAGCTGGCTGAGGTTGGAAACGTGAGTCCCGCAGCACATGTTGGCATCCACTGCCTTGATGTCGATGATCCTGACAGGTCCCACATGGTCATCCGGCAATCCTCGACTCCGGAACTACCCGGACCCCGTACCGGAAAAGACAAAAAGCCAATCAACATCAGTGCCCACACTTCACAGTGAATATCAACCACCCTCCCATGCAAGGCGCTGCAATCACCTGTGCCAGCTCTGGATCATCCGCCTCGTAAACGTGGACTTCTACGGGAACGTGCTCACGGATCTTGGTGTTGACTGCGAGCTCCAGGTCACGAAGTTGCTCGGCCGATACACTCGGCGTGTCCAACTCGATGCTCGACCGCTGCTTACCCAAGTCCCTTCACCACCGCGGGCAGCACGCACAAACACAATGAAGCATGCCAATATGGTTGGCCATTTTTGCCAGTATAGTCGTTTCAACTTAATTTCAGTGCAGTGAGGGTAAGCAAACTTGATATTTGCAACAATTACCAAGATGTTGTTTTGAACCCATACATGGAGTCTGCCAAGGCAGTGACAAGGTGCTGCCCTGAAAATGGAGAAAAAAAATGTTTAGCTGCCAGCATATATATACTAGCCTTTTGCCCGTCCAAGGATGGGTGTATTTCAGTAAATCTGAAACTTGCAAGCGAAAAGCAGACTGCGACGTGATATTCATTGCATCAATTTGTGTGCAATTTGTAAGGGCGTGGTGACACAGACTTATTTCATTTTAAGGTTATAATCCCTTGTTCATCGTGACATCCTTTTTACTTCTATGTCTCAATAGCGTTAAGAAGATCGCGTGACCTGAGGGTTCTGCCTTTGAGGTGAGGGTTGTAAGTTGACGCTGAGGAGGAGGGAGGAGGCGCCTCGCCCCCCCATGTTGAGTGGCGTCACCCGCTAATTAATATTAATGGTGGGGGTGTCCATTTGGAAGATGTCACCTCTTCATGATTGTGGGGGGCTGTTCGATGTAGAGTGACATCACCTTCTCATGATTATTAATGAGGGGGGGGTGCTACATGTGGAGTGACGTCACCCGCTCATGATTATTGATGAGGGGGGGGGTCCATGTGGAGGACGTCACCTGTTCATGAGTATTAATGAGGGGGGCTGGCCGACGTGGAGTGATGTCACGCGCGGGACACAGACATTCTTGGCTCATTATAGTAGTAAATGTGGGACGTCTTTCGCACCGTACGTAGCCAACCGTGCTAATCAGAGGTGCGGAAACCCGCGAGTGAAGCTACATTGGCCACAGTGGCACAACGCTTGCACGACACATTGTTCGTCCCATTAATGAGCAGTCTTACCAGAGTGCTGTTGCATGTGGTCAAAGCGACGCGCCCAATCAACTCGCAGATCCACGCTCACCCCAACCTCTAGGGGCGACTCCACGAAGTGGACAGCATCTCCACCTTTCCGCGTCACTCGCAGCACCGACAGCCCATTAATGGTGCCAAAGTCATCCGGCTGCAGGGGCAGAAGATGGGGGGGGGGGGGGGGGTGGTTCATCAACACCACGCCAGCTCATTTGTGCGGTCTGTCGTATGAGGTGCGCAACCAAATGTTCGTGAAGAGCGCTTTGGTGCTTCTTGGCTGCACTGCCCGACACAATCGTCAGCCACAGGGCGTTTTGGAAGGCGGGCTTCAATGCCGTCCCTTGCCTCACCTGGCCTCCACCTTCAGGGAACAGGACGGTGTCCTCCAGTATCACCTCGAAACCCTCAATTTTCTTCTTCTTCCCGTTGGTCTCCGTGTGCAGCACGGCGGGCGCGCACGACCGCACGCCGGTGGTCAGCTGCACGCGGACCACCACCACCACGGCAGTGACGGTTCAGTGGTTTGCAGACAGAGGGCGCCAATACACGCGTTCTTAAATCACTTCACAATATGGAACCTCCTGGTTACACCAGCCCACAAGGGATTATTGTGTCCGTCGTACAGGGAGGGGCTGGGTGGGGGGTGGGGCTGGGTGGGGAGGTGCTGGTCACCCCGTGGTGCCCTTATAAAACTCAACGTTTAACCTACTCACGCCGGCTTGTGCCCGCCCTCACAGTCGGCCATATTTGCAGAATACACCACGCCGCCGTTGACCCTGCAGGCCATTGACCGAGCAACCCAACGTTCCGACCAGCTCCCTCTGCAGGAATGTGTTCTGTATTTCTGAATCGTTTAGGCTGGAGGAATCCGATGAGCTATGAAGCTTTTTTTTTCTACAGATGTCCGGTCGTGTGCCCCAACTTAGACGTTGGGTCACACTGTCTAGGTGAAGCCATAATCCAATTACAAATATGGGCCATACACACTCAAGGATTAGAGACCCCATTTCATCATCATAATACACAGCACATCATCCACGTGCAAGTCCCACATGAAGATGACGGCGGCGGTGATGCCTGTGATGCTGAACATGACAGGGAAGTGATAATGATGACGTTGATGATGGTACAATTACCGTATGTGTGTTGATGCTGCAGCTGACAATGACTGTAATATGCTAAAGTCACAGTGCGGTGAGTTACCGAACGTCATGATCAGGCCCCTTACTGGTGATCGCGCTGTGCCTGATGCCAGCGCAGTGATCGCGTTGTGCCGCTGCCCATCGTGGCCTCATCACGACACGACGACAGTGGGATAATGACGATGTTGCTGATCAAGACAGAAGTATGACGGTGTTGATGATGATGATACACAACACCACATTTACACCACAGACGCGTGCCGCTAATGGCGAAACGCTGTGTTCCGGCGCGGCACCGCCACCACTCTCGTCCTCCTACCTCCTTAAGGAAGCTGTCCTTTTGACACATGAACGCCATTACCGCAACAACGACAACAACCGAAACGATGGCAAAACACACGGGGCGAGCGAGAGAGTAAAAGAGAGGAGGGGGGGGGCCCAGCTGTTGCGGGCCGGCCGCGACCCGGAACTGGCGCCCTTTGACCCGGAAGCGGCCCCCTCCCCCGCACGCCCCCCTCGCCACCGTCCCCGCTCACCGCCACCCCACCACGGCCGACGTCGCTCGCCCCTCGCCCCGGCCTCTCTCAATCCGCGTCCATCCTCGTCCAGAGCGGCACCGTCAAGCGGCATCAGCAGCCCGCAGCGCGCAGGCAAACTCGACGCAGCCTCTCGCTCGTTCCTTCAGCCAAACGCGAGGTGCTCCATCCCCCCCCACACACTGCCCCCCCCCCCCACACACTGCCCCCCCCCCCACACACACTGCCCCCCCACACACTGCCCCCCCCCCGTGTGTTATCCCTCAATGTTGCCCTTCGCTTGCAATGACCTCGTCTTCCGTGAGTTCACCCGATGCTCGTCCGTTCATTCACTCATTCATCGCTAAGCCCGTCCAGTCACTCGTTTTATAAGGAGGTCATTCGTTATAAGACATTCTGCCATTCATTCGCATGTCAATTCATGCGCTCACCCCATTTGAATTGATCTGTGAATTCACTCGCTCATCCGTTCTCCCACTCACCCAATTCCACAAATTACAACATTCAATCGCCTATTCACTCATTCATCCATTCAGTATCCCCTGCACTCGTTCATTCGTTTATTATTTCAATCTTCATTTCACCCCGCTCCCTCCGCTCCTCTCTCACGTTGCATAATCAGAATCTTTATTTAGAGTCGAAGAATTCTATTCGAGCTACGCATCTCTTTTTCCCTCACACATGTCCACAATATCGCCCGCCGTGGCGGTGGTGGTCGACGCCAGGAGAGCGATCGCGTCGCACCCCTGTTGAGCGAGTCCCCTTGCTGGGGGCAGTCGGCTGCCCCCCACACCCCCCTCACCCCCACACCCCCACACCCCTTCACCCCCCCCACACCCCTTCACCCCCCCCACACCCCTTCACCCCCCCCACACCCCCCACACCCCCACACCCCTTCACCCCCTCATCCCCCTCACCCCCACACCCCTCACCGCCCCCCACACCCCCCCACACCCCCTCACACCCCCTCACACCCCCTCACCCCCCCCACACCCCCTCACCCCCCCCCACATCCCCCCCCACACCCCCTCACCCCCCCACACCCCCTCACCTCCCCCCACACCCCCTCACCCCCAAATTCCGTGTGTGTACAGGGAGGGGAGAGGGGTCCATTTTTGACAGATTTGTGCGTTCCTACTCAATGGATGGCCCCATACCCCCTCACAACCCCCTCACCCACCCCTCCACCCCCTCACCCACCTCTCCCTCCAGACCCTCACCCACCCCCTCACCCCTCCCTCACCCACCCCTCCCTCACCCCCTCCTCCCTCACCCCCATCTCACTCCCATCTCACCCACCGCTCACCCCCTCCCTCCATCCACCCCCTCACCCACCCCCTCCATCCACCCCTCACCCCCCCTCTCACCCCCTCACCCACCCCCTCCATCTACCCCTCACCCCCTCACCCACCCCTCACCCCCCCTCTCACCCCCTCCATCTACCCCTCACCCCCTCACCCACCCCTCACCCCCCCTCTCACCCCCTCCATCTACCCCTCACCCACCCTCTGTGTGTTTTGTACTGCACTAAGAGTGGTGGCAAAATACGTGAATCGCAAAGGATTCTGTTGTGTATCTCAGTACAAAGCAGAGCAAACACTGACATCATAACAATAATATACAACAGTGATCGTGACGGCTGATGGCAAACTAAAGCCCCCGACGACGGATTAATACATTAAAGACACTAACTTCTACCGATAGATGGCGCTAGTACTTTGTGTGCATACATAACTCGAGACTAGGCCTCGGTAAGGTAAAAGTTAAAAGATAAAAAGAACGAGCCTACCTTTACCCTACCTTTTACCTTACCACAATACAATCACTCTACCCTACCTTTTACCCTTTAGCAGGTAAGGTAAAAGGTAAAAAGCAACGAGCCTACCTTTTACCCTTAGCCCATACAAATTACCCGATTACAGGGTAATTACTTTAGTACTACACATGACAAAGGTTTATAACGGTAAACGCTAGGTAGAGCGCTTTATTCATATAGAATACTCTCGATGATTCCAATTGTACACGCTTTCTTTGAACTCACTCTGTCCGTTGTTGTCATCGTTGTATCCTCAAATCTTGTAACTCAATTTTAACCCACTTCCCAATGTGGTATCGACTGCAAACTTGGTATACTTATGTCATACTGATGACAACACTATATTCTATCATTAAAAATATATATATTTTTTAAACATTATTTTTTATATGTTATGTTTCGGCTTGGGTCTAAGAGTCCACGCTCAACTGACGTTGGCTGTAATTGGCCACGGCCCCTTACGCTGTGGCAAGCTTCGGGGCCACTTACTGGAGTTGTGGAGGTTTGCATTACTCGTACATTTCATAAAAGCGTGTTTAATTTTTTTTTATATTTATTAAATGGAAACCACAGACTGCGCCACGGAGCTTTTCGCGGTAAACAAGGCACCGTATTTACGGGGTAATACTTCATGCTACCTTTACCCTACCGGGTAATTCTTCCGAGCTACCTTTACCCTACCCTTTACCTTACCCCTTGGCATGTCGACATCTTTACCCTTTACCCTTTTATCCGGTAAAAAGGGTAAATTACCTTACCTTGCCGAGGCCTACTCGAGACTGCAGTGGTGATTGTTGGTCGTAGCTTTCTGGAGGAGCCCGTTGAGATCCAGCGGAATGGATCACCCAGCGCTTGGTATGTAGCGTGAGGCAGCTGCTCGAAACCAGTGAGAATGTCAGAGGGGAGGCACAGCCTGCGACGTGGATACCGTGCAGGATACGTTTGCAATGGGCGCGGGGAAATTCAGCGCCACGTTGCGGCGACAGAACACGCTTATACACAACACGAGACGTATACTTTACAAACACCGTGTTGACATGTGGTGGTCTCTCACTGTTGTGGCCTTAATGGTTTTGGGGGGGGGGGTGCTGGGGGAGGCGTGGGCACTCTTGGTATTTATTGGGGGGGTCACATACCGAAAAGGTTACGAACCACTGGCTTAAGATTGAAACATGCTTTGATGATGATGGCGCGACAGTGATGATGTTTATGGTTATTGATGATACCAGCTTGTTAAAATCGTACACCTAAACCATTTAATGGTGACGCTTCAATTTTCATTTCATTTTGGACAACGTTAGATGCTCGGCTTTAGTCAATTTATCTTCAGGCTTACTCAGTGAAATACAATTTGGATTTAAAATATAACGTGTAAACCGTTTCTCACGATGTACAGAAACATTTAACATATTTATAGAGAGGCAAGCAGTCAGGGAATGAAGGAAGGTACTGTTTTGAGCCTGTGCTTTAACAATGACCAGGCAAATGAACACCGTTGATAGCTGGGAGAAGGGAGTGCTGGAAGGCAGCGCTTGCTGAGTGTCACCATGTGTGGTGGGTGGCATTTCTCAAAGCTGCAAACTGTGCTCCTACAGATCTACACAAGGGCAGGCAGAGGGCATGTTCCACTCAGCTTGGCATAATGGGTCAGATGTGTGGTAGAGATCCCTTGAGGTACCAGCGGCCAGAATACAGCCCATTATTACTGTCCCTCTCTCTGCCTTGGTCCAGATATGCCCATCCAGACGACTGACACGGCCCCAGTGGCCCAGAAGGAATCGCGCCCAGTTCAGGTGGAGTCTGGTGAGTTTTTCTTCTCCCACATAGATTGTTTTAATATTCAGTTGCATTTGTCCCAAGTGCACTCATCCCAATAAATACACTTCCCTGTGTCGCTTGTAAACACCATGACCATCAGACTTGTCACCGTGCACCGTTTCATCGACTGAAACATTCTTCAGCTCACGGTACTTGCATTGAATTGTGGATGTGAGAATCGATTGTCTACGATTTTTGCAGAGTGTGTGCTAATGTTGCATTTAGGTTAATGGAGAAAGCAAAACTGTATTATACAGAACAAATGCAAAACTATATATGAGAACGTAAAAAAATAAAAAAATACCTGATTCTTGAATTGAATCGTGACATTGAAATGTGAAAATGAATTATATCGTTATTTGGTTAATAATTTCACACTCAAGGACTGCATACCTTAGCATTCTTACTCTGGTCCTATGTTGTAGTCTCGCAGTACCATCAAGGTACACTCTTCGAAGATTTAATAGAATGGTTCATGATTGAGTGGGAAATTCATATTTAGATTGGCATTTGTAAATCCTTAAGCATCATGCTTTGTCATGAAATATAACTGGCATTGTGTTAGAGGATTATTGGGAAGGATACTTACTGCTCTTCCTGTTGCATTGCTTACCTTCCAAGCCATATTCACTGCTCTTGTAATCATCAGTGGGAGTATCTAAATTACGAATATCTTTAAACCATTTTTATGGTATAAAGGAGGTAGTAGTGCCCACTATCGGTGATGCCCCAAGCAGGAACTGCCTTTTCACTCAAATAACTACTGCACCTCATCACATGTCTATGATTGCTATTTTGATAAAATGCTTTACTCTTTTTCGATTTAAAGCTTTCGTGACTGCAGGGATTCATCTTCTTGGTTCTTTCGGTAAAGTCACGTGACTTTACCGAAAGAACCAAGAAGATGCTTTACTCTGTTTAAAAAATGTTTTTTAAATTTACATTATTGCTCCTGCATTGGTAGGTAAGTGTTTTTCAAGTTTGCCATTTTAGATTGCTGTGTTTTGAATGCCATTTTAACACGGTCATGTATATTAATGTCATTTCCCGAAAGGATCTGGAACAGAATCGGACAGCGATGAGTCCATCCCTGAATTGGAGGAGCAAACAGACTCCACATCACAGGCCCATTCTCAGCAAGCACAGGTACAGCCATGCTTAAAGTGCATGGTTTTCTACTGGTATCTGTTTTATGCCAAAACCAGAAGTAAACTGTGAGCGGAAATGACATCAACCATGTCTCTGTGTTTGTTGCAGCTGGCAGCTGCGGCAGAGCTGAACGAAGAGTTGGTGAGCAAGGCCAAGCAGAGCCGCAGCGAGAAGAAGGCCCGTAAGGTCAGGAGCGATAAGGAGACAGATATGATAGTTGTGGGATTCCCTTACTTTTTTTTTGCAATGAAAATGACTAATAATTAGTAATTATTTGATGATTTGAGGTTTGCTTTGTGCCCACAACCCTGCAGGCCATGTCAAAGTTGGGGCTGCGCCAGGTGGGCGGTGTGACGCGCGTCACCATCCGGAAGTCCAAGAACATTCTCTTCGTTATCACCAAGCCTGATGTGTACAAGAGCCCCGCCTCGGACACCTACATCGTCTTTGGAGAGGCTAAGGTTCGCTGATGTATTCTATTTTATATCTGTTCCATTGGTGCTGCAAAATTAACAAAAAGAAGTTCACGTAACAGGAAAAGGTTCAGTAGTCAGGGTGTGCTCCGTGACATACAGAACTGGTGTGATGTCTGCATCTGTGTTTCCATGCAGTTGTGGCTTCACTTGGAAGAAATTAAGGAATGTTTTTATATCCCGCTGACGCCAAATGCTGTTCAAATATTTTATAAGGGCAATGTGTGGCAAAAGTATGTGGGAAATGGAAAATGCAGACATTGACGTGGAAATTGTATTGCTAGACTTGTATGAATGTTAAAGTGTAAAATAAGCCACATGAGCATTCGAGTTTGCGAAAATTAATGATTAATAGATCATTCTGGCAATTGTGTTGTAGAATATAGATAATGAGAACACAGATGGAAAACATGTTTCTTGTAATCAACACTATTGCAGCCGCGGATCTCTGTGCCGAGTGTGGGTTTGTGTGCGGTGTTTGTTGTTCCTGTTGCATGCAGATTGAAGACCTGTCCCAGCAGGCGCAGATGGCAGCGGCTGAGAAGTTTAAGGTTCCCGGGGAGGCAGCCCCGGGCGTGCAGGAGCGCGTGCAGCCACCCCCCGTGCCCGAGGAGAGCGAGGAAGAGGAGGAGGTGCATAAGCCGCATTCCCCCAACATGAGCACGATAGAACGCCGGCTTTATCTCCACTGGCCTTGGCGCTGTGTGTCTTGCAGTCCTATACTGCCACCCTGTGACCAAAACAACACACTGCGAACACATTCCTGCGGAGGGAGCTGGTAGGAACGTTGGGTTGCTCGGTCAATGGCCAGGGTCAACGGCGGCGTGGTGTATTCCGCAAATATGGCCGACTGTGAGGGCGGGCACGAGCCGGCGTGAGTAGGTTAAACTTTGAGTTTTATTAGGGCACCACGGGGTGACCAGCCCCTCCCCACCCAGCCCCACCCCTCCCACCCCCCACCCAGCCCCACTCTCCCCACCCAGCCCTTCCCAACCCTCCCCTCTCCACCCAGCCCCACCCCTCCCATTTTTGGATGCACGACGGACGGACGGACACAATAATCCCCTGTGGGCTGGTGTAACCAGGAGGTTCCTACCAGTATTATTTTGTTCTTATCGGGAAGAGTATTTCCTGTACATTCGGCATGCAATGATTCTGATTCACGGTGATTTGAATGTGTGAATCAAATCTCTTTTTCTCGTTCATACTGTTATTTTTATTGTTTTTCACGTTTTGTTTTATGCTTTTAGTCCAAAGGTAACATTTGCATAACATTTTCATAGTTTATACATTCTTACACACGAGTCAATACATGCATTTAAAGTGTGCCTATGTGACCGGCCCACACCGACCGGTGTTGTGAGGTATCGTCAAATAACCCCTATAACCCAACCCGCACAGCATGGAGAGGCCTTCATCCAGTAGTGGCATTACAAAAGGGCTGTACTTGATATGTGGTGATTTATTTATTATTACGTTTGTTTACCAAGGAATGCCTCACTGAGTCCCAAAAGCCTTTTTAAAGAGGGTTATGCCAAGCTTTTGCAGGGGGGAGTTCTGTAGCTCTATGTAATCCCAATTGAGTAAATTTCAGTTACATTTGCATCTTTGGGATGTTTTATCCAATACCAGTCTCATTGCTCTTTTTAGCTGGTGATCATTATTATAAGCATTGATTTTAATCAGTTGGTGACTTGTTACATGCCTAAGACTTGAATAAAGACCAAATCAAATGGAGAAAAATAATAATAATAAACTTATTTAATGTGGCCGGAAAATGTTAATCAATTCTGCACTTGTCCGCTGTGTATTAGGTGGACGAGACTGGCGTGGAAGCCAAGGACATCGAGCTGGTGATGTCGCAGGCCAATGTGTCACGCTCAAAGGCTGTGCGTGCACTCAAGAACAACAGCAACGACATTGTTAACGCCATCATGGTGAGCACAACTCTGTACACTTCACCAAAATTGTGAAGGGTTTGAGCAAGCACCGCTGTGTGCCCATTGATGGTGTTGTGTGTTATCATTGAGCTAATTCTAAGCATGTTCTATCTGCCCTCTTCCCTTGTTTCATTCACAGGAATTAACAATGTAGTGCCCGTGACATCTCGGAGTGGACTGCCATCTCCACGTTTTTACTCCGTGTCTCAATAAATACGAACATATTTATCACAACTCATGTTTTTGTGCTTTGTTGTTTTTATGTGATACTTTTATTGTTGTTAGTACTCTGAGGTTTATGGTGGAGAAGTAAATTAGAATATTGCTGTTCCTTGAGTTTGGCAGAGAAATTCGATGTCACAAGAACATTTCGCCAAAGGTTCTGCCACGCTTGGCTGCACATTGTCACAAGACTCGCACTTAATAATTTGATCATATATAGTAGATAATCGATTATCCGCGGGCTTTGTAGGGAGGGGGCGCTGGATTTTCAAAAACGACGGATAATTACATTGTTTCGATTTAAAGCTTTCGTGACTGCAGGGATTCATCTTCTTGGTTCTTTCGGTAAAGTCACGTAGAATGTAAATAATAAAAATAAAATCATTCTCACGACGTTTCGGCCACAACGCAAGTAGCCGTCCTCAGGTGGAGAACAGGTCTGTCGAGGAGACAGTCTGAATTACAAGCCCCAGGCTTGGAGCAACTATTCAAGCTGGGATGGAGGGGCGAAGAGCGCCTTGACAAAATAATTTGCATATCAAGAGGAATTTAGCATATTTATGGGAAATGCAGATATGCGATTAGTACTACTTGTGAAATGCGTTAGAGGTTTGGCGAGGGGTTTAAAGTTATTATGCTCGTGCATTATGCAGGATTAGCAGCATCAAAGGGAGGGGATAGGGGTGTTAATAGTATGTAGCTGCAGTAACTAAACCATCACGTAAACAACTAAAGTATAAACTACATAGTATCATCAGTATATTAAATATACTCTACAATAAGCTGAGTTACTAACAGTAAGTAATACATTACAATTCTACGTCGCAAAAAATATATGCTTCCATCTAAACTTTATTCTCTTACATCACACGAGTCTACACCGTACTATATACTGCCATAGACAAACCCAACATTAAATTATATACTGTATTGCTATACACCACCCTATACCTTATACATTGTAATATTACACTATTATTCTACCCACCCTAATGTATATCACACTGCTGTATATTCACTATACAATTACGATACTATATATTACTTTGTACATTGTATTAAGCATTACAATTTTATACTATTTATAATTATACACTACCATTGACCGTCGTGTGAAAGATACTAAGAGGAAGCAACGAAATATGTCAATGGGAGAGTAGTTGGACATATTTCGTTGCTTCCTCTTAGTAGTTTATACTTTAGTTGTTTACGTGATGGTTTAGTTACTGCAGCTACATACTGTTAACACTCCATCCCTTTATTAATGCTACCCCTATCCCCTCCCTTTGATGCTGCTAATCCTGCATAATGCACGAGCATAATGACTTTAAACTCCTCGCCAAACCTACGCATTTCACAAGTACTGTAGTACTAATCGCATATCTGCATTTCCCATAAATATGCTAAATTCCTGTTGATATGCAAATTATTTTGTCAAGGCGTTCTTCGCCCCTCCATCCCAGCTTAAATAGTCGCTCCAAGCCTGGAGCTTGTCATTCAGCGTTGTGGCCGAAACGTCGTGATAATGATTTCATAGTTTTATTTTTATTATTTTATTATTTACATTCTACGTGACTTTACCGAAAGAACCAAGAAGATGAATTACATTGTTTAAGATTTTTTTTTTACATTTTTGTATGACAATGTTTTCGTTTTTTTTTGTAAACTATATGAAATTGGCATAAACATACCAAAAAACAAATATCCGACTTTAAAAAGTTACTGTATTTACTGTTTCGTACTTACCACTCCAATATCGAAGACTCCGCATTGGGTGATGTATATACGTGCAGTATTTCCATTAAGTTGTATGTAGTGTATAATGTACTGTACATCATATTTAAGACAAATCAAGCATAGCTACTTTTTTTGTCCCGCATGTTGCCGATCGTTGGACTGGTACAGCCTTTCGGAGCGGTTTTACCGGATTGGCCCGGGACTGCCAGATAATTGACGATCAACTGTACTGTTACTTCTCGAAGCCTATTTCATTCATGCCAGTGCATTTCAGTCCCACGAACCTCTGGGCAAAGCCACCTCAACAGTAAGTGGTGGATGGGTGGATGGATACGGAGATGCATTGAGATTTGGTGACTGTAACAGCCACTCATACAGCCCTTACTCCCCAAGTGCCCCACGACTATGACTCGCCTGTGATTTGCTCTTCGACATTTAATGGGCAGTATTATACGTTTCAGTTTGAAACACCAGTATGATCAATCACTTGATATGACAATGCGTGAGCACTGGAACTGTGATGTCATATACATCCCTGGAATGTTTTAAATACTTGAAGGGGGCGGGCGTTGGCCGTGGGCTAAATTGCAACCAAGTGATCGGTGCGGTTCACCCGTATTCTGGAACAGGGAAGTTTTGAGTTTTCAGGTTCCTATTGCATCTAGCCGTTTTAATACGGGCACACTTTTATCGTCTATTTGTGTTTCTCCCTGGTGATGGGACCTTGTAGAATGAACGTTGAGATTTATAAGGGCACGGGGTGACCAATAAGGTCTGAATTGGTCTGTAATAAGGTAGGCACTGATAAGGTGTTGAGAGGTACGCGGTATCGTTTTTTTTACAATTCAACTGACATGTTTACAGACGTTGCAATGCAGTCTTCCACGTGGCAGTGTCGAGCAATATCCTGTTCAACGTGGGCTTGCCACATATACCACACTGTACACACACACACACGTGACGCCACCTGCACAGCAGTCGGGCGTGTAAACTGGTGTGAATTGGGGTCTTGATGTGTGGATAGTGATCTAGGGGCATGGATGTAGGTGTAGATTGGAGGTGGACTGGGTGTTTAAGAGCGCAGAATGTGGGTGTGAACATCGTGGTGGGGGGGGGGGTATTAGTCTGGAGTTGAGGGTGTATTCTGGGTCCGGAGGGGGGAGACTGGAGTGGGGGGTGTGTGGCTTCGAGGTTTATAGGGTCGGGGTCTATAAAGTGGGGGTGTGGAGGTGTGTGAGTGTGGAGGTGTGTGAGTGTGGAGGTGTGTACAGTGGGGGGTGTGTGAGTGTGGAGGTGTATGAGAGTGTGAGTGTGGAGGTGTGTGAGTGTGGAGGTGTGAGAGTGGAGGTGTGTGAGAGTGGAGGTGTGTGAGAGTGGAGGTGTGTGAGTGTGGAGGTGTATGAGAGTATGAGTGTGGAGGTGTGTGAGAGTGGAGGTGTATGAGTTTGGGTGTGTGAGAGTGGAGGTGTGTGAGAGTGTGGAGGTGTGTGAGTGTGGAGGTGTGTACAGTGGGGGGTGTGTGAGTGTGGAGGTGTATGAGAGTGTGAGTGTGGAGGTGTGTGAGTGTGGAGGTGTGAGAGTGGAGGTGTGTGAGAGTGGAGGTGTGTGAGTGTGGAGGTGTATGAGAGTATGAGTGTGGAGGTGTGTGAGAGTGGAGGTGTATGAGTTTGGGTGTGTGAGAGTGGAGGTGTGTGAGAGTGTGGAGGTGTGTGAGTGTGGAGGTGTATGAGTTTGGATGTGTAGAGTTGGGTGTGTGTGAGTGTGGAGGTGTGTGAGTGTGGAGGTGTGTAAGTGTGGAGGTGTATGAGTGTGGGTCTGTGAGAGTGTGGGTGTGTGTGAGTGTGTGGGTGTGTAAGAGTGGAGGTGTGTGAGTGTGGAGGTGTGTGAGAGTTTGGAGGTGTGTGTGAGAGTGTGGAGGTGTGTGTAGAGTGGGGGGTGTGTGAGTGTGTAGGTGTGTGAGAGTTTAGGTGTGTGAGTGTAAGAGTGTGTGAGAGTGGGTGTGTGAGTGTGTGGGTGTGAGAGTGGAGGTGTGTGAGTGTGGAGGTGTGTGAGTGTGTGAGAGTGTGGGTGTATGAGAGTGGGGGTGTGTGAGTGTGGGCATGTGAGGATGTAGGTTGGGGGTGTGTGATAGTGTAGGTGTGTGTGAGAGTGGAGGTGTGTGAGTGTGTTGGTGTGAGAGTGTGTTGGTGTGTAGAGTGGGAGGTGTGTGAGTGTGGAGGTGTGTGAGTGTGAGAGTGTGTGGGTGTGTGAGTGTGAGAGTGTGTGAGAGTGGAGGGGTGTGAGAGTGTAGAGTGAGAGGTGTGTGGGTGTGAGAGTGCGTGAGTGTGAGAGTGTGTGAGTGTGAGAGTGGAGGGGTGTGAGAGTGTGGGTGTGTGAGTGTGAGAGTGAAGGTGTGTGGGAGTGTGAGTGTGTGGGTGTGTGAGTGTGAGAGTGGAGGGGTGTGAGAGTGTGGGTGTGTGAGTGTGAGAGTGGAGGTGTGTGGGTGTGTGAGTGTGAGAGTGGAGGTGTGTGAGAGTGTAGAGTGGGAGGTGTGTGGGTGTGTTAGTGTGAAAGTGTGTGGGTGTGTGAGTGTGTGGGTGTGTGGGTGTGAGAGTGGAGGTGTGTGAGAGTGTGTGAGTGTGAGAGTGGAGGTGTGTGAGAGTGGAGGTGTGTGAGTGTGTGGGTGTGTGAGTGTGTGAGTGTGAGGGTGTGTGAGAGTGGAGGGGTGTGAGAGTGTAGAGTGGGAGGTGTGTGGGTGTGTGAGTGTGTGGGTGTGTGAGTGTGAGAGTGGAGGTGTGTGAGAGTGGAGGTGTGTGAGTGTGAGGGTGTGTGAGAGTGGAGGTGTGTGAGAGTGTAGAGTGGGAGGTGTGTGGGTGTGTGAGTGTGAGAGTGGAGGTGTGTGAGTGTGTGGGTGTGTGAGTGTGGGTGTGTGAGTGTGTGAGTGTGAGAGTGGGAGGTGTGTTAGTGTGAGAGTGGAGGTGTGTGAGTGTGAGGGTGTGTGAGAGTGGAGGTGTGTGAGAGTGTAGAGTGGGAGGTGTGTGGGTGTGTGAGTGTGAGAGTGGAGGTGTGTGAGTGTGTGTGAGTGTGGGTGTGTGAGTGTGAGAGTGGAGGTGTGTGGGTGTGTGAGTGTGAGAGTGGGAGGTGTGTTAGTGTGAGAGTGGAGGTGTGTGAGTGTGAGAGTATGGGTGTGTGGGTGTGTGATGATGTGGAGTTCGTGGGCTGGGTGTCATCTCTCGTGCACGTGTCCGCGTCCCCGCCCTCTCGCCTCCTCCCGTCCTCCACGTGTGCACTTCCCC